TTATTCAGGGTTATGCCGTTTCGGTGGGGTTGCTGCCGTCTTAGTTATAGCGGCGCCCCTTTCCTGCATAGAGTGGCTGTTGGGGGGTTTTGCGACTTCCGCATATGTTCGTGTAGGCTTAGGCCCAGCGTCGCTCACAGGCTGGGGGGTGGTCGTGGATGGGTGGTGGATAGAGTTGGTTAGGGCATACACCACACGTTGCTGTAGTTCTTGTGCGACCAGGCGCTCCGCTATGCTAGTGAAGTTCTCTAGGCAATGATCAATCGCGTTCGCGATAGCTGTGATGATGCTGTGTCTAGTTTTGGCGGCCTCTTGGGCTGCCGTGATCTTCTCCGTAACCGCGCCCGTCACCAGTTGTCTCTTGTTAGCACTACCACCGAACGATATAGGTATAGGCGCTGCTTCGGCTTGCCTGTGTCTTTTTGTAGTGCGTAGGTTAGCTAGGCTAGGGGTATTTGGGTCCTCAGGGCGCGTGTGTGTCACTTCTGGAGGTCGAAGTGTCTGCCCTGGGGTACCTGGCACCGCCATCTCTCTGTCAGAGGGAGGGCTGGGCCCGATATGAGTTGTGAGTTGCCTTATTAGGCGCTTTAGGAGTGATTTCTAACAAAAATTTAATTGTTTTGAAGGGTACCATAAAATCACAAAGTTGGTGTTCGGTGATGCACGCCGGTTGAGGACGGTCGGAACGAACCCTTGTGTTGCGGTGATGCAATGGGCGTATGGTCTGACTCTCCCTCAATCAGTCTGGGACCACGAAGCCATGGTTTCCATAACGCGCGAGGTCGCCATCAGCGACTTCCTTTGGAACGACATTGTAAGTCTCAGGAAAGAGATCGACGACGGTGATATCGATTCCGCGATCCCAGTCATGGTGTGGAACGAAGGGTGCAGTGCGCAGAGTGCTGTTGACCGGTGCGTGAAGATGGTGGAAGAGAGCTGGGCGAGGTTGTTGGAGGCAGAGAAGAGGTTGATGGCTGCGCATGCTGGTGAGTCAAAGGATATGATGGACGAAATCGAGACGTTGGTCGGAGGTTGCAAGGATCTGGTTGTGGGACACATGGTGTATTCTTTGAAGATACCCCGCAACATGTCAGCAGCGAGCATGAGCGACAAAGACTGCAGCTTCTGCATCGTGTTGTGAGAAACCTGTATATGATAAGAACATGGAGTTAATAAATATTGTTTTCTCGGGAGACAGCATAGTAATGTACATACAGCGTGCAAGACATGCGGATTCAAGGAATGGCTGCAATACTGTACAGAGCTATTTATCCTAAGTGTTAGCAATTATGTTCTCGTAAATTGAGATGATGTTTCAAGCAGATAAAATATATTCAATACTTTTGCCTAATACATGAACTGAAGATGATCAACTATAGAACACTATGCTGTCAGGGCAACAGAGACACATCTAGGTCACAACTACCTTTTACAGGTTTTCCTCGATCAAGGGTTGAGTGTAGTAGAGCTCCATAGGCAGGCACATCTCTCACACAATATATGTCTTTCTCTGATGATAGGCTAAAACAATAGTGTCGAAAATTTACAATTTACTGGGAAGACGCACTATATGACTCTAACAAGTTGGCTATGGTCGTCAGACCATAACATTTCGCCTGCTCTAACGCTGTCCAACACTGGCCCTCCACATAGATTTCAACCTTCCCAGTACTAAGCAGCAACTTGACTATTTCCTCGTCCTCGCCTGTCACCGCATCTATCAAAACTGTTCTTTCCTGGTTATCTCCATGATTGATGTTAGCGATGCCAGTGTCAAGCAGCACTTCTACTGTATCCCTCCTTCCAAATTCTGCTGCATACATAAGAGCTGTACACCCCCTATAATCACCTGCATTAACATCAGCTTTGCCAATGTCAAGTAGCACTTCTACTGTATCCCTCCATCCAGATCCTGCTGCCCATATGAGAGCTGTACGTCCTAATTGATCTCTCGCGTCAGAATCAGCTCCAAGGTGAAGAATCATTTCAACTAAGTCTATGTATCCTTAGCATTGACATCAGCTTTTCTAGTGTTGATCAATATCTCAGTAGTGTCCATCTGTCTACGTTTTACGGCCCACATGAGTGCCGTGGATTCATCGACACCCTTATCATTCTCATTTTCGCTAGTGGTCATTATAAATAGTTACCCATTGATCATCTTTCGCGATTTTGAGCGCAGATTCCCGGCTATGAATCAACTTTGAAGAAAGCCGGAACATGGCAGCATCCTGTCCCGACACATGGCTTAAATGCTTAAGCCAGTGCCTGTTTGCATATTCGTAAAAGCTGAACGAGTTACTGTTCTCGGAGTGAAACGAAGTACGCGCCTCTGCAATCCTCGGAGTGAAACGAAGTATGCGCCTCTGCAATCATTTTGCTCATATCAAATACAGGCTGCCGCCTTGATTTGAGAAATTTCATAGCTAGGTGGCGTGTACTGCTGGGAGAGTTCATGTCGGATTGTAAAATCGTGGATGGAGCGGATTGTGTCATAATTGGGACGACCTTTGTTTTCGATGCCTCAGTCCCGAAGACGCCATAGTTGAGATATGTAACAACAATGTTTGTCAGTTCTTTTCGCATCTTTAAGTGCAAATTTTGCGGGCGTCATATCATCAAATCCATCGAGAATGTACTGGTTGACGCTGTGATGAACAATTCGGACTGTAAACTCTTCCTCATCCACAGCGAGAAGACATCCACAGCAAGCCAGTGCCGATTAAACATCGTGCAAGAGCTTAGAGGGATCACAAGTAGCATCACCAGGAATAACGCTTAAAGCCTCGCACAGTTCAATTGTTGTTAATGGCCGACGAGCTGCAAGGACAAGTTGCAGGAGCTTTGCTTGAAGTGATGGATCTGAGCGTCCTGAATCGTGTAGAATCCTCGAGAACGTCTCTGAAAGGTCTCTAGGTAAGTTTGCTAGTGCTTCCCGCATGGCATAATCGGTCTTCATTCTGCACAAAGTTTGTATCTGAAGAGCTACCCAGAGAAACATTCCTTGAGAGCCTTTGAGAAGAACATCCTAGATTTCCAGTATCAAGGTCGTTTCACTGATCGTCATTGTTCCTTGGCTAAGTTGGCACTCTAATTCCGTTTCAATAAAGGCCTCAATATCCGAATTGTCATCTGGTAACGAGACAACACGTATAGCGCAGAGTTTTCTTGTAATTGGTTATAGACCGTTATTTGCCTCTTCTCGGAATGAAAAACAAATCCAGACTTTCAGTGTATCTTGAACCTCCCCAATTGCTTGGATCAATTCCTCCTTCTGCGCCGATTTGCATTCGTCCAGGCCGTGAATGATGAGATACACATTCTGATGCGAAGTAAACCCTTAGAACAAAACTTGAAATAGCTCTCCAATACTAGCTTCTCTGTTCTGAATTTCTTCGTAGTGCTTCGCGAGTACACTAAGGTCCGGGATGGTAGACAACAGCTGTCGTACCAGTGAGCCGATAATTGTCTGTGACTGCAAGCTTTCCGAGACGTCGTATTTGCAGAAAAAATATACTACAGCAGACCGACCCTTTCCAGTGGAGAGATTGAGATCGTCCACAATGTTGGCCAGTAATACAGATTTACCTTGCCTGTGTAAATCAGTGTTCCAGGAAGCAAGCTAGTTTTCCATTCTTCATACTCTGCGCTTTGCGTGTGGAACGATGAGTTACCAAGTTTTCTGATCTGTTTCCATGCTGTTTCGTGGTCGTATTTGGAACAGAAGTTAAGTACTCGCACTTTGGTTTCCTTTCTCCGCTGGAGCGTGCCAGATTTGAACATTTCCATAGTGAAAACGCTAACTGCCGGACGGTAGATTTTTGTTCATACTTAAAAAGGTAATGACACAGCTTGACTACCAAGATAAAGTGCTCCGCAAGGTACGATTGGAGTTTCTTAAACCGAGGATACAGGAGGGCCATTGCTTGGTAACGCGGCGCAGCGCGACCAATGGCCATGAATAGCGAGGATAATTTGTCAATATAGGATGACAGGCTTATGATCGACTGTGATGCATTAGCGCACGCTGGCGATGAAAGCTGATGATGATACTGACCAGTAAAGACATGCGCACCAGCGACCACACCACATGCTATCAAGTTTTGCGACCCTCCAACCAGAACATCTCCAACCACAACAAACTACTGGACAACCTGAAGAAAGTTGGTAAAGCGAGGCCCAAAACATCGACTGCCGTATTTAGTCGATATAGAGCGGTCCATCTCGGCTGTTAGTCGCATGACATCGCTTGGGTCAGGTGTGCTTGAATGTGATTGCGACTTAAGTGTGCGGAATGTGGCTTTTTTCTCGGTCGAGAGGTCGGCCTCGAACTCGGAGACTGCTTGAGCGAGGTGTATCTCAGGTTTCAACAATGACACTTTCCCCAGGGCCACAGACATGATTGGCATCAACAAATTGCATAACAAGAAGGCGTGCCGTTGCTTGAGATGTATGAATGGTGGGGAAAGGTTAGTTGACTCGTACTTGATTCTACTTATTAGCCACGAAAGGTACGTCTGGGCGAACAGGCACCTGCAAGATCAGGACATGTTATTGTTGAGAATGAATGAACGATAGATGGAAAGACAGAAATGCGAAAGAGATTGGAAAGTAAGAGGTTTCAGCGAGATGCAATCTTGGCCATCAGGCAAAAAGGCAATATGTGCTAGCACTAGGCTAAGCATAGCTGAGGATGGCTGAGGATGGCTGAGCACAGCTGAGGATAGCCGAAGATAGCTAACTACGCCTCTTAGCTAATCCCTCGCTCGAGCTCTGCTATCGTATAGTCTGCCAGTAACAGACCCTTATTTTATGCCCTGCAGCGTTTGTCTTGCTTGTTGGATGTACACTATGTGGCGTGTAAGCTGATCACTGGAACGCGGCATGGTTTTGATAAAGTGATCGCATATCACATGGCTATAGCTTAGCATATGCATGTATATATAAAGTTGGGTATAAGGATTGCCAACTCTTTCGAGGCTATGGTTTGGATCTTTGAAAACGAGAAATCTCTAGAGAGGAAATGAAGGAGAGGCCGCTCAGTGTAGAAAGAAAACACTTTCCTGGTGTATCAATAAGGTATTATGCCAATTGGAGGACACTAGGTAGCGAAATCCACCGATCCTGGCAAGTTATAGAACTCTAGGACTGTTTGGTTTCGACAGCTGCAGAATATCAGATACAGGAAGGTGATAAAGGACACTTTTGGTGGTAATCTGTGTGAGGGCTTGGACTATTATGATCATGAACTTGACCTTATCTTCTCATCTACCAAGAAACGGGTTCGCAATACCGCCTTTTCCCAAAGATCGGCATTGTCCTTGCAGAGTTGTCTCAACCCCACCTAGATCGATTATGTACTTACGTTATGTCAGATAAGATGTGGGTAGGGCTGCGGGTGGAGATATGACCGGTCGCGTTTCGGCTGCGATATCCCTGTTGGAGTTGCAGGGCCCATGCACTCCGTCACCACCGAGCGCGTGGGAACTTTGGCCAGTCACGACGACGTTGAACCAAGACTCGATGTCATATTGCTTCGACTGCACCGTTTTCTTGCCCTTGTATGTTGGATAAGCAGAGGCCCAACAGTGCTCGACATATCAACCAAGATGCGATAAAGTCCTCTTTATTCCCCCATGCCGCTACCGATTGAACACCCCCGACCTGCGCCGCCACCATGTCCTCTCCCGATGCCTCACGAAAGTCGACCGAAAGCTTCGAATTCCTATCGCCCAATCCTCCTCAGGGCTCCTTTGCGCCCCCATCACAACATGACTGGACAAGCAGGCCCAATTCGACGGGCGGGCGGTACAAGCCGCGACGTGGCTCAACCGCATCTTCAATTCACTCCATCGGCGGTTCACTCGACAGCAACTTCAAGACCACCATGGGCGCCGTGAGAGAGCAGAGCAACAATGGTGAAGACACACCCTGACATGTGTCCGTGTATGGGCGGATAGCTAACCCCCGCTCAGCTATCTCGACGCTTCTGACCCCTCCCATTATGCGGACCGGCATGGTCCCCCATACAACCGCTACAGCTACCTCCAGTCACCGACCGCCCTCTACCAAGGACATACCTCCCGTGACCCTCGCCCACATCCCCCACGTCGACCCCTCTGCCTTCAATCCCTATCTCGCACAAGTCGGTAATCTCTATGATGCCTTTCAGCGTGCAAAGGCAGAGGCTGGCGAGTCTGCACAACAACCGAGGAGGGCATCAACCAAAGACGATGGCCCTGACAGTCTAGCACCCTCGCCAGCTGGCACACCAAACCTAGCGGCAGCACCCTTTGGCCCAGATCCCACCCCGAAACCGAAACGCCGAACGAGCGCATCAAAGCGTTCCTTACCGGCGATTACACCACTTTCTACGATACCTAATATTTACTTTGACGAAAACTTCCATATTGAGAACCCACGAACCTTTGACGTTGTCAGCGAGCGATCCGAGGTGGTGAGGCCGGTGCGGAGCATAAGTAGCGATGATCATGGCGCGCTGGACGTACCACAACCGACAGGCAGGAAGGCGTTGGCGACGAACGCGATACTACAGGAGAAGCTATCATGGTATATGGACACGGTCGAGGTGCATCTGATATCCGCCATTTCGACGGCATCAACGTCCTTTTTCGCTGCCCTCGGATCACTACGCGAGCTGCAGACCGAGGCTGCAGACTCAGTCGCTAGGATAAAAGGGCTGAGAGAAGATTTAAAGAGATTGGATGAGCAGATGGCAATAGGGGGATTGAAGGTTGTCGAAATGAAGAGGCGGAGAGAGAACCTGAGAAGGCTGGCCGACTCAGTCGACCAGCTCCAAGCTGTAATCATGGGGCTTTCGTATTGCGACGAGGCCGTCGTTGAAGGCGACTTGGAGACTGCCATGACTCGGATCGAAATGATAGAACGACTCGTTACTGGTGCATTGGATACCACCGACACACAGGGGACTTCGTGGCTGAAAACACGGCTGCCTCCGAAATTAATTGATTTACGACCTTTAAGAGCCCTGGACGACGTATTTGAAAGCATGACTGAGATCAAGTTTCGGATCGGACGAGGTTTCGAGGCGCGTTTTGTAGATACCTTACTTAAAGACCTGCGTGAGCATGTTAAGCGTGTCCCGAACCAGGAGACATTGGAAAGATGGGTTGCCGCCTCTCAGAAAGGACGGGGCAGCAACCAGAAGCTTAGAACAACTCTTCCTGCTTATATGTCGACCGAAAACGAGCTACGAGCGGACCTCCGAGCCAATTTATACGGCCTTAGTGGAGCGCAGTTCACGAATCAGGCTAGCACAACCTTCAGGGAAGCGATCCTAAAGGAGATGAAAATGATTATTCGGAAACATCTGCCAAGTTCCTCAGAGGACGATACTGGGTCCATGGCATCTGTATCGACAAGAGGTGGGCGTGGACAAAGCCAGGCGGACAAGAACTCGATTCTTGCACGAAACCTGCGGGCGATGGACCCTGGTGATGCAGAAGATTTCTTCGCCAACATTTTTACCGATATTGGTGAAGCACTGCGTCGACTCAGTATTCTGGTCAAGGTGTTGCTCGATGTAACCAGTGGTGTCACCACACCCCCTGTCTCTGCAGGTGGTCTATTATCCCCTAGGAATTTTCACCTAAACAACATTGATGATTACATGGGCAATGGCGTACCGCCACCCTCCTCCACCGATTTGCAGATGGAGATCATGCAGGCTCTGGATATGTCAAGCCTCCTTGGCCAGGCAGTCGATGCTGCTCAGACACAGATCACTAAGCTACTGAGAGTCCGCTCGGAGGCGACTGCAAACCTCCCACTCGACAGATTCCTTCGGTATTTCACCATGTGCAGGCTGTTTGCCGATGAGTGTGAGGCAGTTTCTGGAAGATCCGGTGCTGCATTGAAGGGCGTCGTGAACACACACATCACCGACTTCGTGTCCAAGTTTGGAGACTTTGAAAAGCAGGAGCTTGCGAAAGCCATGGACTCGGATCGTTGGGAACCAAAAGACTTTGACGCTGAAGACACAGAGGTTCTTGCGCGGTTGTTGAGGGGTATGGAGAGTGATCCTCCAAGCTGGGCAGAAACTGGCAATATCCTGCGGGAGATTCAAGAACCAACAACAAATGGCACGTCTGCCAAAACCAACGGCAGCTCTGAAGACAAACCTAAGGAGAAGAACAAGACTACTGTGCCTGCTATTGTGGATGAGGAAAAGTACACCATATCCTCGTCTTCTTCTGTTGTTATAAGGGGAATCGAGCGCTTCGAGATCCTCGTCTCCGTTATGCCAAGCATGACCTCTGAAGTCGCTGCCTCGCTCTGCGAGTACATTAAGCTCTTCAACTCACGCCTATGCCAACTTATTCTTGGCGCCGGAGCCATGCATTCAGCTGGTCTCAAAAACATCAACACCAAGCACCTTGCCATCGCGTCCCAAACCCTGTCTTTTATAATCGCCATCCTTCCCTACATCCGCGAGTGTTTCCGGCGCCGCATCGCCTCTGCCAGCAACAAGTCGTCTCTCGGCGAATTCGACAACGTCAAGCGCTTACTCCACGACCAGCAGAACCAAATCCACGAGAAGCTGACAGATATTCTCTCCGGTCGTGCCACTGTGCACATGCGCAGTCTCAAAAAGGTTGACTGGGATAGCGAGGCTGAAGCCAATAAAGATGTCAGTCCCAGCATGGAGAGTTTGACCAAAGACACAGTTACTATGCACAAGGTCATCAACAAGTACCTGAGCGAGATCCAGGTTCGCATGATCATGGGCCCTGTATTTGAAAGCTACAGGGAGCAGGTCGGTAAAGTCATCAAGGAAGCGCCTGTTAAGACTGCAGCAGGGAAAGCACGGTAAGCAAATCAAACTGAATCCTCGACCGCGGATGTATCTGTTCACTAACAAATTCTCACAGTTTACTACGTGAAGCCAAACTCTTCGATGCAAAGCTTGGCCCGATTGATGGCGCGGGCAATGTGGGTTCCCATCTCATTGGCCTGGTAGTCAGTAAGACGGTTGCGGAGCCGAAACCTGAATCCAAAGAAATAGAGTCAAAACAAGAGGAGGAGGAGACGGTGAAACCGAGTACTGAAAAGAAGGCTAATGGAGATACTACATGAAGTAAATACCCAGATTATCTCCTTCAAATCGAGACTTGAAATTTCGAATAGATGGTTTTATTGTCGTATGTTTTTCTGATTGGGATTTACTATGTCTTCTCGCACGCTGCAAATCTTCACATCGAGACGGTTTCCAGAGGCCGAGATAGGCATCTTCATTCTCATTCGCAACAACGAACCCCCAAAGCATTTTTCACATCACCCACACCAACTGGCTTTATTATACTCTCACTCATCCTCAGGTGTCCACACCGCCTTGCGCCTCCTCGTCTCAATCTGCACCGGAAGCGGGACATGATACCTAATAACCCATAGAATCTTCGGTCCTCCAGCCAAAGGCTTGAAGTCATAATGCAGCAGCAAATACGAGAGTATGATTTTGAGTTCGTGCGCAGCCAAAAAGCGACCGGGACTGTATTCTTCAATTAGCCTCTTTTCCATCTTCCCAAGACTTCTTTTCGAAAGGATTGGGGGAGGGATAACTTACCAAGCATGTCTCCCATGCCCAAACTGCAAATGCTCAAAACTCGTCGTAACTAATGCCTTTTGCTTAATCCTCAACAAATCCACTTCCTTCTTCTCCTCCTCCCCTAACCCCTCATACTCTTCCATCGGCCGCGAATACCGAAACGCATCGTATTCACCCGCATTATCGTAAATCGTTTCGTCACCCGCAATCGGCATCCAGGGACACGACAGCAGGGTGCCGTACGGAAAATGCACGCCATTGGGCGCTGTGACGCCCTTACGGGCTACGATTTTGCGGGCGGAGAGGGTAAGGCCGATGGGGGATTTGCGCTGGGCTTCGCGGATGGCGGAGTCGAGGCGATGCATGCGGGAGAGGCCTTGGCGGGTGTAGTTGCCGCCTTCTTCGCGGAGGATGCGGTGCGATTCCTCGCGGAGGAGGCGGATGGTGTGCTGGCCGGCGTGCAGGATGTTGATTATGGAGTCGTAGATTGTCATTACGGTGGTGTGGCTTGCGAAGAGGATGCCCATTGTGCGGAGGGCGATGCGGTCGGGTTGCATTTCCTCCGGGCGGTTTTCGGATTGCGCGGTGCGGTAGGTCCAGGTGAAGAAGTCTTGGGGTTCGGTCCAGGTGGTGTAGTCGGGGTGGCCGGCGTCCTTTTTTTGGAGGTCGGCGATGCGCTGTTTGATTATGGGGAGGGTGAAGCAGGATGCTTGCCTGAAGTGGTATCTGTTTGATAGACTTAGGAGTGCACTTGTGAGTGGCTGGATGGCCTTGGGCGTGACGACTACCATGATTTGCATGCGTACAATGTCCATGGTGAAGCCCGAAGCGGCTTTGTTAAAATCGGGATTGTGACATAGGGTCCACCAGATGGACGGTACCTGGGACAGGTCTCATGTCAAGATCACCGGATCTGCCTGCCATCTTGAAGAGGAAGATATTGCTCAATCAAATGGGACAAGACGCTTTGTGCACCTGGGGAACATGTAGTATATTATATAGACGTCAGAATACACGGGTGGGGTTACCCGAACACTGGTTGCGCAGGGTCCGACAAGTCACCTAATCGCGCCAATTTGCTTTTACAGCCGGTGATAAGATGCAGTATGATCTCCAACCCCCATGGTTTTCACTTGGAAGTTGTTTCCAGAGAGTTGAGAGATAGCAAGGTGCGGAGATATGCAGATGACGAAAGACGCGGTTGAGCAGGCATCATGCTAGCCGGGGTGTGGTTGAGAAAACAGCAAGTCCACGCGAAAGTGATAAGACTGATGATAGCAAGCTAGTCGCTCTGCAGCTTACTCCAACTTTGTACTAGATGATCCCTTTTCTTTGATACAATGTCGAGTCGTGATTGGCATGATACGTAGACGTTTTGTAAAGTGGTAAGGATGAAGGTATCGGTTCATGCGGGGCGAAGCGGGGGTTAGGCGGGGCCATGGCTACTTGACGCAGAACAGCCGGCCACCGGGATGATTCCGCTCTCGACCCCAATTGCTTTATCATGATATCGTCTGGGCAATTGGAGAGTTGAACCGCCACGTTGCCCAATGCTGGATCCGCATGACTTGATGTTACGCAAAATAAATGGACGGCTTGCTTCCGCTGAGCCCCGGGAATGTTTAACGAATTGCACATAAGGGGCTTGTGATCCCCCATCGCGTGTACGGAAAGTGTGAACTCCTTGTATTGTTTCTTCGTTGTTATTTGTCCGTAAAAATGCCCGGGCATCCTTCCAACCTCACAGTACTTCAACCTAAACCCTTGCTTCAGGGTACACCGGAATACGAGAAGAAGCGTGCCGCCCTTCTCGAAGCCTTTGCGGAGGAAGTGCCTCCAGAATTGCGGCTATCATCAAATTTCTTCTCAAATCCGCCAAAAAATGTTTCTGGTGTACCTGCAAAGTGCGGTATTTTGACTCCTGCCGAGATCGACATCACAGAAAAGTACGACGCAGTAGGCCTTGCGGAAGCTATTGCTGCCCGCAGGTTGACAGCAGTTCAAGTGGCTACGGCCTATTCTAAACGAGCCATCATTGCGCATCAATTAACATGCTGCTTGACACAATGGTTCATGGACGACGCAATTAAGAGAGCTCAGGAGCTCGATGACTATCTGGAGAAGAATAGAAGAACGGTCGGGCCTTTGCATGGAGTGCCAATTAGCATTAAGGACCACATACCTGTTGCTGGGACTTACTCCTCCTGTGGATCAATGGCAAGCATACAGTTCGATGAAGAGGATTGTGTCATGGTATCCATATTACGAAGCATGGGCGCGGTATTTTACTGCAAGACAAACCAGCCACAGGGAATTATGCACTTAGAGACTACATCGCATTACGGACGCACTCTAAATCCATTCAACACTGATCTCAGCGCTGGAGGCTCATCAGGTGGCGAGGCAGCACTGATGGCCATGAAGGGATCAATTCTTGGTGTGGGCACAGACATTGGCGGTAGCATCAGAGGACCTGCGGCGTTTTGTGGTATCTATGGATACAAGGCTACGTCGTATACACTTCCAGCGAAGGATTATGTTGCGTCACCCTTCGCCGCTGAACTCAACATTATAGGCAGCACTGGCGCGTTCAGTCGAAGCCTACGGGATATAGACCTCTTCATGAACACTGTCATTAGCCAGAAGCCGTGGCTTCAAGATCAAAAGCTAGTTCCCTTGCCGTGGACAGGCTTGCAAACCCCAACCAAAAAGCCATTACGAATAGGTATCATCGAGAACGACGGCTTCATCGAGCCCCAGCCTCCAGTTAAGCGCGCTATAGCATGGGCTAGATCACGACTCTCCAATCCAAAATACTCCGGTATCGTTGAAATCAAAGACTTCAAACCCCATAACGCAGCAGAAGCATGGAAAATGATCCAACGCATGTACTGGCCTGGAGGTGGCATAAAGGAAGCAGAGCTCTACGAAAAATCAGGCGAGCCAATTCTCGAGTTAACAGAATGGGGCTGGAAAGACGCCAAACCACACGGCATGCTCGACGCCTCTCAAGTCACCGATCTCCGCGCCGAACGCGACAAGTTTCGCTACGCGTTTGCCGACAGTTGGAACAAACAGGAAGTCGATATCGTTATCGGGCCTGCATTTGTAGGCCCGGCTTCTGCGCACGACTCTGCGTTTTACTGGACATATACTTGTCTTTACAATCTGGTCGATTATCCGGGTATTGTTGTGCCGACGCCGATTAGGGTTCAGGCGAAGGAGGAGTATGCGCCAGATTATAAACCGTTGAGTGAGGAGTGTGAGCATGTCAAGGAACTTTGGGAGAAGTCGAATTTTGAGGGGGCGCCGATTACGCTGCAGGTTAATGCGAGGAGGTATCATGATAGTGAGTTATTTGGTGCGTTCGCGGTTTTGGAAGATGTGCTTGAACTTCCATGATACAGTTGGCGAGTGGGGAGCTCCTATGCTGTCGAGTCTTTAAGTTTCTGAAGATATGAGTATTTCAATCTGCCAAACGTTTTGCGAATCTTAGACTTCGGCTTAGGTTCTTAGGGGATGGAGATTGGGTAGACGCTGTAAAGATCTAAGTCGGCTTTACAGGGTCCTGAGTGGAACTATTATGATAGCTACTTATTAACTTGAGTTCTGTGTTCCCAGTTCTGTGTAACACGTCAGAACCGCCTATTGCTCATTTGGGCAGTGGAGCTGATAGTCACGTGATACTCTCTTGCATATTCCAACAAGTACCCAAGAACATCCAGTCTGCTATCGCCAAAGACAAAGTGTTGTTTTCAAAAATCAAGGAAGCCTTTGTCTTTGCACTAGACTCTCTTGCAAAGTGTTCCCGGCTCTTGTTTTATTTTTGCTTTATACAGGCGGTGCTTGGTTGGTCGAAAGTGGACAGTGCTAGATGAGGTCGCGTCTTCGGAACGACGCGCCGGCAGTAGCCGTTTGTTACTCGGACATCAATCCACCGACAACAGCACTCGGCGCATGTTTTATTCTTTGGCCTGCTCACTGTTACACCTGCGACCCTGTAACGTAATGTCTTTTTCATAACAACAAACCGCGCCTCTTCATCTGCGCCATGGAGCAGACACCCATTGCGCAACTCAGCCCGGAACTGCCCTCGGTAGAATCGCAGCATTTCCGGGCCATCGTCACACTGATATGGCCGTACTCGTCGTCGGCACGCCAGCTAGCCCTCCTGCTCGCGGAGCCAGATCTCCGGCTTAGGCGAAGGAACGGTCAGGTCAGGGCTCGCTTTTCGGGCGCAAGTGCAAAGGCCATTGCGACAACAGGCGTAGGAATCGGCGATGAGGTCGTCTTGAGCCTGCGAGGCGCGCAATTTGTCACTGAGGGCGCCATCAGCACGCCCGGAAAGAGTATTGATTGGGAGCTGGAATACGTTCAAACAGTCGTCATTCGCATCTACCGAAACGGAGAAGAGACCGCCAATATCGAGCTCGTTGATGCGCCGCCCACTCCAGCCCCTGCATCACCACTCCGCCGACAATACCGAGCCGCTGCAAGCCCAGCGCTACAATATTCGTCCCCTGCCTTCTTGAAGCGTGCGCGCCTGTCTGACGGGCCCTTCTTCGAACCGCCCTACGATCCCCTGGCCGACGAGACAGGCGAAGGCCACGACAAAAAGCGACGGAGGAAATCGTATCGAGACTGGAAAGCATGGACATATAGTACGAGGACACCCTCGCCAGAGAAGGAGGATGTGGCCATGGACGAGGAAATGGAGTGGCTTGAGGCATCGCCCAGCCGCCCAGAACAGCTCCCTCAAACGCCTACCTCGCCCTCAAAATCCGCCACGGTATCCAAATCAGCCAAGCCACTGTGTGCTCAAGGTACCAAACAAACAGAAGCACCGGTTTCGGCAGAGGAGGCCATCTCGCAACCGGATGAGCAAGATGCAGATGAGAGCGTAATTCGCGGGTCTAACTACAGTGTGCTCTACTCGGCTCCAGATGAGCATCTGTCATCAGATGCCCAGTACGCTTTTGGTGGCGATACCGAGGTAGACACTGAAGTCAACACAGAGGAAGAATATCCTGCGCAAGGAGAGACTGAGGGGGGCAGTACAAGCACAAACGAGCCCGGCGTTGATGAGGTTCATCGTGTGGAGCGTGAAACTACAGGCAGCGATGAAGATGCGGCCGCAGAAGCGCGGGCAGAAAACGACACACATGAAGACCGTGTACAGGTTGTTGCATCACACCAAGCCACAACATCCATGTCCGTCCCCGAGGCAGACGGTCAAAATGCTGAATCATCACCAGCACTACTTATCAATCCTCCAAGAATTGCGATGCCTCCTCCTACTTTGACCACTATTCAAATCGACACCCAAAACACTGCGTCTGCTGCTCTCTTGACCCCAATCGGTAGGGAGCCTGGAAGCCCAACTCTTCGGCCCCTGGACTCGGCCAATCTCCCGATACCGTCACCGTTTCCTGGCGAACGCGAAAACACCGCCACCTCTTACTTTGATCAACTAATCGCCAATGAGCAGACTGTGGAACCGGAAGCCGAGGGTGAAGAAGAGGAGAAACCACCAAGCGAAGCAAGCTACATCGGCGAGACATCTTTCTTTAGCTCGATTGGTTCCTCCAACATATCCGCATTTCACCCGAATCATGAGTCAGCCTTTGCACCTTTGCGCTTCACTTTCGGTATGGATGGTGCTGGATTTTCGCGCCCTATGGAGCTCTCGTCGCCACCGCCTGAAACCCGACCGGACGAGGAAGTCAAGGATGTGCCGGAGGCATTAGGTTCGACTACGATCGCAGACACTTCATTTGACACTTCTGATACGGGTGCCCCTTCAGCATCTCGGAATACAGGAGGTGCCCAGAAAGCTAGCGAAAATGCTGAAGAGGTACCTGCGACAGAAGCACAGAACACTGTTGAAGAAGCTCAAGATCCCGACGTAACGATGCTTTCTTCAAGCGAGGATGGAAGTTCTAGTGCTAAGGAACCCGACCAGGACACCGCTCATCACATTGGCCAGGAGACTGAGAATGACGCAGTTGTTAGCCCAGCTGTAGGTTCTGAAGGTGGAGCTGTTGAAGAACCAAAAGACAATCAGCAAACTTCGCCTAATGAACACGGCTCACCCATTGAACATCAAAGTCCAAAGACTTCTCCCCAGGATCAAGACCAGCCTTCACCCACAACCCTCAAAAGTCACAGTGAGTTCGTAAACCAGGATCCCACAACCGAAACCTCCATTCATTCCGAAGCCCCAGATGAGCCAGCTGCCACTCACACGCCATCCCAGGAAACGGAGCCCAGTGAAGATGTCAACCCGATGGAGCAGTCCTTCTCCATGGATCATTCATACGAAGCTTCTATAGAAGCTACCGACGAATACTTGCAGGACGCTTTTCCAATGGACCATATGTCACAAGAGTTTCAGGATGAACAATATACCCAAACAGAGCAAGGTTCGGTTATGGAAGATCAATGGACAGAAGACCATTTCGATTCACAAACTGACCACTCCAAGGCTTCGATGGTATCTGAGGTTCCTGGTATGTCTACCAACGAGCTGTCTATGATTGAAGCCGAACAGAATCAGGACATGGGTGAAATGCAGACTGTGGATACGCCTCTTACTGTGCCGGCTAAGAACACAAGATCCAAGGCCAAAGCTCAAACTCCGTCGGTGAAGGATGAGGCGCCTGCCTCCATTCGTACCACGCGCTCGACACGGTCCCGGGGTTCTGTGAGTTCCATCGCTCGCTCAGTCATCTCTCCTCCCCGGACACGCGCGCGTTCGGCAAAATCTCCATACCAGGGAGCTACACAGGCTTCGCCAAACAGCATTAAAACCAAATCAGAATTTTTGTCTCCAGAGAAGAATATCACGGCTCATATTTCTACCACTGTCCGCGAGAGCCCACGAAAATCTTTGCAAAGAAGCTTAAAACAAGAATTCGCTGCAGCTCGCTCTCGGAAAGAGACGGATGGCTTATCATCTCCCAAGTTTGAGTTGTCACACGATCAGAATGCATCCGAGAGTGAACATATGAATGATGTTCTTGTCAAAGACTGGGCTGAGCGGAACACTCACACTGAATATTCCGCGTCGCCTGCACGCACATTAGAAGACTTGACTGAGGCACAGAGATCGGAGTTTGGCAGTCCCACTAAACGCGATGCTCCTAGCAGAGAAGATGATGTGGTTACCGAATATCTCTCGGGCACTGATCTAGAGTCAAAAACAAAGTCCAAGGCCAAGACGGGACGAAAGAAGCCTACGCTAAAGGCAGTTGTCGAGACTCAAAGCAGTCAAGCTGCAACGTCCGAATCTGGCAGTCCTAGTAGGCGGCTGCGTTCAAAAGGACCTGCCGAGCCGGTCACTCAAAGTCCTCGCAATGTGCGGAGAACAAGAAGGAATGTGTACAACGTTTCTGAGCGTCAGGAAAGCGAAGAGATTAGTGAGGCGGATCCAAAGCCTGGAGAGAAGTCACAACGGGGTGAAAGTGAAGACCTGTCACAAACATCTGCAGTTAAGGCTGAAGAGTCCATGCGCAGTTCTACGCTCAACTCACAAGCAGCTTTACAAAGGCAAAGGCTCATGACTCCGGATGCAACTCAGCAAACTACCAATGAAGCTCAGTCAAGCCTTGTCGCTGCGCCCGCAGGACAGGACTCGTTATTGACTCCCCAACCCACCCAGGCGACATCCGCCAATCTCCACTCCTCCCAGCAGGACACTGACATGGACGGTACATCCGCATCAACCAGCGCTAAAAAGTCTCCCAACACTAAAACCACGCCCGGCCACAACAAACCAACCACAGACACGACGTCAACCTCCTTATCCCCCACACTAGTTGGACAACCCACCTCAAAACCCGACCCCTCCGAAGCCACACAGGAATCTCCGTCAATCGGCCTCTCAACCCCTCTCTCCTACTACACCCCTCTCAAAGACCTCCCCTATTTCCTTAACCGCTCCTCCCAATTCCACTCGTCCGCAAACCCAGACATCCTCGCCCTCGTCACCTCCGCCACAACCGCAAATGAAAAAGCGAAAAAAGGGCCTAAGCACTGGAACACGACTTTGCATATCACAGATGTAAGCTCCTGGCCCGCGACAACAACGGTCCAGTGCTTCCGTGCGTACCAGGAGGCGCTGCCGGAAGCAGGCGTGGGAGATGTGGTGTTGCTAAGGGCGTTTGCGGTGAAGTCGTTGAATCGGCATCCAGCGCTTGTGAGTGCAGATGAGAGCGCGTGGTGTGTTTGGAGGTGGGGGAAACCGGGTTGGGGTGTTGAGAACGGGGCGCTTGGGGAGTTGAAGGTGAGGGAGGAGGTTAAAGGGCCGGAGGTTGAGCGTGGTGAGGGTGAGTGGCACGAGGTGGAGAGGCTGAGGGCTTGGTATGAGAGTAGGGTTAAGCAGGAGTTGCAGGAGAAGGAGGAGAGTCAGGTTAAGACTCGGAGTAGAGATAAGGCAAAAGGAGCTGCTGGAGGCAGTGCGGATGCATAGATGCTCGGTATATACTGTAGTACCTTAGCAACAGATGTAATATGTAGACACCAGCGTGCATAGTCCAATTGACATCACGATCAACAATAAAGTGCTTCGAGGTCATTCATGTGTCTCATTGGCTTCTTCTACTTGTATCCTTTTTATCATGCGGTCATATCTCATAGCCCTACGTCTATCCCATGAAAAGCTTAGAGCATCCCTTCACTGAGAAGTCACAACTACTAAGCCAGCTCGCATCTTTGCGGCATTGGGGCCACAAGACGCGAACTAGCTCTTCGCCACATCTTTGTAGTTACTAAGTTGCCCAATGCCCTCACAGCTTAGTTGTCAAGGCATTTACTTCTCGTAGACCCAGTCGTGCTGAGCGCTCTTCCAGCTCTGGACCTCGCCGTCCTTGAACCAGAGGGAGATCTCCTTCTTGCCGTTCTCAACAGAGTCGGAGCCGTGGCAGACGTTGCGGCCGACATCGAGAGCGTAGTCACCACGGATGGTGCCGGGAGCAGAGGCAAGGGGGTTGGTGGCACCAAGGATGGAGCGGCCGGTCTTGACGGCGTCACGGCCCTCCCAGACCATGGCGCAGATGGGGCCGGAGCTCATGTCTGGATCGTGTTAGCGCATGGCTCGATTGTTGAGAGCAGTAGTGACGCAATCGGTCGCTGGTTGGGCTAGAGAGAGACTTACAGGCAATCAGACCGGGGAAGAAGGGCTTCTCCTTGAGGTCCTCGTAGTGCTTCTCGAGGTGCTCCTTGGAGGGCTGGACCATCTTGATACCGGCGAGCTTGAAGCCGCGGTTCTCGAAGCGGGTGATGATGGGACCGATGAGGCCACGCTGTTGAGTATGTTAGTTGTTTGTTTTGCTTTTTGGAAAGCTCTGCCGGCCATCATCTCAGGCTGTAACAGCAATTGGATTACAAGCGGCAGGAGTGCAAGGGAGCAATTGTAGACGGAATTCAGCTGTTACGTACCTGGACGCCATCAGGCTTGATAGCGATGAAGCTGTGTCTTATGTTAGTATGCTGTTCACCGCCCCTGAGCAGCTCTTGCTCTTGAGTGTCAACCTACGTCTGCTCGGTAGTCATGGTGGAGATGGTATGGTGTTTGGTGTTCTGTTAATGGAATTAGTCTTCAGACCTCGGTCAATGGCTCAATGGCAGGCGGGCTAGACATACTTGGATAGAGGTGGAGGTTAAGGGAAAGGAAGAGACACCGAGATGGAGCTGGATTTTTTGAGAGGTGGGGGTAGGGGGGGTTGCTGCGGCCTTCGTTGTCTAGTGGGGTAATTCTGCATAAAGTTATGCCAAATTTGTGCAAAAGCACTGGACCCTGAGCTTGGCGTCGTCTCAAAGTCCACATGGCATCTTGAGTGTTGAGGATTGGCCTGAGTGAATGGCAATCCAGGCGGGCTTCTGAATTTGTCCTCAAGAGCTGCCTGCCATGATCAATCTACGGGAACGGCCTCCCCGGTGGACGGCTGTGTTTCTACTGCTAGTCGTTGTGTGTTGCTTATTTGGAACAGCTGGTATGTAGCTCACCGCAGCTCTCTGTGACTACCCAGCCATGGCTGGCGGCGTCATCTTCTTGGTATATGAACACAGGCAAAAGAATAGTTTGCTGATAGGCTGCAGTCTCGGTCAAGCACGAAAACTTCAAAATATGCGATCAATCTGGCTTTTGCAAGCGAAATCGCCAGTTTGCCGATGACGTCGCTGCATCAAGCTCCTGGAGCTCCCCTTACATGCTCGACCCTGCCTCGATAACCTTCAACAACGGCCAATTGGATGCTGTCGTCCTCAAGACGGTGAAAGAAGGCGAGGAGAAAGTTCGTCTGCCGCTTACTGTTACTTTCCTCGAGACTGGTGTCGCACGCGTTACCCTCGATGAGGAGAAGAGGGCCAAGGGTAACATCGAGCTCCGTCACGATAGCAAGGCAAGGAAAGAGCGATACAATGAAGCCTCCAAATGGGCTCTCGTTGGAGGGCTGACTCCTTCGACCGGTGCTGCATTCAGTCCAGATGCTGAGCAAGGATACACCAAGATCGTCTACGGCAAGGGCGGAAGACACCAAGCTGTTGTCCGACATGCACCATTCGGCATCGAGTTCCAGAGGGAAGGAGAGACTCAGGTTAAGTTCAACGAGCGTGGCTACATGAATGTGGAGCACTGGAGACCAAAGATTGAGAAGCCGGTGGAAGAGAAGAAGGAAGGCGAAGAAGTCAAAGAAGAAGAGAAGAAGGTTGAGCAACCCGGCGAAGACGAGAGCACATGGTGGGAAGAGAGCTTCGGTGGCAACACCGATAGCAAGCCCAGGGGCCCTGAAGCTGTGGCGCTTGACATCTCTTTCCCAGGCTACGCACATGTCTTTGGTATTCCAGAGCACGCAACAAGACTCTCACTCAAGACTACACGGTACGTACCAATAAAAAAACTTGTCAATCCTGACTGACATGTAACAGAGGCGGCGACAATGCCTACACTGAGCCATACCGTCTGTACAATGCCGATGTCTTTGAATATGAGATGGACAGCCCTATGACTCTCTATGGCGCCATTCCCTTCATGCAAGCCCATCGCAAGGGCTCAACCGTCGGTGTGTTCTGGCTGAATGCTGCCGAGACCTGGATTGATGTCACCAAGAAAAGAAACACTGTGAACCCTCTCGCCCTTGGTGTTGAGGGTCACACTGACACACAAACTCACTGGATGTCTGAGAGCGGTCTGTTGGACGTCTTCGTCTTCCTTGGCCCGACCCCTCAGGATCTCACTCGCCAGTACGGTGAGCTCACCGGATACACTGCTATGCCACAATCTTTTGCCATCGCCTACCATCAGTGCCGATGGAACTACGTCACCGACGAAGATGTCAAGGATGTCGACCGAAGATTTGACAAGTTCAACATCCCATACGATGTCATCTGGCTTGATATTGAATACACACAGGAGAAGAAGTACTTCACTTGGGACCCTCTTACCTTCCCCAACCCCGATGGAATGCTACAACAGCTTGACAAGCGTGAAAGAAAGTTGGTTGCTATTATCGATCCTCATATCAAGAATACCAATGACTACCCAGTCATCGATGAACTCAAGCAGAAGGATCTAGCTGTCAAAAACAAGGAGGGCAACCATTACGATGGATGGTGCTGGCCTGGCTCTTCTATGTGGGTCGACTGCTTCAATCCGACTGCTGTTGAGTGGTGGAAGACTTTGTTCAAGTATGACAAGTTCAAGGGGACTGCTCCTAACACTTTCATCTGGAATGACATGAACGAGCCATCCGTATTCAACGGCCCTGAGACTACTATGCCCAAGGACAACCTGCACCATGGCAACTGGGAGCACCGCGACGTGCACAACATCAACGGCATGACCTTCCACAATGCGACATACCAAGCTATCACTGAGCGTAAGAAGGGTGAGCTTCGCCGTCCTTTTGTCCTTACTCGTGCCTTCTACTCTGGCAGTCAGCGCTCTGCAGCCATGTGGACTGGCGACAACCAAGCAGATTGGCCTCATCTTGAGGCTTCTATCCCCATGGTTCTGAACCAGGGTATCTCTGGCTTCCCCTTCGGAGGTGCAGATGTCGGAGGTTTCTTCGGTAACCCCAGCAAGGAATTGTTGACCCGATGGTACCAGGCGGGCATCTACTACCCATTCTTCCGTGGTCATGCTCACATTGACACTCGTCGTCGTGAGCCCTACATCGCTGGATCACCATACACTGAGATCATCACCCAGGCCCTTCGCCTGCGGTACCAGCTGCTCCCTGCTTGGTACACTGCTTTCCGTGAAGCTCACGTAACTGGTGCTCCAATCATCCGTCCAAACTTCTGGGTCCATCCAGATGACGAGGCTGGCTTTGAGGTTGATGACCAGCTTTACATTGGCTCCACCGGACTTCTCGCCAAGCCAGTCACAAAGGAGGGCGCTGACAGCGTCTCTGTATACATCGCAGACGACCAGCCTTACTACGACTACTTTGACTACACTATCTACAGCGGCAAAGGTCACCACACCGTCCCCGCCCCTCTCGAAAAGATTCCCCTCCTCATGCAAGGCGGCAACATCATTCCCCGCCGCGACCGTCCGCGTCGCTCATCCGGCCTCATGAAATACGACCCCTTCACCCTCGTCGTCAACCTCGACAAAGACGGCAACGCGGTAGGCACCCTCTACCTCGACGACGGCGAAACCTTCGACTACGAAATGGGCGCCTTCATCCACCGCCGCTTCTCCTTCGACGGCGCTCGCCAAATCCTCACCTCCTCCAACCTCGACACCAACCAGCGCACCGTCAAGTGCGAGAAGTACCTTAAGACTATGGAGAATGTCCGTGTTGAAAAAATTATTGTTATCGGTGCGCCTAAGGCTTGGAAGGACAAACATGAGGTTGTGGTTATGCAGGAGGGTGAGAAGGAGACTCGTAGGAAGAAATCTGTACCCCTGGAATTCCATCCTGCACAGGGCAAGAAGGCGGCGTTTGCGGTTGTGAGGGATCCTCGCATTTTTGTTACGAGGGGGTGGAAGGTAGATTTTGGGGACAAGGGCGTGGGACATGAGCATCATGGGCATGAGCATTAGATTTGATGCAAGAATGTGAGGGGGAGGGGAGGTGGGGAGGTGAGGAGGTTATTGTAGCATTGAGAAAGTGAGAGAGTATAGATGAATGGGATGATCATGTTACGGAGTATATGAATAGTTAGATGTAAACAAAATTGAATGTTGATTAGACACTGGTTGTTCATCGGCCTTAGTGATTTTTTTTTGAAATTCTTTTGCTTTCATAATGTGATGTGAAAAAAAATAAAACTCGGTTGGAACGAGATATCGGTATCGGATTGGGGTATAAAACAGAATCATGCGAACATTGTAATTTTACAAGTGGTGTGGAGTTAGTCAGTGTTTTGGGGAGTATTTTTTGTTGATCTTTCATGAAAGATGAAGAGAACATCTCATGACTTCATATCCAGTGAGATCGGGGATGTGATATTGCGACTCGGATGGCGGTGCACCATGTTACGCAGAGCAAGGTTGATGTCCTGGTGTTATGTTGAATTCGGCCTGATGCGAGGAACCACGGCCGATGATGTCGGACGAAGGGTAGCAAGTGGCTTATCAGCCGAGTTCCTTGCGTTTGAGTAATCCTTGCAGGAAGGATTGAGGGTGTCGCGGCCACGACTCTGGTGTCACATCGGTGTGTTGTCCGTAGTGTAACGAAGCGGCTAGAAGAGTAGCTAGGTCCCCGAGATTGTATCGCATTCGAAAACTGGTTGTCAACTCTCGTGGGCTCGGGTTTCGCTTCTCGATGTGGGATCTGAGGGATGTAATTGAGTGTGGTTGACTGTGAACCATAGCAGCTCGTGTGCTGTTGAAACTGCCAAATGATTGCTCATTCGCCTGAAGATATCTCAAGTGCATTCATGGCACTAGCCAAATGAGTTTTCGAGGACCACATGTAGTGACTCTCGGCAACAGGTGACGCCGGTACAAACGTGTCAAACCGCGTTAATCCTTCTTCTTGGTCACGAATAGACTCAATGTCACCTATTCTGCGCCAAATATCTCCGCAGCTCTTTCTTCGAACACCGCCTAACTGCGTTCGATTTTGTGTATTTGAAGAGAGCACTTCTTGGAATCTTGATGTATCATTGTCCTCTTGCGTGGGTGCTTCTTGTTGCTGCACGACTAACATGTCTTGCTGGATCATGTCAAGAAGTTCTCTGTATTCGCGCGTGCAGATTTTATATCCCCGTAGCGTTTCGATTATCTGAGTCTAGTTAGCGGTGTGAAAAGAGAGGAAATTCAGTCGATGAAATGTTTATCGCATCCATTCTACGTGCATAGTGTGGTGGGGTAGATAAGGATCAAAGCGCAAGGGGAGAAGAACGAGGAGGTCTTACTTCTACAACAGCAGGTTTCAATTTGGCCTTTATCTGTCGTTGTTCCATATACAGAATGAAGAAGGTGTCGGTTTTCATGTTTGCAGCTCGCGGATCCTTGACCAAACGCCGATTGCCAAACCATTCTACCAATTTGTTGCCTCCATAATACCAGGTAACGAACTGAAGAAAGACACAGCCCAAAGCCCAAACATCACAGGCGGTAGTAAGGTTTCCGTTGAGGTCCATCTCGGGTGAACGATACGTATCCGTGTTGGGAATTCGACCAGTCTTATGGGTCTCCCATGAATTCACTGTGTTGAAGCGCGCCACGCCGAAATCGGCAATTTTGAGAATGCCGTGACCTCCCGTTGAGTTTTCGCAGGGATACCAAAGGATGTTTTCTGGCTTGATATCTCCGTGGCGGCCAAACAGACTGCGGAGGTGAGGATCGTTGCCCGCACTGTCGGTTCGGATGAGTCGTTTTTTCTTGTCGCTGTCCACCTGTTCGGTCAAATGGAAGACATTGAACAACGTTGTTCCCGATGTCGTCGCATATCTGTGTATACTGTTGAGAGCATCTGCAAGGCCACGACATTGCTCTATGATCCACGTGCCCATCATCTCGCCACCGGGTGGCTTTTCGTATCGTTTCCAGAATTCAAAAAGATCAGCATCCGCCCATGGGAATATGAAATGAAACTTTTTGGCGTGCTGAAAAGTGGTTAATAGAGTGATCAAATGTTTGTGAGCGTGACGCTTATTTGAAATTCTGTCGAGAACGGTAGCTTCTTGACTAAATGCTTCCTGATTACTTGACTTCAATTCTTTGATAGCGAAGACATTTCCCTAGTAAATTATTAACGTGACTAAGTCACAGTCTGACCAGAACGGAGGAAGGCTACCTACACTAGTTGTGCCCAGACTATGATGGTCAGGGTGTATTTCAGTCTTGTAGACGTCACTAAACCCACCTTGTGTGACTTTGGAATGGGAGATGAAAGGTAAGATTGCTTCAGGCTCAAGAATGATACGTGGATCGCGGCCCTCTTCATCTTTAGAAAATACAGGAGCGAGAACTCTCCACTGGCTATGAAAGAAATCATCCGTGTAGTCTCGTCTTCTGAATATTATAGGGCGGGCCGAATCATTGCATCGACTTCTCAGTTCAGGTAAACGATGCGGTCTATTCGAGCTTTGGTATATGACTAGTGGGAGATCCTTGTCGCAGACACCACAGTTAACAAAGGTCCGGATTTTAGATGGCTTCTTGATGAGGTACAAGATGGTAAGGATTTTCTTATAGGCTGAATGGTCTTCTGTAGTAACTGGGTCTTTGTGAATTCTCCGAAAGGTTGAGTAGTTTGACTTTTCGAGCTCGATCCGTACTGCTTCAGCTGTAACAATCTCTCTGACATGACTGTTCGGTATAAATCTATGTTGGAAGTGCGTTTTAACTGTAGCTTCTGCGAGCTTTTTCGGTAGCTGAGCTATTGGCACATCCCGGGGTAAATGCGTTCGTGCCCATTTTTGTATGAACAGAACGGGACTGACGACGTTCTTTCGCATATTGGGAGCTCTTGGGCTCCCAGGTACAGTCTTTTCTTCAACAAGAGCTTCATTATGGTCATCATCACTCTCTGTTATGGCGTGATTGGCATTGGAACAAGTTGGGTCTCTGCTTGACAGATGCATGTCGTCAGGTGAACCACCGGGTACTTGATTCAATTCGATATCAGGCGATTGATCGCTTCTTAGACACAGCTGTTGTGTCGCATCTGTTGCAAACTGTCAGCTGTCAAATATACATGTGGGCTCAGCTCAAATCTACCTTGCTGTGGGACTCGGGTCCGCATGTTGTTCCTTTCAGAAAAGCAATCATCGTCAGCCACTAGCTCAGCATCTCTATGCAAGGCTGGATTTTGACATTCAGGCAGATACAAGTCGGATTGAGAAGAGCACACTACTGGTGAGGTCCATTGCATGACCACCATGCTAGGCATATCATGTATGTTGGGACAATTTGGTTGAAGCTGTAGAGATACCTCAGGCAAGAATAGACACGAGAAAGACGAATAAAGTCACCAGGAATCATGATGCGCACAGCGTTCAAGTCCGGTGAGGCTCCTGTTGCTGAAGTAAAGCGTGGGGTCCAATACTGACGGCTGTAAAATCCCTGTAGGGGCGCAATATGGAGGCCATGGCGAAGTTTCAGGCTCCGGCATTCCGCTCCTACATTATACAGCCCCGAATGCCCGGTGAAAGACTGATCAGACCCAATCATCTCTCCACCACACCGACAGTATACCGAATGAGTACACCAGCGCGCAAGTCTGACTCTTTGGCAGCCGCAGCGCACACGGAGTGGCGATATTGAGGGTCGCACCTATAAGCGCTCAATTCTTGTTCAGGAATTATGCTACAGAAAGGTATCAGATATGACCGGTGACACCTCGTATCGCGTCGCATGCATGTATGCTGGGATCTGATGATGCGCGCACATCACTGTCCTTGTCCGGCGCAGGCATTCAGCTCCAGAGTTGTTGGTGTCTGAGGTACAGGCATGATTGGCTCTTCGAAATTGCCTGTGGCTGAGAGAAAGGCGACAAGAACGGTTGCTCAGCCCAGTGGCTTGATCCCATGAGGCCACCTCGGGGTTGAAGACTAGAAGAACTTATTTCAGGTGGGATCCCGCGAGAAGGTCCTGCACAATATTCCAACGACAACAACAATGGGTGGCCTAGTTCAGATGCTTAAGAGGCCGTTTTCCAACCCCTTAAAGAAACGACGAAAACTCCCACGATCAACTACCGAGTCGCCTTGCCTAAATTATGAGCAAAAGGTTGGCGTTATCGGTATCGACCCAGAAAAGCTGGTAAAGAAACTGGAGCTGAAGTTTCCTTGCGGGTTCGATGTACATGTGGGCAGAAATCTAGAACGCGGCGTGGTTGAAGTTCGCTAATCCATACTGCAGATGATGCATAACACCTATATTATCCAGGGCTGCGAGCCACTGACGTCGGTAAGGCTATGTCTTAACCTCCGCGGTCATAACCATGCTGATTAATTACTCTCATGAAGACGGATCTCGATGACTGTCGGTGATGACATAACCAGCACGGAGGTGGAGGTAGAGGTCAGTTATGTATGCGCTCCTATTGGTAGAGGACAAGGCTGTGAGCGCAGTATGATGCAGCCACTCGACAATGGTTCAGGATGGAATAGGCGATTTGAAATTGTATATGCAGCTGACGGATGGTATGGTGTGAAGGAAGGTTTGTGGCAGTCAGGGTGGCTATCAAGGGAAGCGTTTACTATAGGCAGGTGGTTGTGGTGTGGACCGTGCATCGCTGGTTCTCACAAAATCAAACATCATCGGGCAACAGCGACTTCCGCAACCAAAACACCACCTCACAATCGTTCATAATTTTTTTACTACATATGAGCAAACCAATGTACAATGGTTACTTACACTTGGAAATACTCTCAGTTGTGTCATTTGACTGTTCGTCACCGAATATACCACAGCTGTTGTTCAGCCTTGCGACTACTGGCCCCCCACCCTCGCCACCTCCAGTTTCACACTTTGCCTCCTTCAGAGAGTTGTCCTTCGCGACTGTAGCTCAGCTAATCGCCATAAGCGATGTTCCGGTGTAGACGCCGCGATAACATGCTCTCATCTCGGCTATGTGCCCAGCAGCAGCACCTCTTCCGACTGGTTCATTTCCGCCTGGTCCGTTCGTTAATTAGATCCTAGAGAGTTCGATTGGCGCTTTCTCGTCCGTTGCAGGATTCATGCACATTCAGCTTCAGCCTTACATGTCTTGTGTGAGTTTGGTTGAACTTCAATTAGTCAACGACAGCTCCGTGGCATTCGGGTTGCATCTGGCATCCTATAAAGCATGAAATGGAGTTAGTGATGTAGACTTTCATGATAAGAGACCATACTTAGTGGTACTTGGCAAAATCCATCGTATCAGTCATCGCATTTGCACTCAGTTTTCAAGTCGTCCGTCTCCGTTGCCCGAGATTCCTTCTTTTCAGACCACACATGGCCATGGCCACCGATTCTACAACCATAACTACTGGTTCTACAACCATTACAGAATATCCAGTGGCCACAAGCAACACTTCCATAGCTATATCTGACAATGAGTCCGACGAGTCAGAGTCCGACGAAGAGACAGACCCAGCACTACAGCTACGACCCTTGATTATGGACAAGCTTGTGAAGAGTGCTTTCGAGAAAACTCCACTCAGATTCGTTCCGGAAGGCAATATCCAGGATATCATCACAGAGGAAAAGATCAAGATATCCCTAAAAATAGGTACACCATGCTCGAGGAGAGATGGTGAGATGATAGAGTTCATCAAGACACGTGCCAAGAAGGTGTTTGCCATCGTGGTATACATGAAGCCAAGCGATTCGATGGCGGTAATGAAGTCATTGAAAAAGAAGGGCATCGATGACGATTCACTTCCCATCACGAATCAGCAGGACTTAGGTAAAAGAGACTGGGTCCTAGAGTTCTTTGAGAAACAGTGGCAATTCGAAGCTCCAGTCTTCTCGACCACCGAATACAACCATGATCTGGAGGAGTCTCACATTTTGCCCTTTATTTCAAAGAAAGTAGATTCAAAAAGGGGCTCTTTTGGCGTAGTGTCTCAGTATGTAGTGCACCGGAACCACCTAAACCCGGTAAGTAGCTTTAATGGAACCAATTTGGTGCTAGTGTGGCTTTTAACACTTGAGCAGGCGCTACCAGAAGACACTTCCTTTGCAGTGAAAGAGATACAGGCCAAAGATGACGCCGAAGAGGTAGCGCAACACTGGGAACAAGAAGTCAGAGCACTTCGGACAATGAACCAACTAAACCAAGACCATATCGTCCATTTTATCACGGCTTTTCGACGCCGGAAAGAACAAGGCGAGGAAGAGTACTATTTGATGTTTGAATGGGCAGACGGTGGCAATCTTTGCAGCCTTTGGAAAAGGATTCCTTTTCCCATTATGACAGCACGCCTCGTCAAAGATGTTGTCAAACAGATCTTGGGACTCGCCAAAGCACTTGAAGCTGCCCACAACTTGAACAAAACTGGTGCTTCGTATCGACATGGCGATCTGAAACCGGAGAACATTCTTGTTTTCAATAATGGAGGGTCAGTAGGAACATTCAAAATTGGTGATTGGGGCGAGGCACGGCAACACGACCAAGCCACGGTGATGCGTCCTAGCAAGACAGCGGCCAAGTATGGTACTCGGCGATACGAAGCCCCAGAAGTAGAGACAGGAATCAAGTCTCAATATTTAGGTCACACAACCAAACGACGCTCACGGCTATACGACATATGGGCCATGGGCTGCATCACCCTGGAACTCATCATTTGGCTTTTGTATGGGGAAGAGTCAGTTACTCAGTTTCACAATGAATTAGGCAACGACAGTTTCTACGAGATTCGTGTGGTCAACGGAAAGAAAATTGCTTCAGTACACAGCGCTGTGACGCGCTGGATGGATGTGATGGCAGACGACCCTAAGTGCCAAGTTGGCACTACTGCACTCGGGGACCTTTTGGAACTTGTGAGGACTGGTCTGCTCGTTGTCAGACTTCGGGCGAGGCTGGGTACGACGATATCAGATGTCCCCGCGAAACCTCGTCAAGATTCCGCATCCCATATTCCGATTATGCAGGGCTCTGGTATTATGACGTCTGAAAAGTCGACGGTTGAAGCAAACGTTGTGGACTTCGATGAGAACCCGGCACCGGGCCTACCCTTGTTTAGTCTGACCCCAGCCTCAGCAGAGGCTGCGCCCACCAGAACTCCCTTACAGCCTGAACCTGAGCCTGCAGGGGAAAGTCGATTCCTTGCGGATGAGTTCCGGGAACGACTGGAACACATCGATGCAGAGGACGAAGACGAAACCTACTGGTGTATCGACGGATCACGTCACTCAGTTCCTGAAAGTCTCTCCGCATCATATTCTGCATCTCAATTGATCGCATCGAGTTATGGCACCAGGGATGGAGATCTCAGTACGTATACAGAAACTTCGGACTCAGCGAATCACGGTCTTTCTGCTCCCTACCAAAAGAGAGTAAGTATCCCCAAGACCTAGTAACTTGTTCCAAAATGACTAACGTTGCTCTATGTAGGTCAATTACGCCTCCCCAGAGCTTGACGAAAACGATTGGAAGTATTCATCTGGCAACAGCGTCGCGTTGGACTTACTTCCAGCGCTCGCAACGGTGAATGCACATGACCAAAGTCATCATGAAGTAGCAACAGTACTCTGCAGAAATTGTGCAATATTCCAAGAACAGGTTCTGAGCCCTGGTTTCTCGATATCATACGACAACCAAGCCCTTAGGGCAAGCGCACTCGCCCAAACATGCGATCTGTGTCCCCTACTTTTGAACACTGCCATCAGACACGGCGAAGCGGCATCACCAATTATCAAATTTGACCGCACTGGTCCATTTTTGACAATTAAGAGCAGTGGATATCCTGTTCTCTCCGTCGTTCGCGATCCTCGACAGCAGTTACCACCAAGTACTGACGTTCAGGTGGGATTCGTTTCCCTTCCAGATGCTGGCAGCGCTGTCCATCTTCGGGTTGTCAAAAACTGGCTTGACTACTGCGATCAGAATCACCCGTGCGCGCCTTCTCTACAATCCAGAACCAATGTGAAATCACGATTGCCGACCAGATTGCTCGATGTGGGTGTAGATGGCGACAGCATGATTCGCCTTAGGGTGACTTCAGCTGAAGAAACTGGAGAATGGGTGGCTTTGTCACATAGATGGGGCTCCAGGCATTTCTCAACTACTACAGAGACCCTTCAAGCTCACCTTGACGGTATGGATTTGAACTCTCTTCCAAATACATTCAAGGACGCTGTGGCAGTCACGCGTGCGTTGGGACGACGATACCTTTGGATCGATTCCCTATGCGTGATACAAGGGCCGGGTGGCGACTTTGTAAAAGAGGCTAAACGGATGGAGGAAGTTTACAGTGGCGCGTACTGCGTGATTGCAGCGAGCTGCGCTGAGGACCATCACTCCGGATTCCTGAAACGACGCAATAGCAGAGATTATGTTGGCTTGCGTCGTGGGGGTAAAGAACAAGCCCCTTTCTACATTTGCCAGAACATCGATGATTTCAAAAAACATGTTCTCGATGGCGAGCTGCATGCTCGTGGGTGGGTACTGCAAGAACATGCCCTTGCTCGCAGGACGCTATTCTTTACTGAACATCAGACATATTTTGAATGCGGCGAAGGGGTTCGATGCGAAACCTCGACAACACTAAGCAAGTAAGTACACGATACAAGATTTGCGTCTGCCCCGGTTGACTTTTGAGAATAGTAAACTCGCAGCGTTTTTGGGAGATCCAGATTTTCCACACATACTTTCCAGTGCAAGTCAAGGAGAAAGGATTCTTCGCTGCCAGGAGCTCTATCGCAAGTATTCGCGTCTAGGACTCTCGAAAGCGTACGATAGGCCCACAGCTATAGACGGCCTACAACAACGTCTTCTCCGTACAATGTATGTCAAAGGTGGGTTTGGTGTTTTCGACGAGGGAGTGACGCGGGGTTTGCTCCGGCGCAGTCTCTTGTGGCGACGCGGTGTCGACACCAGGAGTCTGACGCGAATCTGCTTCCCTACCGAAAGCGTTTTACCGACTGTGCCTTCATGGTCATGGATGGCATACACTGGCGGAATAGACTACTTGCAGCCAGATTTTGGAAACTACGAGTGGGAGGACTTGCAATCCCCGTGGTCAACGAATTCTCCCAACAGCATCTCCAGCACGGATGTCAGCATCGCGAACATGGCATTGGTTGCTGCAGCACGGGAATTCGACTCTGGCGCTGCAGTATTGAGCGAGGGTGAGTTGATTTTCGACACTCCGCATGGATCTTCGATACCGAAACCGCTCTGTGTGGTGCTGGGGAAGGCCAAAGGCAGTCCGTCGCCGGAGACACGAAGGCATTACATTTTGATTGTCGCAGTGGCAGGACAAAAGGGCCGCGCTGGGGAGACGATATACGAGCGTGTGGGGGCAGGATATCTGCCTGGCAAGTGTATTTCGCCAACAGTAATTGATGTCAGAATCCATTGAGTTGGAGTTTCTGTGAGGTGTATTCACGCTAGCTTATTTTTCCTAAGTATATCTCTACTCTACAATGCGATCATTTTATATATTCCTTGAACCATCTGGACACGGCTAGCCGCCTCAGCTCAGTCCAATTGCACGTGGCATGACCCACGTTTGCCACTTTCCCTATCGTGTACTAGCGTCCTTGCCCTCCGCGTCACTTGCGTGGAACACAACATGTAACGTCCCGGCGACTTTTCAGGACGGGACTCTTGTCCCAACCCCACAGCCAACACCCTCGCTTTTCAAGATGGCGCTTCCCAAGGGCGTACGCTACTTGGCTGGCGCCACTATCTGTGTGTTTTTGTATCTGTTCGTTCAGATTCTCAGGACGCCCGGTTCCGAGACGCCAATACAGATTCCGAACAAGCTTCCGACCAACCAACTTGGGGATTGGGATCACGATCCTCAATTAGACCGTAAGAAGATCTCCTGCTTTCTGAATTGTGGAGTATGAATTCTAATTGCTACTTGCAGCGTCTGGCGAACCCCCCGAGCCACTGCGACGAGTTGACGGTGATAACTATGCCCCTAATAACCCGAAAAGCGCACGCATCAACGCCACAATTCTCAGTCTGGTCCGCAATGAAGAACTCGAGGACATGCTTCAGAGTATGCACGATCTAGAGCGCACATGGAATCACAAGTTCAACTACCCGTGGACCTTCTTCAACGATAAGCCATTTACCGAAGAATTCAAAAAGGCTACGCGCGCAGCCACCAACGCCGAAGTGCGGTACGAGCTGGTTCCCGCTGAGCACTGGAATGTGCCATCGTGGATAAACATGGACCTATATCAAGAATCTGTATCGCTGTTGGAATCGCTTGACGTACAATACATGAGCAAAAAGTCGTACCACCAAATGTGTCGGTGGAACAGCGGCATGTTCAGCGAACATCCTGCATTGAAAGACGTGCAGTACTACTGGCGAGTTGAACCCAACGTGCACTTCTTCTGTGATGTTGACTACGATGTATTCGCATGGATGCAAGACCACAACAAAACCTACGGCTTCAACATCAACATCTACGACAGCCCAGACAGCGTCGCAACGCTCTGGCCCGAAACAAAGAAGTTCATCCAAGACAATCCGGACTACGTCCACCCAAACAACGCCCGAGAGTGGCTCGAAGACAGCAAGCGCCGCCCCGAAAATAACAAAAAAGCCCACGGCTACTCAACCTGCCACTTCTGGTCCAACTTCGAGATTGGCGACTTGAGTTTCTGGCGCAGCAAGAAATACCGCGATTACTTCGACCATCTCGATCGCGCTGGCGGCTTCTTCTATGAGCGCTGGGGCGATGCCCCTGTCCACAGTGTTGCGCTAGGTCTTTTCGAAGACAAGAATAAGATCCATTGGTTCCGCGATATCGGATACCAGCACATTCCCTTTTTCAATTGTCCGAACAATCCAAAGTGCTCGGGCTGCGTCACGGGTCGCTTTACTGACGGTGAGAAGTGGTTGAATCGTGAGGACTGTCGGCCACTGTGGTTCAAGTATGTGGGTATGGAGTGAGAGAGTGTGGATTCCAGCAGGTAATCCTGTGTTTTGGTCAGGTACAACAAAAGCGCTCGGTCGGCTTGATCCGGGGAATCTTGTATATAGATACGATGTGTATGTACCGTTGTGTGTACATGCATCACGACGACCATTCCGTCTATCGTTCGAGGAAGAGGAGTTTTACGGCATCTTGGATTTGGACGCTTCTATTTTCTTCTATCCCCTTCGACATCTACTCTCAGATAGGCGATCACTCGATAGTACATATACCACTAGATGCAAACAAGACATCAAAAAAATGCAAATCAAAATCTTCAATGCCTTTCCTTCTATACCAAAACCCGGTCCTTCTTCACATCCCACTCCAACCGATCCGCCAACTGCTCCCACATGGGCTCTGCCCCCGCCCTCCCCACACTCTTCAGTCCCGCACTGATAAACGGAAGCAACCGCTTGAATTCCGCCTCGACTCTCCCTAGCTCCTTCCCTTCCTTCCTCGCAAGCAGCACGCCCAAATCCAGCATCTCGAGTATCGCTGCGAAAATCGGTTTCACATCTTTCGACAGCAGCGTCCTCTGCCGTAATTTCGCCATGTACTCGACGTGGATTCGCGCCATCTCGTCGATATCCTGGGCTTTCTGCATGGACGCGACCATGTTGCGGGTAGTGAGGTGGATCGCGGTTTCGGTGATGTAGGAGCGCAGCGTATCGGTGAACCAGGTTAGGGTGTGGAGGAGTTTGTAGAGGAGGGGAGGCAGTTTTGGTTTTCGGGCGGCGCGGAGCCGGGTGCGTTGGAGGAGGTATTTTACGCGATAGATTTGGAGGAGGAGGGTGCAGAGGCAGTGGTAGGTTGGAAGGGAGGTGCGTTGGATTATGTTTTGGAGGGACCAGGGTATCTTTTGAAAGGGAAAACATGATTTAGAAGGGGAGGACTGAGGGTGGGAGGGGGTCAACTTACTGCGTAGTCTACGTATATAATGGCTAGGTCTTTGACAGATTTGCCGTGGTTTTGGTTGGCTTTAGTGGAGCGGACGACGATTTTGTCGGCTTCCGAGGTGGATAGAATGGTGCTATATATACCTCGTGTTACTTCTGTGAGCACGTAGCGATCGTTCCATCCTCGTCTGCCGGCGTCCATGCGTTCGAAGATTGCGGTTGCGAAATCTTCGAAGACGGATCCGTTTCGGCCCAGGTACAGTGTCTCAAAGACCCCGAGAACGTGTATAAGGCCGTCGGTCTCGAAAATATGTTGACGGAGTACAGTAGAAGCGATTGAATATTTGCTGCGAATCCATGACTCAAAGGCCATGCGGAATAGCTCTGGGAAGGGTGAGAGTGGTGCATTGTCCGAGGTACCACATACCATCTCATGGTCTAGACTGGGCTCGTGAACCTCAGAGTGTAGACCCGTGTCGTAAATGCCCAGCTCTTTCAAGAATACAATACTCTTTCCAGTGTTGAAGACCTTGCTTACCGCCGGTTGCAAGAACGAAGGAAACTGCAGCTTATTCTGGCCATCACGGCGCAGTTCATAGTGATCATGCCATAATGAGGACGTCTCACTTTTGGCGTCATTTTCCATGACAAAAAATGCCTCCTGGTCGGACCCGAGCTCTCCCGTCTCCATCCACCGTCTTATTGGCTTTAGATATGTCTGTAAGCACTCGAAGAAGGCCTCCGATAAGTACTTGAAGATTTCATCCTCCAGTGCCATCTGCGCCAAAGTAGCCGCTTCGAACAAGGCTTCCAAATGACGGAAAGGATTGATATGCGCCAGAGGTTTATCCTTCAGAGTTGCTTGGTCCCGAGCAACCTGAGTTATAATTGGTACTAAGCGGAGAATGGGCGCGGACAGTTTCCGGATGTCTTTGTGTAATTGGAGCAAACTGACAGGGATTGGGTTTTCAGGGAGTAGGTATTGCTGTTGCATTTCTGCTAAGCAGTGGTCGAATTGGAGTAGTCGGTTCTGCACAGAAGCGTCAAAAGTCTGGACGAGAGGTGATGATGGGCGTTTGCTAGCTCGCTGTTGCAGTGTCCATTGTCGCATTCGTTGTAATCGCGAACCAATTTCTGCAAGCTGGGATAATAGATGGTCGACAGAGGCTGATCGAGTATGATCGAGGACATAGTTAGAATTATGGCGGAGACAGCGCTTTTGTTTGTCTATTTCATATAGACTTGTCTTCAGTCCACCAATCATGAATAGGGTCTCCTTTACTGCCTGCAACTCCGTGATGCTCACGTCGGAACTATCTTTGCTCACAGGGTGACTCCAGAATTGTGTTTCTTCTAGCTTTGTCACGATCTCTTTATCAGTTGATGCGATGCAAGACTCCGGGTCGTAGGTATCATCTTCATCAAAGCTCGTCGGTGGTGAACTTGGACGTCTTTTGGGCTTCTTCAGTGGCTTCTCCTCATCAGACGAGTCGCCAGCATAGTCAATATCTTTCCAGATATCTTCATCGCTATATGGGTCACCTTGCAGAATTTCCGCCCATGTCAGCGGTGGAGGTGGACTTGGCGGTCTTAGCAAGTCCAGTGCCTCGATTTGCGTATTTTCAAGAGGCCGATCGGCTAGCTGAAGCAATAATGCTAAGATTTCAGGTTTGTATTTGTTTGTATATCCTTCAAGCTTTTGCAACCGCACCTGCAGCGCATCAGCGAGGTCATCGCGATTTTTGACTCGAAACTTCTCATCAAGTCCTGCAAAGCTGGCTGTGACATCGAACTGATTTGTACGGGCATATTGATGACCTCGAAGGTTGCGTGTTGCGATCTCTTTAGCGTGTTTGTAGGCTTGCTTGTTCTTTGCTGAATCAGAGGTCAAAAGTGACCGGATCAGATCGTCTGTAATACTAGAGACCCTTGCATTTTGCGCCATGGTTTGGTGTTGTCCATGTCAAGAAATCATGTGAGGGCTGCGATTAGTGTTTGTAGAGATGATACGCGTCTGGGCAACTTGCAGTTGAGCAGGCCCTGGCCCCACTTAAATCTCTACGCTATTCCAAATACAGACTAGAGTCCTCTTGACATATTACATAAGCGGAATCTTCGGCAAGAGCTGCCGTTTCTGAATCGCAACAGATCACAATAGTCGAACACAACTTAAACGTCTGGAATCCTGTCAAACACAGCATGCATTGACAGTTGTCATACCACAACTTATTTCCAGGAATATTTTTATTAGCGAATTCGAGGCCCACCTTATTACAATAATACATATCACTCAACTAGCTACTGCGCGTAAAAGAAAACTACACCTCGCCAACAAAGCAAAGGCTTCAAACTAGAATCAGAGGCGCAATAGGTCGCTGAAACCTCCGAATTCAGCTGGATGATATTGATATCGAAGGCCAAACAGAATCAGAAACACGATGCGTCACCCCGCAGCACCTACGATAATCGCCGTCCTGCTTGGATTTCTCCTCTTCATGGTTCTCTGGAGTCGAGTACGTGCCGATGACCATCACGAGGGAAATCCTCATCCAGACGATATTCCGCGGAAGAAGGAGAAAGAGGAGGTCAATCTTGTCGGCGATGAAGCCAGCACAGCAGAAGAAGATCAAAGCATCTGAATATCTTTTGCACCCCCTTGAGCCCTGGTGTGCCTCAGCTTGCGTTCTGGATTCGACTATTCACAACAAACAACACAGTCACCGCTCTCTTCTTTCCATTATTGAGAAACGCGTGATGGCCCTTCAGGTTGTAAAATGGGAGCGCTACCGTTCCAGCGCCCAGAAACTTATCTGAAACTGGTCTTTCGGAAGTCGGTCCACACAGTTGAGTCTGGGGAACTGTTGTAATATAACCGCACTATAAGGATAGCGGAGCTATGGTAGGGCTTAAAAGCTCAGCCAATCACCTCAACTCATGGATCTCCAATTTACGTACAGATTCGGCTACTTTAAGGATTCTCGAGGCTGTGAGCGATTTTGTGCACAGATTTGCACAATGTCTCTTGAGTGTCTTGTCAGAAGACAAAGGATGTTTGCCCACCAATCCAGCGCTTGCTGAATTGGGATTGGGCTCGACTGTAGCAATTGAGCTGCATTTCTGGCGGAAGCAGAGCTCCAGCCTTGCTATTCCTGTCTCTAAGATCTCGGTTATGGGTAGCTTAAAAGCACTTTCTTGACACACCGTTGAGAGGTTGTAAAACGATATTGTTGAAAGCTAGACAAGGCACAATCTCTGCATGACCAGTCACTTATGGTCTTAACGTCAAGAACATAACCTTGTCAAGTTTATCTTTAGATTAAATCAAAAAAATAAGCACGTCAATATTTTTCTAAAAAGAACACTTCAACTCAGATCTAACTCTCTGGCGCATCCACTGGCACCCACGCTCTTCCTTGCGCGTTCAACAGCTCGGTAACCTCATCCATATCCACACCCAGCGCATCGGCAACATACTTGGGCATATCAGTGTTGTCCCAACCTCCAGCCATATCTAGGACGAGACGATCACCCATCTCGCCAACAGCGTAGCCGTACAGTGTCGTATCAACACCTGTGTGACCGCCAGTTGACCACTCAAGTCCCGCCCTGACATTCAGCAGGTCCGCCAACTCCTGCGCAAAGTCTTTGCTAGAAATCAATACCTGAATCTCCGCATCCGAAACATGGGTGATGCCGTAAGCAGGAATGATCTCATTGGCGAGGAAGCCAGTTGCATCGGTGCCATTGTACTTGCTCCACTGTTCACTCAGGTACTCAACCGAGTGTTTTCCTGCTTGAAGAACTTGAGGGTTGTGTCCGGACGGGAGAGTGATACCGCCAGTCTCGTGGTCGGCAACGGCGAGAAAAGCAGTATCAGGGTGCTCTTCGATCCACTTCATAACGACTTCGGTAACGCGGTTAAACTCGAGTACGTCGTGGAGATGCGCAACAGAGTCGTGGGCGTGCGATGAGTGGTCGATACGCGATGCTTCGATCATGAGCAAATAACCTTTATCATTGGATTCACTGCCACGCGACAGCGAGTTGAGCGCCGTCTTCGTCATCTCGGATAGCGATGGCTCCTGGACTTCTGCAGCTTGTTGCTGGCGATCGACCTCGTAGCTGAGGTCCCCGCCCTTGAAGAGGCCGACATAGGGGAGTTGTATGTCGCCGAGACCAAGCTCAAGAGCATCGAAGCCGGCACGGTCTCGGGCTGTGTAGTAGCCTTGTGACTTGGCGTAGGAAAAGAGATCGATGTTGTCGGTCCTGCAAGAGCCGGTTTCGTTCTGGGGCTGGAAGTCACAGCGTCCGCCGCCGAGCATCAGGTCCACGCTAATGTTGAGGGGGTGGCTATATCCGACCAACTGCTCCGCGATCTGATTTAGAGAATTGCGGCTTGCGGCGTGGGAGAAGAAGGCTGCACAGATTAGTAACGATGAAAAAATTCGGCATGGGCAGGGACCTACATGCAGGTGTTGCGTGACTGATGGGTGAAGTCACAACAAGACCAGTAGTATAACCGGCCAGTTTTGCAGCTTCCATGACGGACCCAACTGGCTTGCCATCAGGCAAGACTCCAATAAGTCCATTGTTAGTCTTGTGGCCGGTTGCAAGAGCGGTACCAGCAGCGGCGGAATCAGTCACCAGATTGTTGGAAGAATGTGTGTGAGTGTTTCCAATGACAGTGACATCAAGAGGGAGTGATTTGATTCTTGGTGCCCGGGTGGTTGAGTCGCCGTTGGTCATGGACAAATACGTCCGGATCAGGGTCTGAGAGGCCGGGCCCATGCCATCGGGGACGATGAAGATGAAATTCCTGGGCTCAATCGCCGCCATTGTAGACTGAGCCAAAGCAACGGCTGCTAGCGCTGTGGAGGTGCGCATTTTGAAATCAAGAATAGCGGGCTGGAGACTTGAAGGTAGTTGTCTGAGGGGTCAAGAGCCTGAGCTGTGATATGCATGTCTGGCATGTTGAAATGGTCTTATAGTTCTTAAAATTTTCAACAACTACCTATCACGGTATTTCCGGAAGAGGGAAACACATTGAGTACCCATGTCAAGCATTGGAGCCGTCTCAACGGCGGTGCCACAGGTCTTGGACCTGCATACTACAGGGAGCAGTAGTGGGCCGTTGGAATATAGTCAGTGGAACACTTACATCTGTGTTCTGAGTACCAAAAACTGGCATAGCAACTCCAAGAGCACTTGAAGCTAATTTCCAAAGGCATATACCTTCTTTTTCTATCTCTCGCAACCTTTTTGAGCGTTTTGTAGCAGCACGAGTCTCAACCTAGTGTTTTGCATCGAGAAGCGTAGAAATATCCCATGCAGTCCAGATATGTAGAGTTATGGATACTCTGGAGAGTGGTAGCCACTCATACTCGCCAGTATGCTCACGTTGAGGCCCAAAATAATCTCGGCGTGCATGCCCAGCCTCCGACGCCTCTTCGCTCGTATTGCCAAGTACTTGGGAAGTAGGAACATCCTAACAACCCAATACTGCAACTACACAAGATGTAGACCACGTGAGACTGCCATAGGCTATCTCCGTCTAGCTCACATGTTTGCCAGTCTCCTCCTTCTCCATGGAGTAAGGGATCTCCGTCGTTCCTCCGCTTTGCGAACCTAGTCTACAAGCAGTGATGCCTTGGCATCGATAACCAGTATTTCTGAAGTACTTAATCAGTTGAACTAATCAGCCGAGATCCGATGTCTTCGTTTATACATATAAAGATGATGGCTTCCAAGTTGGATGCTGAGACGATTGCACATCTTACGACATACATACATATGGTGTATGTGTCACATGACACTTCCACGGCCCTGTAAGTAATGCCGAACTAACTAAGGTCGTCAGAACATCAAAGCCTCGAAGTTTCCCTTTACGTCGAAAGCAAGTATTTATGGAAATACGACACTGGATACAGAGGGTGATGTTGTCATGCTTTAGCTTCGGTCATCATTTTCCCGAGTCGCCAAGCCACCTTTTATGCGCTGCACCCCGCAAAATGGTTGAAGTGTGACCTCGGGTGCGGCGTCATTATTCGTTGGTTCCATGACTTGCCGAATTTCGTACATGAAATTATCCGTAACCTTAACCAATACGGGTTACACTCCGATCAATCTAGCTGTTCAAGGGAATGATGTTCTCTAAGTTTCTTCTACTCAAGTTACGACCTGCTGTAACCATCTTACTAGCTGCTGCGCATTCGTGGATATTCTTTCACCCCGGTAGAACATGCGAGGTCACATCGTGTCTGAATTCAGGTGTGTGTACCTGACATGTTCCTGTTCGGGATAAATCCCACCCGGTAGATGAAGTATATTATGGAGGTAGGTGATCAATTCTGTAGCAATTCAGGAACAGTTTTGTGTCTTTCTCACTACCTCGCAACCGACCATGCGTGCTCACAATTTTCCCCTATACGCATGGGGTCTGTGGTCGGCATCTACTGTGAATGCTGCCGTATCGCGCCGACACATTGATCAGGCGCTTGACAGTCTCACAGTTACGAACATTGAGGATGTAAGCGGCAATCTTCACCTACCAGACACATCTGGAGACTTCAAGGTCACCTGGGCAAGCAGCCACCCATCAATTATCTCAGCGGATGGTATTGTGAAACGACAGGATGCCAAAACCACCGTTGATCTTACGGCAATCATTGACCATGAAGGAATCATCTCCAACCGCACTTTCAACGCCAATGTCCGTAAAGCAGCAGCCCTTGCACCTTTCGAGGGTTACGCCTTTGCATACTTTACGGGCAACTCGATAGCTGGCGAAAAGATCTACATGGCAGCCAGTCAAGGCAACAATGCTTTGAAGTGGAATGAGTTGAACGGCGGAAAGCCTGTCCTGGCTTCTACTCTAGGCACAAAGGGCCTGCGCGACCCTTTTGTCATTCGATCAAACGAGGGTGACAAGTTTTTCTTGCTCGCCACTGATCTTTCGATCGGATCCGGTACCTCATGGGGAGATGCAGTCAAGTTTGGCAGTCTCTACCTTGAGATTTGGGAATCAAAGGACCTTAAGACCTGGTCAGCCCAGCGCCACGTCAAAGTTTCTCCATCCACTGCTGGAAACACATGGGCGCCTGAAGCCTACTACGATGCCAGTCTAGGCTCATACGTGGTTTTCTGGGCTTCTTCGCTCTATGAACCAAGCGATATCAATCGTACTGGAAGGACCTACCACCGGATGATGTATGTCACCACGCGAGACTTTGTCACGTTCAGCCAACCTCAGGTATGGCAAGACGCTGGGCTTTCGCGTATCGACACGACCGTTATCAAGGAGGGAAATACGTTCTACCGATTTACTAAGGATGAGGGAGGTACAGGCACCAACTGTCAAGATATCATCCAGGAACGGTCAACGTCGTTCCTTGCTCCTGTGAGCGGATGGACTCAAGTTGCTGCATGCATTGGTCGCAACGCCGGTACAAGCGCCGTTGAAGGACCGACTGTATTCAAGGCAAACGACAATGACGTCAACGGCAAGAAGTTCTACCTGTTTGTGGACGAATACACGGGCCGCGGCTATATTCCTCTGGAGACTGCAGACATCTCTAAGCCAACCTGGAAGGTCTCTAGCTCCTACAGTCTACCACGCAGCCCGCGCCATGGAACTGTAATCCCAGTCACTGCCAGTGAACTTGCCAACCTACGATCTGGACTTGCAAGCCGCTCAGATTCTGTTGCTTCTCGCAGCCGCTCCCGCTTGAGTGCCAGGGCAGGAAGCCCTGTTCTCCCAGGCCTTTATGCTGACCCCAACATTGCAGTCTTTGGCAAGAACTACTACCTCTATGTCACAACCGACGGCTTCCCAGGCTGGGGCGGCAACGTCTTCTACGTCTGGAAGTCTCCAGATCTAGTTTCATGGGCTCGATCAGAGAAGCCATTCCTGACTCTCAATGGCACAAGCGGAAACGTACCATGGGCGACAGGTAATGCCTGGGCTCCTACCATCATTGAAAGGAGTGGCAAGTACTATTTCTACTTCAGCGGCCAAAACCCCAAGTACAACCGCAAAACCATTGGCGTCGCCGTTGCAAACTCCCCCGAAGGTCCATTCACCGCCCAACCCGAAGCCATGATCCTAAACGACGGCACCCTCAAGACCGGCCAGGCTATCGACCCAGCTGCATTCCGCGACCCAACCACCGGAAAGTACTACATCTTCTGGGGCAACGGCACACCAGCCCTCTACGCCGAACTCACCGACGACATGATCTCGCTCAAGGCCGGCACCACACGCGCCATCAGCGGCCTCACCGACTTCCGCGAGGGTATCTTCCTCAACTACCGCAAGGGCCTCTTCCATCTCACCTACTCCATCGACGACACCGGTTCAGAGAACTACCGCGTCGGCTACGCAACATCAACGAGCGTCAACGGACCGTGGACGTACCGAGGCGTTATTCTGCAGAAGAACACTACACTGGGTATTCTGGGTACTGGCCATAGTTCCATTATCAACGTACCTGGTACTGATGATTGGTACATTGCGTACCACCGCTTTGCTATCCCCAACGGCGGTGGAACGAACAGGGAGACGACGATCGATAGGGTTTACTTCGATGATGCGGGATTCATCAAGCCGATTGTGCCTACGCTTACCAGTGTAGAGCCGAAGCCGGTTTCTGCGTGAGAGCGCTGAAGGGGGTGAGACATATGGATGAAGAGTGGTTTTTCTCCTTCTTAGTAAACAGCACCCTGTTTTGATCATGTAGTTAAATGAATTTGAATGTACATTATGAATTTACTGGCCCATCATCCTAACACACTCACTTTTGTCCTCTTTTTTACACTCCACACCTTCACCTATTACCCCCTTTTTACTGCATTTCACAACTCCTTGTATGTAGCACCGCTAGATGGTGCGTCGGCGGTGGGTTCGAGGTTAGGAAGTGTGAGATGAAGGCGGAGGAGGATTGCACGACTAGAGACTAGGGGATTCAAGGACAGTTGGTGCTTAGCTCTTGATAAAGGGTCGTTCTTGATGTGCTTGTTCAGTCAGTCAGTCACTATAGACATATAAAAGAGTAGTTGTACTTTCTACTGACAATGTCTTGCTATCTAACTCTACATTATTCACAGTGTACGATCAATTCTAACCTCGTAATTCAAATCCAACGTTGCTCGACATGCCTGATGTCCATGTGTATTTCATTCGTCTCAAGCCCCTTCATCCCCTCCAATCGTATTCCAATGCTCCCGTCCCCTATCCAGCCCTAGGTCTCTCCCACGCCTGTGCATCACTCATCTCAATACCCCCCGTCACACTCGCCTGTCCCAACTTCTCCACATTCCAATCCACATCCCCCGGAACCGGACTCCTCAGCTCCTTCTCCCTCCCCAGCCCCTCAACCCCAGCCGGTCCATCCCCCCAAACCAAATACTGCGCCGCAAGCCCCAAATCGCAGCACGCCTGAAAGATGCCACACGCCTTGAACGCCCAGGGCACCTCTCCGCTGCTACTCGCAAAAAAGAACCACATCTTAAACGTATCACCAATCACCCAATTCACAATAACACTCGGGCGGAACCCTTTACACCCGCGCCGCTGCCAATTCGCCAGAATCTGGGGTAGCGGCAGCGTCGCCTCAATCGTCAACGCAATACCGCCCAGCAAGTCCGTATACGGCCCAAACACGGCCGTTGAACTCATAAGCAAGTGCAACACAAGCAGACTCCCCGCAAAATACGTGATAAACGCCCAATACGGGCGGGGCGCCCTCCACTGCCAAAAGTCGTAGGGGCGACTCGACACGTCGTTGTGCTGGAACGGCAAGTGCGAGGGTGGCGGCCGATTCGTGAGCGCGACGTGGAGTAAGAGGAGGTGGACGCATATCATGAGGATGGCTTGTATGAGCAGCGAGGTGCTAAAGTGGGCGCCGAACCAGTAGTAGACTTTAAGGATGCTGGCGACGAGCATGATGAGGGGGATGTCGAGGGAGAAGCCGGCGGAGCTGCGTGCGCGGTGCATCGAGTAGATTTGGTCGCCATAGCTGGTTATCGGGCTGGTTGCTATGCTGGAACGGGGGGAAAAGCACGGAAGCGTTAGATTATGGAGGTGGAGAGCAGAAGGGTGCGGGCGGCGTACAAGATGGGCGCTATGTTCTTTACTATTGCGCTGATGAAGAACATGATTGTGTGGTCGTTCGTCGAGGCGGTCGGTCGGGGGTGCGCGGGCGGAGGACGACGCGGTATTGTTCGGAACGGTTGTGGAGGGTGTCGGAATCCCTCCCCTTGTTTGTATCGTACCCACACTTTCTTTACGGCTGTCTTTCTTTTCCTCCGTCGTTTTAAAGAAAATTCTCCAAACAGGATCGCTTAGAAAACAAAAACAATAACAATAACAAGCACGTGACCGTCGTAAACCGTGTGGCGTTACAACAGTTGTTGCGAAAAAAAAAACAAGGCCAACCGTCCGGGATAATAGAGGAAAGAGAGAAAAAGGGAGGAATGCACTATGTAACTAGCATAGTCCCGCGGACCACCTAAACTCCGGTCCCCTGCCCATCCCCATAGGGCTGAACACGCGCAGCGCGATAACCCGATAACTCCCTCGTATCTTATCGCGCCCTAATCCGCCTCATATCCCCATATACCCCAATTCCCCTCTTCCTCCATCCTCCAAATACGAGAAAACAAACCCGACCACCCCACGTACACAACCTGTCTCTCTTTCTCCCCTCCATACCAATTCCAACCTGCATACCTAGATTTTTTAGAAAAACAAAAAAAAGAAAGAAAAAAATGTCCCACACAGCCTTCTTCTACGGCACCCTAATGGCCCCTCCCGTCCTGCACCGCGTAATCTGGGGTTCACCCACTCCCCCGACCCCCGCCCACGCATCTTTGCTGCACATCCGCCCAGCTATCCTGCACGCGCACCAGCGCCGAAAAGTGAAGGGTGCGGACTATCCGGGCGTTGTACCTGTTTCCTCACCCTCAGAGACAGCAAGTGTACGCGGCACTCTAGTCCAAGGTCTCACAGACGGTGATATCTGGCGCCTAGATGTGTTTGAGGGGAGTGAGTATGTGCGGAGGAAGGTCAGAGTCAGAGTTCTCCTCCCCAGTCAAAAAGTACAAGGAGGTAAGGGGGAAGAGGAGGGCATGGGCGATTTAGCGCAAAAAGAGGAGGATAACGTCGAGGGCGATGAAGTAGAGGCAGAAACGTATATTTGGGTTGCAGGCGAGCACAGACTGGAAGATGACGAGTGGGATTTTGCAGAGTTCGTGAGGGAGAAGATGGGGAGGTGGGTTGGTGGGGTGGAACTTGAAGGTGAGATTCCATCCCGTTGGTAGTGATGACTAAGGGATGTTAACAAATGCTTAGATGTCGACAATGCAGTGGCAGCAGCACAGGGCGATCCAACTGGTGGCCGCGGCGCAAACGGTGATATAACACGCCAGTTGAATCAAGAAAGCAGGACAAGCAGCAAGATACTCGAGAGTGCAGTGTGAATAGAGAACAGAATCCGTTATTAGTTATATCTCAGCATATCGCTCCCTCAGTTCCCTCGTCCATGGATCGAGCTTTTTTTCGTTTTCTCTTTGCAATCCATTGCATTGCATTGCCAGAATACGCCGCCCCCTCTCGTGGCATCGTCTGTCGATCGAACTAGGAACTGGCAAATATGTAGTAGAAAAGGAAAGTAAAAGTGCAGAACACTAGGTCCCCCCATCGGCTTTTGTTATCTGTAGCAAGCAACGCCATCGCCATGCTAAGAAATAGAAAAGAAAAAATGCTAGAAAGAACAAGACACAAAGCTGGATGGGAAGAAATGTTACAGAGGTGCCAGAAAGCCGTACTGGTATCGTTCCGCTAAATGATTGGCCAAACGACCTAGATTGTCTTGTCTTATGTGGTGATGGGACTCCTCGCTGGTTCAGGTGTTTCTCGCACTATACTACTATCTTGAGTCCCATCAAGCTGCATTTGGTCGGTGGATTGTGAAATTGCTTCCACAGGGTCCTCAGTCTCCTCTTCGCTGCGTTGCAAGTTTTGGCTGGGCTGGCTTGGGTCTGGTGCTCTTGATCGACGAGCATGGTCTCTCTCGTAGTCGTCATCGACCTGGCCACCAGTTGATGCGCCCTTCCTCCCGGGCTCGATAATCTTGCTGCGCGGTGGTGGCCGGGGAATTTCCTCAAAGGAAGGTGAGGACTGAAGTATCTGTATCGGTCTCGGTGGTTGCAATGATGACATGTGACGTGTGTCGGCACGAGGCTGCAAAGGATGACGCAGCCCAGGGCCCGCAACCTTCGCCTCTTGCGAATCCTTAATTTCAATAGGAACATCCGGTGCGCTACCTTCACGGCTACGTGGGGACTGGGCCTTGGTTCCAGAATTTCCATCCCTCTTTCTCCTCAATGATGGATCCATCTGTGGTCTTTTGGCATTTGGCGAGCCCGTCGGATGATCGTGGTTGTCCTGTCTTTGACGCTTGCTAAGGCTGAACGAGCGAGATTCTTGGTCCTTTTGATCAATATGTCCAGTCTGGCTAGTTAGTCTGTCGGGACTGCTATGCGTGTCGTCGGCTGACTTATGTGCCTGAATAGTCCTGCTGTTTATGCGGATCTCCGGACTACGGCGTCTCGGTGACACGTTGAAATGGTTAGCCAACCCTGGTTTGGCAGGAGACTTGGTTGTTGAGGGTGAGTCTGGGTCTTTAGCCGCACCTCCCTGCGACGAGTGCTTGACTGAGGCTGAGCTGTCCTTGTTAGGTTCAAGCGGCGAACCGAGTCTCGGAAGAGATAAAGTAGCAGACGGTTCAGTTTGCGGTAGGTCATCTCCATCGGTAGCATACTTATCACTTTTGGCCTCCGTCCTTGAACCCGGCGATTTTGTACAAGAGGTTTTCTGGATCGACTGGATCGACTCCCTCTTTGCCTTTTTCTGTGCCGCCCTTGCCTCCCCTTGTTGCTTGTGGCATTCGAATATGATTTCTCGCATCTTATGCCTCATAATTGAAGGGTTGAGCTCTGGCCAGTCTTTTTCGGCCGACATAGATCCCGTCAGTAGCTTGTGCATGAACTCATCCGGATTCTGGAAAAACTTTTCGACGTAGCCAAGTAGATAAACACCACAATCAGTCCAGTTGTTCTGCATGGGGATCTGGGTGCCTTTTGGGTAGTAGCCGTTCTCTTTGATGACTGCTTCCATACCTCGCTTGCTTTTGCCTTCTTCTGCTATCCAGTCTTTGAGGGTGCGAACTGCCCCACTGCGGGCAATTCCCCCAAGAGAATCGAGAACAACAACTACTGGTTGAGTAGGATCTCTTTTAGGGACAACCTTGCGTTTGTTCTTGTTCTTGGCAAACGATAGACTTGATTGCACCAGCTTCCCTCGGGATGTGACTTCTACATCACTAGCGGTCTGCGGCGTCTCCATATGTTCAGTTTCCGATTCCAGAGTGACTGCATTGGATTCGTCAACCCCGGTTCGGGATCGAACTCCTGATCCAGGGTCATCGCGGTCAACTAGAGATATTGTCGCCTCATTGAAGAGGTTGGGATCTTCATCTTGTTGGCTGTGCACTTCTTCGACTTTCATGGGTGAGTTTGGATTTGACGCCGATTGAAACTTCCTGTGCTCTTCCCCGCCGCTTGCTGTAGCTGATATGGCAGGTAATTCGGGTGTTTCTTGTATACGAAGATGTGGGTCATCAAAATCTTCGAGCACAGGTTTGCGCCGGATGTTTGAGACATTGCAAATAATTGCCAAGTACCAATGAGACCTATGAGAGGTCAGTAAATTCTACAAAGTCGACGAGTTTGACATACTGCGATTCATTGATGGGTACAACAATATAGTCGTAGGTGAAGATGTCAATCTTAGACGTCCAGCGCTCAACAGCTTTGTAGTCCATCGACTTGCGGCCAGCATTTTCTGTGAGTCTGGTGAAGAAGTAGGTATTGAAGAAATAGACCTTCTCAGCAGGAACATTAAGCTTTTTGAAGAGATAGCTTTTTGGTGTTAGCAGTTGCATAAGCTGGGATTTCAATCCACGCACATCATGTAAAAGTTTATCAGACTGTCGTTCAAGTACTCCTCTTCGTCCAGGCGAGGCAAGTCATCAAAATGCACTATAGCACGCTGACGACCTTCCCCATACTCGAGGGACCTTTGTATGATTAGCGAAATCAAGCCATGGAGTTCCGGTACTTACTTGGACCAGGGTCGTCCTAGTCCTTTGTCGATAGAGTATTTTGGCACCTCAACAATACCAGGACTATCCCTTGCAAGATGTGTGGACGTCAATGGTCGTGAGCGTGATGAACGGGTCAATGCTGTGGCTGTTGTCGTAGTATTAACGGTGGATCTGTTCTCGACACCCCTTTCGTGGCGCCGCTCTCGAACCCCAAGTGGCTTCTCCGCCTGCTCGGAATGTGTATTATGACTCTTGGAGTCTTTTACGGCGTTATCTGAGACTTCAGACATCGCTACTTTATCATTCCTTGCTCGTAGAGGAGTGGTAAACAGTCGGCGCATGTGTTCACTGCAACAACGTTAGTAGGTGGTTGATGGTCGCTCCGTGTTCACTCTTACTTTTCTTTCGAAAGAATCTTGCCGCTCGTTGTCAGAGACGCTGCGTGTGAATTGCAGAATGCTAAAAAGTCATTTGAGTTGAGAAACTCAAGATCAAATATGGGACTATTGCCATCTGCATTTCTGGGTCCCTCTAGACGAACACGGCTTGTCTCGTCTGCATGGACCTTATTGACTTGTTGAGAATGGATTAAGATTACTGTCTCATAGCCCTCTGTGTTGTACTTCTGGACGCGCAAGCCTTTCGGGTCGCTTCGAAGAACCAGAGTAGCATGCCCATCCTCCATTTTGGAGCCGGCCCCCTCAAAGCCATATGATCTTGCAAATGACAATTGCCAAGAACTACTACTGATTTTACTTTGTCCATTTCGTTTGGCACCACTTTGCACGGCCTTCTTTACTTTTGATGGTGACAGTGCCTGCTTCCTGGTAGCGACGGGTGAAATGGCAAGCTCATCGGCGCTGTCGCTATCTTCTATTTGATTCAATTGCTTAGGCACTGGCCGATGTTGAGTACGGAGATTGGCGCTGTTGCTAGTGACGGAGCGGCTGGTACTTGGCTGCTCTGTAGTCGATTCGTTGATTCGAGCCTCAGGGAAATGTTCAGAAGTGACTGGTCGCTCTACAGATTTATGGGGAGGCTCGCCTTGCTTAAAATCCCGTAAAATGAACTGGTGGGCTTCCTCAGAAAGGGTGCCACGGCGGACAGGGGAGTTATTCCGGCGAGCTTGGCGCTTGTTGCAAATTGCTTGTCTGGGCTTCTTTGCAGAAGGATTAATGAGACCATCGACTTCTCGGAACTCGTTTGTGGCTCGATGTATCTTGAATTCAGCTCCGGTACTCCCACTCCCAACACTAAGGCGTGATTGCGATGACATGGCCGAGACAGGCCTTTCATCAGATAGCCTGCGAGGGGTAGACGTTCCAGGGCGTGTTACCACCATGGCTTCATCGTCTTCCTCATCGTCTAGGGCTATAACATGCTCAGTCTTCCTGCGCTTTGCGGATGCAGGCCCACCAGACCATTGGTCCTCTTCGCCTCGTGACAATCCATGTCGACTTGGTGTGCTAGGTGCCTTGCTTCGTTGGAATTCGGAGTAGGCTGTCTGACCCGGACCTGGCGACTGGCCTATCAACACGGCACGGGGACGAGCATGTTTCCCGTACGTTGTAGGCTTCCGATTTACTGCGCGAGCTACGCCGTTGAGTGTATCGACTGGCCTGTATCCCTTGTTCGCACCCGGCTTCAAGATGTCAGTGTGTAGGTCCATAATCATAGATGCTTAGAGACATACCTTGTTGTGCATGATTCGCGACTCCGGCATCCAGGTCGACGGGTCGGGGATAGAAACCGCATCTGCTGGAACTCTGGTCGACTATTAGCATTCTCCCTCTTACTATTCACAGTCGTCGTGGTAATTTACTCGTAATCACCAACCAGGCGCCTCTCGTCCTCGCTTATAGCACGTTTTGATGACCGTGAGAGAGATTTCCCAGACCGTTGCTCGTCGCGCTGGGATTTTCTTGGGGGCTTTGTGGGCGAAGAGAGGTCTATGACAGTGGGGGTAGATCTTGAGGCGGGTGGTGAGTCCCTAGACAAGGAAAGTGGAGGCAGGTCGAGAGTCGGCGAGAGGGCGGGGGCATCGTTCGCCTGTAGCAGCATGGTGTTAGCTGGGAGGAGCAGCAGTATTTCGTCACATGTGCAAAGTGAAGTGGCAGGGCCCAAGTCAAGGCACTCGGAAGGCGATCAAAGAAAAGTGCGCGTACGTCTGTCGTTGAGTGGCCTCCGGCAACAGCTATTATGCCGTTGATGAGGTTAGACAACATTAGTATAGCATTGCGGTGGCAAAGTGACCAGAGGTTGCATTCTTGGATGCGGACGCTAATCCTCAAAATGCGCGAAGAAAAGGCACAAAGCGCAAACGCGCGCCGTGGGGCATGTGGAGGTGAAGTTGCGCCAGCAGGTGAGTTCGCGATGACGTCCGTGCGCCTCGTCTGGACAAGCCTGCTTCGACTACAAGGACGGGTGGCTTCTGCAATTAAACAAGATCCTTGTGCTAGTATCTTTTCTTCACGCTCATTGGAGTTCATATACACTATGTAGAGCATCACGTATAGCATAGGATTGAATCGAGGCAACGAAGCGCACTAGTCATGTGCGCATAGGTGTACATAGTATTATCATTCATAGTCACAGGTCTATGTGACATGCATCTGTGTGGATGCTAGCTTCAGAGGAAGCTGACCGAAATCGCACAACACCAGCTGCGATGCAACGCTGTGTATAGTGGTGGGCATGGTCTGCAATGACCGGACCAGAAAAGGACTGGTCCAACGGTTCATTTGCCTTACATGCAAGTAGAGCCCACAGTAAATTCCATGCGCTCGACTAGGGCATGACATTTCTGTCAGTGGCCCCCGCTGGTGGTACATAGAATCCTTTGTGGGTCTGATAACGCAGGTGCGCCTGCGCTTGTGCCTGCGCCTGCGGAAACAACGCAACGAGCGTGTGACCCTGATGCCGAGCCTCAGAACAAGTCAATCGCTCGATGGCCTGAAAACGATCTAAGAACCGGCCACTGGTTTCTCTTCGGTAGATGTCACCCTCCGCTTCTCCATGAGATTCTTTTCATGGCGGGCCTGGTCGATGGCTGAGCGCTGAGCAATGCTATCATCGTGACTTCGCCAAACAATGTTAGTGCCCTCTGGCAACTTGAGGACCCGCCTAATCGTATCCCGAATCTTGACGTTCTTTACTCCGTCACTCTTTGTCCAGATGCTGAAGACGTCCTCGCCGCTTCGGACACTCAGAACAAAGCCGCAGAATTCATCGCCAGCCTCCATAAATTGATCCCCAACGAGCGCAAGTAAGAGGTCTTCCCAGTAACGGTCCGCAACGCCCTTTTTCAGGCGCATGATCCATTTGCCACCTCGTTTGTTCTCGTCATCCTCCCATACCGGTCGTATGCCTTGCTTGAAAACATGATAGTCGGACACGGAGGGCAGACTCGAAGGCCGCTTGAGGTGTGAGAAGACTCTCCAAAACTCTTGGGCCGTACTGAATCTGCAGAGCGGTACAATCGACTTTTCATAGTCGACATTCTTGGCCGTGGGCGGGCGGTACCATACCGCCCAGGTGTACTTGAGCGGCCACGGCGCGTTGAAGTCTGGCGGTGCGGATGGGCTCGCAGCGTTTTCTTGTATTGGCGCCGTGGCTATAGACTCTTTTCGTATGCTGTTGACCACCTTGCTCACGGGCTTGTCCTTCTTTTCAGAAGGGGTTGTGGGCGCTGTGGACGACATGGCTGCGGCTTTGAAGTCAAAGGCTGTTCCTGGCGTCTTGGGAGTCTTGGCCGCGGAGCCAAAGGAGGCGAATGCGCCTGAGCCGAGCCCAAAAGCAGACGAGCCTCCAGTGGTGGGTGACGCAAGTCCGCCGGGTGTCAATGGGGGAATGGCGTTGAAAGGATTTCGGCCGCCGTGGGAAGAGTCGCCCCCAAAGCGTTTGGTTGCGGAAACGGTGCGCTGGTGTGGTTCGGATTTATCGTTATTTTCGGAATGCGACATGGAGAGGGAGAGCTTGCTGGTGCTATTGAACGCGGGTCAGTAGGTGTGAAGCGAAGGTGCGGGGGTGCATGCGAGCATACTTGGAGCGCCGAGTCCAGAGGTTCTCCCTGTTGTCCATTGGCAGCAGTGGCAAGTGGGTAAATAATACAAAAGAAGAAGAGGAAGAAGAAGAACAGCGGGCTATCCAAAAGCGGCTTGGGCGTGGTCGTGTGAAAGCAAGTTGTATGCGAGCTAGAGGGCCGAGGGCCAATGTGCGTGTGAAGCGGGCGGGGTGTGATTTGCGATGGTTTTGGTCGTGGTGCGGGCGAAGGCTGTGCGGGCGTATGGATGATGTGATGGTACAGAAGAATGTGGAGAAGACGGAGTGCGTGGGATCGTTGAGGGTGGTGGGATGTGTGGTATGCAATGCCGAATAGTGGAGCGTACTGAGAAAACGTTTGAGAGGTTGGCACACTTGCAGCTCAGGCGCGCGCCTTGCGCGGCAGGGATACCGGCTTAGTCATGCGCCAAGCCCTACAATCTCTTCTTTGCTCGCGCGCGACCCGGCCCTCTTCTCTTCTTCTTCAACACCGGCCTTTGACTCGTAACAACTGCCAGCTCGACACTCTCTACTCAGCTGGCAACTCGGATAACTGGCCCAGAACGAGCCATCCTCTTCTAAAACCATCATCACGAGGGCCGCTTTTCGCGGCTTCCATGATGCGGTGATGACCTGAAAGCAGGGACATTTTTTTATCACGCGCCTGACGCGTTGAGACGGCAGCTGTTTGCGGCCGTCTCTGCTTGATTTTTTGTATGTGTGCATCGCTAATTTTATCACGCCATGGCTGGGGATGAGGGTCCTTGTGGACCACTTCTGGTAGTCTGAGTCTCAGCCAGATGTACACTATCGCGCAAGCGATTTCTTGGTTGAGTATGAAGCTCAAAGGCAAAGTCTGAAGCGATTGGCTGTATCTTGTGTGTGTGTGTGTGTGGCTGGAGATGCTTTGAGAACAAGGTGTGCTAATCGGTGATTGCCCAGCAGTCTCCAATCCACGAAGCCGCAATGGCGCTCGCACGAAGCGTATCGGCGATAGCTCCTACTCGTGTGCAGCATTGCAACCCAAGCAGCATTACTACCGTCTCATGAGACCCGAGTGGAGGGTGGGCAGTCAAGCCAAACCTTGTACACTTTGGCAATGCTGGTGTTGATGGTCGGTGGTAGATGACAGTAGCCTGACGCTATGTGCCGCTGTAGCCATGGCTTCCCTGTCCATGCAGGGTGGACGGAAGATCCAAAGAGAGTCTGTAGATGGATTGCGTACATGACAGACGGCATTCCATACAGGACCGCACCTGCATAGCTCTTCACGTGCGCCCCTCCCGTTTGCATGTGATTGTCAGGATGCGCGCTTGGCACAGTCTACGAGGGCAAGTCCATGGGAGCGAGTCTTACAAGCGTTGCAGTGTGCTGCCCAATGGGTGGAGCAAGCCCTCGCTTGTTGTCATGGGTCGGCCCCAGTGTTGATGCTCGCCGTACATGTATAGTCAGTCTATGGAGTAGTTGGGCATGGCGCGGCCGCATCTTGCATCTGTCAGACAAAGACAGCCGCGTTAAGCCCGGAGGTGTATGTAGGTCGCTGGAATAGTCGTGCGCTGCGGGGAGTGTTCTCTTGTCTTTTCTAGCCTTACCGCCCTTGCAGGCAGAGCAAACGGCGGGCGGGGGGTGCAAAACAAAGGTCCCGCCGACGTCATCGTTCTGTGCTCTGTGTCTTCACCAGGACAACGCACCCCCACCACGCCGACTGCGCTTTCCTCGGCGGCCTCACTAACCCGACCCTATCGCTGCCTGCGCTGCCTGCTTGCCTGCTCGCCCATCTGCCTCCTCTTCATACAAAGCTCCCCCGGCCCCCGCCAGTTTTGCTTTTCCACACCAGTCTCCCGCTCCCAACCACCCGACTTCACTCCCCGCACTACAGCTCTCTTGCACGTGCCAGTACCCTTCTTCTCTTGAAAAGAAAGCAATCACACCACCAGCCATCGCCCACGCAATGACGGCACAATCGCCCCAGCTGCACTCGCCCACCTCGCATCCTGAGCGGCCAAAGGGTGCGCCAGTCAAAAATACCCCGCTTCGCCCGCACCCTTGATTAACAAGCCCAGGTATCCTCAAGAACTCCACTTCTTACCGCTCAGATTCACACACATCGCCTACTCGCGACCTGCCGCCTGCCACGAGCCCAATCTCCTCGGAGCGTCCGCAGCTTGGCCGTGAGCTGTCGGAGAAAGAGATCGTGCTCGAGAACACGCTACGCAATGCTGGCGCCCACCGCCGCTCGTCTTCAAACCCTCGTGGCCTGGGGTCGCGGCGCCAATCGGGCGCAGACCCCACGGGCGACGCCAGCCCCCAGCTCAAGTGGGACGAGGCCAATCTCTACCTCAACGAGCAGAACCGTGACAGCACCATGAAGATTGACGAGCCAAAGACGCCCTACGCCAAGCAATACGACCCTGCCGAGGACGAAGAGGAAGTCGAGATGCTGAACGCCCAAGAGCTCAAGGTTGACGAGCTCGACAAGGCGAAGCGCAAGCCAAAAATTGACGATATCCCCGAGTTTGACCTAGGCCAGCCCGAGCTACAGGCCCGCCACTCACACACGCCCGATAGCGAGAAGCGAGTCATTGTCGGCGAGGGCATGGACACGGACGAGGGTTACCACGGCGAACTGCTCCCCAACGCGACACAGGAAGAGAAGGAGAAGCATCGCAAGTTCGAGGAGCTGCGCAAAAAGCATTACGAGATGAAAAATGTCAAGGACCTGCTAGGGTAAGCCTTGTTGTTCACCGCTCACAGCATGAGTCGCCGCTAACTAGCAGCTAGTCACCCGGAAGATGCAGATGAAGACGAAGAGATGCCCTTGCGACCCAATGGTCCATGAAGGACTGATTACGTTTTATGATCTATATTTTGCGGCATTATGATGGAGTTAACAGGATTTACCTTGCCAAAGGACGGCGCTGGAGGACCTTGGGGGACATTAATTTTCATAGCTGATCGGCTTAGCATGTGTGACGAATATGACGATTGGACTCTTTTGTTTCATAACTGCCGAGTGTTGATGGTGCAAAGTCGCGTCGTGTATATATATGTGTACGTAATTACCATGATTCAATAACCTCAACACGTGTCGCGTCCGCCGACATTGCTATGACAAGAGCAAAGAAGGAAAGAAAGAGACAAAACAACTCTCAAACTCCTCACTTAAACTCCTGATCAACAGCCTCGAAATTCTCCAAAAAGCTCTGGAAAGTAAACACACCCAATCCGGGATCCAAACTACCCGTCGTAGCACGGATACTATGCATACTCAACTGCGGGATTCCGCAATCAATAGCCCTAATTCCCGTCGCAGCACTGAGCATCGGTCCCACGGTTCCTCCGCTACGACTATCATTCCTAATCTGGAACACTTGAAGCTTAGGATCCGTCTTGCGGATACCCACATCGCGATCGACACAGCGCTGCAGGATGGCCGTGGAGACGGCATCAGTCGTCATGTGCGCATTCGAGTCCGCCGACACAGCGGGGCCGACGTTCAAGCGGGGGGAGTGGTTCTCGAGATATGCGTTTAGGAAGTTAGGGTTCACAGCGTGAATGACGTCACTGGAGACGAGGAAGGAGTTTGCGTAGGTTCTGCTGAGGGCGCTGCTTGTTTTGCCGTTTGCTGCGAATTCCTCGGCTATCCGTTCCATGATGCTGGGGAGGAAGTTGCCGTGGGCGCCCTGGCGGAGGAGGGACCCGACTTCTTCGTCATCGAAGAGGGCGACCATGCGGATTTGCGAGGAGCTCGAGAGCGTGGGCGCCGAGTTGAGGAGTGCTTGGACGGCGGCCCAGGAGCAGAGCTTGTCGTCGATGCGGCCGGCGAAGATGAATTCTTTGTCTAGACCGCCGGTCCGGGCGGGTTGGGTGTCGAAGAGCTCGAGTTCCCAGTTGACGATGCTGGAATCTACGAATCGTTAGTCGTGTTATTTTGGAGATAGAGCAAATGGTAACGTACAGTCAGTGACGCCAAGCTCTCTGGAGATAGCCTTGACGAGCCTCTCAGGCTGAGTAGAAGCAAAGGCGCCTTCCCCACCAAGAAGGCTGGCCTTAAATTCTCCCTCGTTCTCACTCGACGAAGGTCCTAGATCACTGTTGTCGAGACCGATAATCGGGACCATCTGGGTTTCCTTGTTGAACGGACCGTTGGCAGCAGCGCCAAAATGCGGTGCCAAAGTCGGAATCTTTGCAATGGGCCAGTCCAGCTTGACAAGTTTTGTGACAATCTTGCCGTTCTCCTTGACGAGCACTCTGCCGCCGATACCAAGATCGCGGTCCCACCAGGTATCACTGAGCGCACCAGCGTATGGCGCTACACCAAGCTGCACATAGCCAGCCTTGGTACGCAGCTTAGGGATGGGCTTGAGCTTCGCAGTCAAAGCATCAATGTGTCCTGCAACGATTGCCGCACCGTTACCGGACGCGTATTTGTCACCAACGGCAAAAGCAATCAACGAGGTGCCGTTACGCTCGACGTAGTATTTGCCTCCAGCCTTCAGCTCCCATGCGTCCCGCTCAGATAACTTCTTATAGCCATCCTTTTCGAGGTCCTTTGCGACGGCATCGACGGCGTGGAAGATGGTAGGGTTGTTGGTCATGTAATCGGTGAAGGGCTTCGTGTAGCTTGCCGGGTCCTCTTTGGTACGCGAAGGAACCGGGATCCAGCAGTGAGAAGGTACATTCTGAGGAGCCTCCATTTCCTTCTTGGGTTGCTCACTGGGTACTTCGGGAATCTTGGGAGGTACAGGCGGAGGGTTCTGCTGCCTTGCTGGGGGCGGGTAGTCGTCGTCGTAGGCACGAATCAAGTCGGGGTATGATGCTGCTACACTATGACGGTTGCTCAGATTAGAGTTACCTTCTCGGGTCCTCCACACTCTTGCTGTGCCTCCCCTGTCTGGGCGTTGCATGTATGGCAGAGACGCGGTGGTATGCGCGCGTGGAAGTATTACCGAGGACGAGGGTCGCAACGGGCGAGGCGGTGACGGGTCAGAGTACAGATCAGCATTCGAAGTTGCTTTGCGTAGAGCAGGGGGGTTCCTCGTCATATTGGCAGTTTCGCGCATGTGGTTGAAGCTGTTTGTGAGTTGGAGGAAGCAAGGAAGATGGTAGTTGTAGTCGAGGCTGAAGTGTTGCTACTGTACCTCTCAAGCTACTGACGCCACATGTGAGGCGGAGCCACCGGATATGGAAGGCCTCCGAGCACATCGCCGCAGCCGCTAACGTGGATCCACTCGTAACTGAATAACCGCTACAGCGGAACACTAATAACCCTCTACGGCTGCCTTTGGAGCCCATTAGCCCAAAGTAGCTCTCCTTAATCAAGTATTACTCAGCGTAGTAGATATAACTAGTTAAACCCCACAAATATTAACTTAGCTAGGTAGCTGTTTGTCTATCGTGAATACAGACTATCAGACTCCTTTCGATATTATTGCCCTCTATCCGGGCCTATAATCATCCCATTGTCTGACAAATACTCTACTAAAGCTGGCTATCTAGAATAGTAGTATATGGTAGAATATTAGAGCCATTATGACCCTTCATGTACACTACTTACACTCCAATGTACACTACTTAACACGATCAGCATTGCCCCCAGTTTCGCCCGACAGGAAACAATCGCTAAAATTGTTCTACGAAACAAAAACTGTCTTCATACAAGGATTATGTTCTCATAAACACCTTTGCCATCGAACAGCTGCTTGCGTTGTTCCCATTCCAGATCAGAAACAAATACCCTATACATGTACCGGTATCCACTGCCACTATGCCGAAGACCTAGGACCCAACGGCACTCTGGGATGAGATACAACCTGTCACCGTGCTGACAAGAAGGTAGCAAATCTTCAAATATGTGCCCCACGATATCTGATCCAACAACAAGATCGCGAATATGCTCGAAGAAGCTGCTTAGCTTTGCGATTGAAGAGGAACTTGGAAAGTTGGGGTCTGCTTGGTGAGCTGAAACCCTGCCTCCACGTCGCTGACTTTTTCTTCTCCTCGATTTCTTTCCGCATTGAAGAAACTCTTCCAATGTCGCGCTATGCTCGGATGAAGACGAATCTTTCTTTGTATCGGCATCCCAAAAGTTGAGACGAAGATAATCGCGGAATCTCTGTATATGCGTTTTCGCATCGACATGAGGTATGTCTTTGGATTTTAGAGCTGCTAGGATCCTCCTTTCAACCTCAAGAATTTCTTTGCGCAGCAAATCTGCATCCGTTTTTTCTTTCATCGGGAAAACTTCCACCGTTGTGATGACTCGTCCCAACATCAGCGCATTATGTATCATTATTTTAGTGCATATTTTTTCGATGTCAAATAAACTTATCGGCACCCCCGACTTTCGTTCGTCTTCTGTGGTACCTTGGGGAAGGACATTATACTTACTTTTTGGAGCTCCACGATTTTTATCCTCTCCAATCCATTTTTTTGATTTCCATAACGGAACCCATGAAGGTACCTCTTCGATGCTACTAGGTCCGCTTTCCAGGATTCGGAGAGGGTATGACTGAGGTCGAGGATCGAAAAGTATCCAAATAGCGACTCGATGAAAAAATACAGCGTCTGTATGTTCGTCCTGATATCTCACCATGAGAAAGATGATATTATCATGATAATCCCCCATATAAAGAAAACCGAACAGTCCATTTACCCTATCTTTAGGTTTGGTCACTTCAAAGTTTCCACTCATACAGCTCAGGTACGTAAGGAGACGGCTCGCAAGAGATGTTTCGGATGGTTCATATCCTTCATGAAACATGCCGTGAACAATTAGGGGTATGTGGGTTCGAGAAGGTATTAATGGTGCACCTGGAAAAATCCAATGGCTCGCCAGTTCGAGGAACCTAGGATATCCGATTTCAATATAGTCGCATTGCATGACTGGATCCTGTTCTGGAAGCGAGGCTTCCTGGATGACCCAGACGCGTCGCCACCAGGGTCGCATAGCTATGATTCGCATTCCGAGAGCTTGTAGTTCATCTGGAGAACAATCGTTGTGTATTTCCTGACCAAGCAGGCGGTCGTTATTCATGACATATTTCATGGCTTCAAGCAGTGCCATCTCAATAATCCCTTCTTTAATACTCAAGACTGCTTCTGTATCTTCTTCTGGGGATAAGAGAGAGCAGGGTTCTCTAAGTGTCGGAACTCGTCTTGATTGATAATTCTCAAGTTCCTCTTGTATATTTGGCATTGACTCACGTACATCAGTGAAAGAGCCTAGCCAGATGCGTACCTCCTTGGCCTTTTTATACACCCTGCCCATGTGTTTCACTTGCGAAAAACATTCTTCCCTATCGGACTGGTTGATACAAATGGCGTCGACCCAGAGTATGCGCTCCGAAGAGCGGCTTCGTAGATGTCGTAATGCTGTCTCTAGATTCGTCGTTATTTGTAATGATTTGTAGCAATCCACCCCTAGAGAGGGAGCAGGTGGCCATGTACAAGGAGTTTCACTCGTGAGGAGTTGTTGGTAACCAAGTTGGATAGGTTTTGTCTTCTTAGCGTCGCCCCATACGTATGACAATGCAGTGTACTCTGGTGGAGGCCTCCAATTAAGTATAATGGCATGGTAAATTGTACAATATATACGATCGTTGAAGCCACCCGGATGCAGGCGTATGAGTCGAGTTTCAAACTCCTCGTAGGAAAGTGTGGAAAGCGGTTGGTATGCAAAAGTATCTTGTGAGCTACTCATTTTTTGATCGAATGATTGAAGAAATTAGTGGAAGAGTTTGGAGAGAGTGGAAAGTGCGACAAGGCTGAGTTAAGAGATTTAATTACGAAAACCGGTGAAGCAAGGTGGCGAACCGTACAACTCGACCAGCCATATTCATACATCTACACTATTTGGTTTATCAATTAAGCTTAGCCCTCAGAGGGCTTAGACGTTGTAAGAGCACGTTCATGGCGCTGTAGCAACCGACGTCTAATCTACAGTAGACAAAGACCCTCTGCTGATCATTCAATGCGCCAATCATCCAACGGTATTCTTTTGTATAGACCAGGTGTAGGGTACTTTCAAGTAGCGACACTAGGGGATCTGCTAGTATGAAGAACATATATTGGCATATAGGCGGGGTTTCATTAATCAAGTGAGCTGAAGCAGCAAGCCCCGCTGTCATAACAGGCGGGGTAGGGTGGGGGTTGCTGCAGGTTCTATGATAAGACGAATTATTTAACAATGCACTTGAAATTGCTGCAATTTACTGTTCACGGCTTTCGATAGAGAGAAAAAATTCAGAATCATATATAAAGATTGACTATACTCCGTAAAACAGTGTGACCTAGGTATAATATGCTTAAACAGTGTTAATAGTTTGGCGCGAAGGCTGTTCGACCCACAAGGATGGACATCAGTTTGAAGTCGATGTACCGCCAGCACCTTTTCAAGCAGCGGGATTTCGACTTTTAGGGAGGGACACCGATTGTGTGAATTGATCCAGATATAGAGTCTATTCTTACCGCAAAATGTGTCTATTGGGAAGGACATTAGCTCTAGACCTTGAGAGCATAAGATACTCAGCCTACCTGCACCACTAGATCCATGAAGCAAGCGTTACAATAGTTGGCAGAAGAGAGAGCTATTAATATTAATTAGACGACGCTAGGGGCCTTCAGCGCATGGAAACCTGCTAATGAGGTGCTCGCTCCTAGGTTAAGCTGCGATAAGTACTAAGACGGCACGCTGAGCCACATAACCAGCTTACGAGGGCTTTCCTACACGAGTTAGGTGTGTCTGCTGTGTAATGTAGCTAGTTCACAGCTAGGTCTTTTCTATACAGCAAGGATCCTAGCTACGCGACTTGATTAAAGAATAAATCGCTGCTATAAAATAGCTAGCCTATTAGTAATCCTAGCCTACTTAACATGTACTCTTCTTATAGTCTTCCATGGTCTTATAATATCTTAGATAGATGTACCAAAGTAAGAGTAGGCCTAAAGCAGTCTAAGGCGACAGCGTTCTCCAGACCTTTAGCTTATTATAGTATTACACAAGTAGTAAGAACGCTATAGTAAAGATAACAAGCTAAAATATAAATAAGAAGTCATATCATCTATTACAAGACTGTATCAGCAATATAATCATTATTAGTATTATAGAGAGAAATTAGTATTGATATTCTACTACAGCCGTTATCCCGTTACGAGTGGATGGACGTTAGTCTTCCTGTTCCTATTAGGCCCACATAGGCTGCCAGCGCAATACCAACTTGTCAACTAGTGATTTAGTAAGGTCTCATGGATGCTCTTTTTAGTAATGATCCCTTCTTCGGAAAGATTGATTGAATTCATTTACAGCTTCTGTCCTACAACGTGGATCGAGATCGTGTCTAAATAGAGAGCCACAATCATCAACAATTTCGCGACACGAATCAACATCAAGCCGAAGGACAAGAAACACAGTGAGAAACAAAAGAGCCAATCCCACATAGTCACCATTTGTCCGGTTTGATCATATTCACTCACTAGGATCGTGTGCAGTCATACTTCATCGGTATTATTTCGTATCGTTATCCTCGTCATGTAATCTCTTATGTCACCTGTAAAGTCTCCGATCCATTCTAGCATTGAAACTCTAATCACAACTTGACATTCTCCCACTCCTCTCCCTGCGGAAACCCCAAATGAAACCTGCCACACTTTGCAAAATCCAACAAGGCCTGGTCCGACATCTGGAAGTCCGTCACCCTCCCACCAACCTCCTCGTTCGTATCCAGAAAGTGTGCATGAATACGCGGTCCACTGATAGCCTTCATCCATTCTGGTACAATAAAGCCAAAAATAACGCCATCAATTGCATTGCGGCCAGGCCCATTTTCGAACTCTATTGATTCGAAGCGACCGAATATTCTGAACGGCATGAGTGTATTGACGCCTTTGGTAGGTCCCAAATCATTGGAGGAAGTTAGTTCCTCGAGGCCGTCTATGGTTATGGAAGGTATTTTGATACGGAAGTTGGGCTCATAAACGGTTACTAGAGCGAGGGGAAGGCGTGCGTTTGCAGGTGCTGGTTTGGCTTTCCCGTCTTTGGTGATTACAAAGGCTTGGCCTGATTTCAGCATCATGAGGTTGCCATCTTCATAGACACCAATGCCGTCCGAGCCGTGTGAGGTGAGATCTGATGTTCGTGGTTGACCTTGATTGAAGCCGGCCTTGAGAGCGGCGACTGTAGAGAATTGGAATATATCGTTTGGTATGGATTCGACCATCTTGATAAATCTGATAGTGTTTATGGGGAGAGGGAATTTGTCAGATTTTTCCACATGGTACTTATGGTGTGATGGCCTGATGGTATTAGAGATGAAGGTTGACCAAGGATCCGGGGTTAGCGGAGAGCCGATCACCGGCTCGGCTATCATGGAAGTGCACGAGGAACATTCCTAAGGAGCGTTTGCTCGCACGATTCCCTTGATCGAACGAATTTCTGAACTTGCACATAGTCTCAACTCTTCCTTTTACAGTGACAATTCAAGCAAGGTTTAGGGTGGTCTGCTAGAGGAAAACTTGCTTTTAAAATATCGAACGTCCCGTTACTCAACACTTGTTTCCGATGCTCAGTCGCAAACCAACTCTCGCAGTTCCTCATATGGTTTCTTGTCATAAAACTGGAAAGAAGAGTTGCTTTCTCAAGGTTGAAAATTTGTCTTGTTTCAAGCATAAGTGTATTGATAACAAACTTGAAAATGGTTTATGTGCCGTGAGACAAAATTATAAAGGTATTCTGCACTCTATGAGTCAATGAAAAGAGTGATTTGCTTAGCATTTCATGAGTGAGAATGTCAACCGAGGATATTCTGCATAGCATGCAAAGACCAGGAGCCACCCTCGAACCTGTTTTCTTAGCCAACTTGAAGAAGATGAAATAAATCAAGATGGCTAAGGTGAGAATATTTTCAAAAGGCATTGGTTAATTCGAACAAGGACTATGCAGGGAAATTACTGACAATTTGCAGTTGAGAGACTGGGTAGACAAAAAGAGTAATGGAGGGTTGAGCCAATAACAACTAACCCTCTGCTTATGTAAGTTACGTATAGCGCGAATGCTCAGAAGCTCAACTTCAACCACGCAACCTGTATCTTCGCCCAGCAATTGCGCAGCCCGTCTGCACCAACACCTCGCTCAAGATGCTCCCCGTCACCCTTCGCGCTCTGCGCTCCCGCAGCGCAGCGGCAGCCTCCCGCCCCTTTGCCCGCTATGTCTCGACGGCTACAACCAGCAACCAGGTCCCCGCCAACGATCCCGTCAAGCGCGACGCGAAGCAGAACGTCTCGGCAACCAATGAAATGGCTACCTCTTCCGAGGGCTCGTTCGACCAGGTTCTTCAGGAGTCTATGCAGGACGCTGAGGAGTTGAGGACCACACAGGCGCCCAACTACAAGGGTATCTGGTCGAGGAGTCAGAATCCGAGGGCGGTTGCGATGAGCGGGCCGAGATTTGAGCAAACCATCATGGCTGATCAGGTATGTTTTGGCTCTGCTGGGAGATGTGGTGGAGATATGAAGATTGGGCATTATGTTGTTCCAAGGGAGGGAACAAGCGGTTGCTAGTGGGAAGATTAAGAACAACGAAACAATTGCTAACAGGAATCATACAGCCACGCCCATATGCCGCCATTGAGCTCATCCACCAGCAACCCGTCCGCTGGACACATGACCGCGTCGTTTCATGTGACGGAGGAGGCGGTCCTCTCGGACATCCCCGGATCTTTATCAACACAGATAAGCCCCAGATTTGCTGGTGCACATACTGTGGTCTGCCCTTTGTACGTACCACACCTGCTGATTCAAACTGGAATTCTCGAATTTCAGAATATTGGCGGATTCGGGCTTGACAGGATAGTTGCTAACACTGCACAGGCTCATGAGAAGCACCGCGCTGTCCTCGAAGCCACCCCCGAGCACGAGCTTTCATACCCACTGGGACCCAAGGGCAATGCGGCGGAAGTCAACGAGACACAAAAGGTCACCGACGAGCCGCTTTCACAGCGGTAAACCCGTCTTGACTTTTGCGAGGGTGTACATATGTGCTTCAATTGAAAGTCCTGCAAGTAGACATACCACTGATTTTACTTAAATGACACATGACCTTGACCATTCTATGTTAACACTGATTTCGGAAAACTGATCCGTTAACGGGTAAGATGTTGAGATAAGGCAGTTAAACGACAAACACATTGCTCACTTGACCAGTAATTGTTGAATTCTGTGAACTTGACTTATCACAGCTGAAAATATATTGCTCAGAATCTAACTATGGATATCATGTCACCCAGACCTCTCTTTACATCTTCTCTCCCTGAATCGTAGCCACCACCTTGCGCGTATGCTTTGAGTCCCTAAACTCTAAATACCAGATACCCTGCCACGTTCCCGTATTCAATCTCCCGTTCGTAATCGGTATGGTAACACTTGCGCCAACCAGCGCAGACTTGACATGGGCCGGCATATCATCGCTGCCCTCTGCATCATGCAAATAGAGACCCTGGTTTTTCTTGTCCTCCGGCACAATGCGATCGAGCGCCGTGCCCATATCAGCGCGCACATCCTCGTCGAAGTTCTCGTTTAGTGAGAGGGCGCAGGATGTGTGTTGGATGAAGAGATTGAGGAGACCCGTCTTGTACTGCTTGATTTCCGGGACTTCTTTGAGAATGTGGTCGGTGATTAGGTAGCAGCCGCGGGAGCGCGAGGGCAGAGTAAGTGATTTTTGTGACCTAAAATGTATTAGTTCTTTGTTACAAGTATTGGTTGATTGATGGGTTTGCTGAACTTACCAAGACATTATGGATGGTAACGAGCAGATGTTCGGACTGGTACAGACGACGCTTTTGCGCGGTGCAGGTGTGGGTACGAAGTAATTTGCGAGACTGTTGTATGGCGCCCAGAAGATGGATACGAAGATGCCGGGGAACAGCGATATGACGAATATGGAGACGAAGAGGAATGTGGTGAGGTGCGAGCTAGTCGAGTGGGGTTGTCGTTGTTGTTGCTGTTGCGGCATCTGAGCTAAAGTTTGTCGGGTCGAGGGTTCGGAGGTGAGCTGCGAGAAATGTGGGGGTGCTTGTGACGTCAGGGCGAGGCTGTGGCGGGGTTGGGGAAATAGGGAAATGCTATATGAAAGGTACTTTGTAGTATCAGTTTTGACAATCGCTAATTCATATTTTCCTCATGTCTTTTTTTGTTGTCGTCGACTTTTATATTTAATTACTAGTCGTGCAATGTTCTCTCAGATTCCCTACTCAGCCAGCGGACAGTTTCTTTTTTGCATGTCGAAGACATATCAAACGTGAAGCTTCAACACGTAGAAAGCTTGCTTGTGGAATTTTTATCGTCTTAATACCACGTGTATACATGGCGAATGGAATTTACTTACACTATTCACAGATACCAACATAACACAGAGGTTAGTTAGGCGTAACAATTGCGTACATAACGCATGCCAACATAGCCGTATATACTATTAGGAAAATATATGCAGAACCTTTCACCCTCAACTGCAATTTTTAGGGTCCTTCAGTTCTGCTCTTTTTCCAGGCATTGTAGTCTGAGAAATCTGCATACTAGCAGTAGCACACCTGCTCTGATCTCCACAGTGCATACGTAGCAATGTCAATGCAGTCGGATTCGCATGCCCACGCACCCACTGCGCAAGCGGCTAAACCTGCGGTACATTCACCAATTGCAAGGTAGTAAGCTGTACCAGTCAATTCCAAAAATTCCTAGCATCTAATCTGCCCATTGGTCGTCGGAATAGTTAAGCATTTCAGGAATCATAGCGCATCTCTGGACCTGAAAGCCTTTGCCTTCAATACCAGGGAGCCATTGCCAATTAGACACCTGAAGAAACATGGCGTTAGATTGACGGGTTTTTTCTTTTATCATGTATTAGTATCTGACTGACTTGGTACTTCTGTTAGGTACTCAGTAAAGCCCACTTAACTAGGAGTCGCGGGAATAGCGACTACCGCTTGGATATACAAGTAGTCCGGGAAGAACTCATTAACGCTGTTACTTATTACAAACCAAACTTCTGATTTGTAGTATTATCTGGAGGGATGATGGCGAGACAAAAGTATTGAATATCGTTGGAAAATGCTGAATGCTCTATTAGAAATGGCAAATCCCATGAGCCCTGGATACCATTATCTATACACAGCAAATACAGGTCCCCCTCCTATCTGTACCCACAACCTGAACGTTCTGGTTAAAACAATGGGCCGGATGTGAATAATCTAGACAGATGTCAGTCAGCGCAACCATGCTCACGAAAAACAAGTCTATCAATGAGATAACTCAATGCAACTGCCAGAGCGTCCTTGACACTAAAACCCGCACTTGCATACCCCCATCTGCAATGAGATCTCTTTTGGAGATGAAAAAGTCGTAGCAATCATCTGCCTGACAGATTCATCCAACTTTGATCAATTACTCCAAAGATTGCATAAACTTTGCAGAACCCAAAGTTTGTAGATATCATATCAAGTACCTCCACATAGCTCTTTTTAGCTGAATCGATACTTCACGCACAATGATTAGGGTTACGTCAAGCGAAATTATCCTCGTTCTTACGATGCCATTCCATAATTCGTACTCCTCATTTCCCCATCCTCGATGTTAACTTCCCATCGCCCCGCTTTCCACCTCCTCTGTCGAAGGTCCGGCACGTAGCATGTAAGTATGTCCACACAGATATCAACATAGAGATAAATCTTCCTTTTCATTCTTTTTTCTGGTCTTGTTGCTGATTTTTAGGGTCCGGCGTAATGGTGCTGGGATTTGAGGCTGTGTTGAAGTGGTTAAGTTGGACTTTGGGGTTTCGCTTGCGGAATGACATGCTAGGATGATGTGGCGATGTGTAGTGTGGATTTTGTGTTGGTGAGATGTGGAATGTCATATTCATAATGCGAGGAAAAGACAGTGGTGTGATGAGTGCGAGGAATGCGTTCACGTTGGATAGGATAATGTCAACGGGAGTAATTAACAATATCGCATGGGAACGGCAGTTATACCATCAGTGCGGTATCCGATGGTCATCGTTACATTTGCGTTCATAATTCAGACATGACATAGTACTGTACATGTCCGTGGTTTTATCCATATATAGTGTGCAAAGACAGCAAAGAAACTTTTTGGTACTAAGTTTGATTGAATTTGTCATTGTATTTGCCATGGAATCTTGTACATCTCCTCACTCCATTACCGCATCATGGTCGACAGGGCAATCAGACTGTATCCTGTCGAATACAGACCTGCCTGAAAAGGTGATATGATTCCAAACGCCAACATGCAAAGTCATTCTCATAGACTCAACTGAACCCAAAAGAAAAAAAAGGGGTATCCCATAAATCAAAAGATAGAACATGAACATCCCTCATCGCTCCTCATCTCCACTCCACATGATCTGACTTCCCCCCGCCTCCAATACCTCCACACCACACTCACTGGCCCTCATCTACGCCCGATGAAACACCAAAAACCCAATCTCAGCATCCATCATCCACCGCCCAGGATGACACTCATTCTCAATCTGATAATACGACCGCAAATGCCACTCGCCATTCACCTCGCGGCACCAAAACGGGTCGTCATCGCGCGCATCCGCCGGCCGAATCTTGCGCGCATCATACGCACCACGTTGCGTCGCGATGCGGCGATTCTCGAGCTGGATCTCCTCACGGGTTGGGGCTTGCGGCGTGTAAGCGTGGCCGTGCGCGTATGCTGGTCGGGTTTCGCGCAGGAGTTGGGCGGTGGGTGATGCATACAGCGGGGCTTGGGCGTTGGTTACGTGGTAGGTAGTTGTTGTCGTTGTAGCATGGCCGGGGGGATAGACGTGCGCCGTGTAGCCGTAGGTGGGCACGGTGTTGTAGTAGGACCGCTGGTAGGAGAAGTAGAAGTTAGCAAGGGGGTATAGCGAGCCGTAAGGGTAGGAGTTATAGTAGGTGTAACCAGGGTTGTAGTAGGGGTAGAGGTAGGTGGGGCCGTAGAAGGGGCGAGTGTTGTATACCACAGGTTGACAAGCGGCTGCTGCTGGGTAGCCAAATCCGTAGGCATAGGCGCCGCCAATTATACCGGTGGGTGCGGCACCATTGGGAGCTTGTCCCGCGTAGCTAAGGATGCCGCGTTGTCCGTAGCGAGGGGTGTAGATGTACTGGTGGCGAGGCTTAGGGTATGCCTCCATTGTGGCGGTGGGTTGTCTGAGAATTTGGGAAGTGATTGGGGCGTTGAAGGTTGCGATGGTGTTGAGGTGAGGAAGTGGGATAGGCGGCAATAGAGGGTTCGCAGTGTGGCGAAGCAAGGAAAGAGTCAAGGTGAAGGCTAATGTGAGACGCCTACCCGACAAACGGAACTCAAGAGCAAAGCCGCACACCAGGACTTGAAGGCCGCAGCGTGTAGTTGCTCATGCGAGCCAATTGTAAGGGAGAAGAGGGGCGGTGTGAGGGAGAAAGGGCAACAGGCAACGCAATCAGTGGAAAGGGGAAGTAGAAGAAACCTACCATGGAGTAACGAGTCGGCATAGCAGCGCGAGCTCTAACGTGATATCCCGTTCCATATCCATATTCAGAGTAGGATCTGCGATACAAATCTCTAACAAAGTCTTGAGGCAGCGGTACATTGGGGTAGCGGTCTAGATAGACGAGCTCCCTATTTGTGTAGCGACCTGAAGGCGGACGAGCGTAGTATCTTGAAGGGTAATAAGGGCCACCAAATCCATACCTACGGCGGCGGGACATGCCATGGCGTGGGAGATAGGTCTTGACGAATCGGCGCTCGCCATTGCGGACTTCAACCCTAGTTTCGTACTGATATTCATCACCATCGAAGCACATGATGTTGAGCGTGAGGGTAAAGGCGCGAGGGTAAAGCAGATCCGAATTGGATTGGGCTGACGACAAAGAAAGTAAGATGGACTAGAAAGTTGATGAAAAGCGAAGCAAACCTTGACCCAAGGCGTTTGTACAGGGACGAAAGGGGAATCTAGACTTCACCCTCGATTCCAACAGCAACAATTGGAGTCGAAATTTCCTCAGCATGATTTCATAACTCCATCAATTCTTCCCTATCCCACCCTTCCGCACAGCACCACCCCCCACAGCCCCCGTCCCCGCCCCAGCCGCCTTATCCCCCACATCCTTGCCCCTCCCAAATAGCGTCTTAAACCTGCTCAGCACAGGCGCAACAGTCCACCTCGCAAACGCCGGCGTAGCCCACACACTAAACACAATCCTCGGCACCAAAAACATCTTAACAACCGCATACGCCGTCGCAAACTCCACCACCAGCCTAACCCCTCCCTCGCCCACATTCCACGCCTGATCCACCTTCCGCAACTTCTGCTTCTTCTGCATATCGTCAACCTCACGCTCAGCTTCCAGCGCTTCCTCGCCGCGGATCCAGCCCTTGCGCTTGAAATAGCGTCCGAAGCGCTCCACACCTGAGGCGATCCATGCGCCTTCTGCGATCCAGGGTGGTAGCCAGTGCGTGTAGTGGAAGTAGCCTGCGAGGCCGAAGAGGGGAATTACGGCGGTAAGTTCGTGGAGGATGAGGAAGGAGGTTATGTGTGTGACGGGCGCGTTGCCGAGTGCATTCGTGTATTTGTGCAGGAACTTGGGGAGGCGTCGGTTGAAGCGGTCAATTCGCGATTGAGATGTTGGCGCGGGGACGGGCGTTACGGGTTCTGTGGCATAGCGGCGGAGAGTTGGGTTGCGCGTGCAGTGAGGTTGATGACGTGCAGTCGCTTGTAAGAGGCTTCTTCGTAGCATGGTTGTCGCCAGTGTTTCCGCCTCTTTTAGGTTTTTTTCTTCTGTACTCTTCACTTCTACCTCACCCCGCAGGTTCAAGTGACTTTTTGCGCAGTAGAACGTGCTGCAGTTCCATACTGGGTGGGTATGGATGTTTTGTCGTGTATGACGAAGTCGTCGGAAGTCTAGCGGGCCGAGCCTCTTTCATCGCGTCTCTGCCATGCGGCAATTGTGGAGCCTCACTCTTCCCTTGACCATTCCAATATCAGCACATGGTCACGAGGACCTTGCAGAGCCAAACACACATGGAATATGCACATTCAATGACACAGATTACGCACAGAAGCTGTCATTAATATTTTTGTTACTACGCTGCAATGGACACGCTGCCGACCCATTTGTCTACACTATTCTATTGCATGCGACTGCTTCGTACATTCGAGGGTTTTATATCACCCTCAAAGCTTTTCTACAACATCAACGAATTCATCCAGATTCCGTACCGGCCGCACGCCGGTACTGATCTGCATGCTCGCCTTCCACGCATGCACATCCTTGATGAGAACTGGATGCGACGCATCAACCACACTCTTTACATCCGCGGCCGCATCTAGTGTCTGTGGTGCTGCTGGCAAGCCAGAGTCGGCGACACCGAGTGCAGCCTTTGCTTCATCTAGTACCTTGGTTGCAACGTCACCCTCCACTTTGATGTCTTCGCTCAGATAACGAGTCACAGCTTTCGAGATCTCGTCAGTGGACGATGCATCGGCCACGCGGGCCTGGAAAGCCGCATCATCAAACTTGAGTTTGTGTTCAGTGAGAACAATCTGAAGTGAAGCGGTAGCAGAAGTCTTCTTTTCCTCGATCGATGGCTCCTTGGCCTTGGCTTGTGCTTGGAGGTGCACTGACAGCTTGGAACGCTGTGAAGACGACGTCGAGACATATCGGCCATAAAATTCAATCATGTCCTTCTTTGAGAGCTTTTCAAGGTTCTCAGCGTCAACGTCGGCTGTGTGATCGTTAGCATCGTAATAATATTAGGACTATAGGAAGACATACCTTGCAGGAAATCATACGAGTCACTGTAGATATGATTCCAGAACCTGTTGTCTTCTGATGAAAGGTTCTTGAGCTTCGCCAAGCGTTTGTTGATCATGGCTCGCTTGTGGCTCTCAAAGTCTTCTTCGCTCATCGCAGCAAGCGTTCCCTCGAAAGTGTTGAGGAAGTTTTCAATACGGCCTTCCAAGTATCGGCAGTCCCTCTCACTCTGGATCAAAATGCGGTACCCAGACCAGACGTCATGGAAGCTGGACCCAGAAAAGACGACATAACCAAGCTGTTCAATGGTACGAAGTTGATTGAAGCAAGGCTCATCTGTCATCTGTCCAAGGAGCAATAGTTTGGCACGGGTGACACTGTCATAGTGATGTCCAACGTACAAGTTGTACTCAATGCAGTGGTTGACGTTTGCCGGGTCGCTTAGTTGCTTTTCGTAGATGAAGTTGCACCCCGAAGGCCAAAGGAGACCTCGGCGGGTGGGCATCTGGTTCGCAGGCAGTCGCTTGGGCTGGATAGTTCTTTCTACAAGGTCGGTGATTCTCAAAGCTTCCTCCTTGTACAAATTGCCATGCGCAAGCACCTCGATCTGGCACTGGGCAAGGATCTGCGGGGAAAACTGCTGCACATCTTTGGCTGTGATATTGTCCAGTTCTGGAAGTAGTTCGTCGTTCATCACACACTTTTCGCTCTTGAACTGTCTGGAGTAAGTGCCAACCTGGTGGAAAGGCTGTCCATACTCCCAGTTGCGCAGAGACCGTAGCATACGATCATGGATGATGTTGAAACGATCCTCCGTGATTTCGAGATCCCGAACCTGGAGCAACACCTTCTCCAGTAGTACGTGCAACTTGTCATTGTAGCCGCTAACCGTTATCGACAAGCCACTGATGTGGTTGGTGAAATCATACACCAGTCCCGCAATATCAGCGTCATAAGCATACTCGACCAGAGCATCGTTCACAAGCTCACGATAGAGCGTGCACAAAAGTGTAACGCGTGCGGTGACGTTGGTCATCGGTGTTCGGAAGTAGATGTGAACGTTAGCTTTGGGCACCCAAAACTGATCGTCCTTCTTCCACCATATGCGGACATTGTCATCGTGACGAACAAGCTTTGGTTCCTTGCTTGGTTGTGCAACCTCCTTCTTTTCAACATCCAATCGAGTTGGTATAAACTCATTCTTGTGGGGGAAGTGCAATTCTGCTGGTCGGTTCTTGCTTTCAAAAGCCTCCTTGATCTCTGCGAGGAAGTCTCCTGGTATTCTCTCAATCTTGTACTCCGTCCCATACCACTTCTCCTTTTGATCCCAACTACCCGGGAAATCTTGGCTAATGATGGTCAACCTGAAGTTGTCTGGTCGCAGAAATGACATTGCCTCATTGATCAGGTTGGCGTCGAACTTCCTAATAACGGCCGGCCCACTGAGCAACATCTTACGGTCATATGGCTTCTGCATGATACCTGCCAACCCGCTGGCAGTCCGGCTTGGTGGGCTCTTTTGCTTGAAGCGGAACTCTACCTCACTGATGCGCATCAGCTCTTCTACTACCCACTCTTGGGGTGGCTGATCGCGCATCAGACCAATGTATTGGAAGACAGTTTTGACGACTTCTTTGTAGTTCTTCAGGCCATCTTCTGTTAACTTGATGTTTACAGTAAACAGCCCTGACCCTGGACACAGAGTCGAGCCTCCTGCGCCGAGTCCATTTGCCCAACCCTTCGCTTTAAGGTGCGCAAGAACGCTACCAGGGCCTTCATGACCGAGCAAATGACTAAGGTATCTTGATGGATGCGATTCGTAAAAGTTCTCTTCGTCGCGGTAGGCAAACTGAAGGTCCAGCGACCGAGACTGTAGAACTGGCCGAGCAAAGGTTTGCGTCAAAAGCTCTGTCTCTGTGTATACAGGCACATCCCAGCGGTTCTGTTCGAGGTTTTTGTTTGGCACCTTAGAAAAGATTTCTTCTACCCATGATTCCAATGTGTCCAGACTCTCCTTGCCCAAGACTACCAGCTTCATCCTATTGGCGGAGTAGTGTGTCGAGTGGAACTTGATAAACTCATCACGAATCTTGACGCCACGTGCTATGGGGTCGTCATGTAGGGTTTTGTAACTACCTGTGGAGAAGTGGTTGTAGGGGTGATTGGGATTGGCAAGCGCCTTGTTGAGCTGGTGCATGCGCCAAGTGTCATTCTGGAGGTTTTTCTTATTCTCTGAATCCACCGCCTTGAGCTCGCGGTCCACCGTGTCTTCGAGAAATAGCGGACTAATGAAGAATTGACCAAAACGATCCAATGCACCTCGTAGCGGTGACTCATCTACCGACTCCAACAGGTTTGTCGATGAGGCTTCTGGCGTCACAGCCTTACTGGCCGTGGGCGAGGTGGCAGCGTAGGAGAGTTCGAAATAATAATTTGTCGATGTGGAGGCGGTAAAGGCGTTTGAGTAGCCACCGTGGCGTGTCAAGTACTGGTTGTACGCATTCTCTTCTGGATACTTCTCGGTGCCCATGAACAGCAGATGCTCTACCGCATGGGCAATACCTGGCATGTCGGGCGCATCGCTGAAGCTGCCCACATTGACATCCAGCGCCGCACTAGCCTTGTCGGTCTCCGCCTCGTGTATCAAAAGGACTTCCAATTGGTTTGGCAGAGTAACGATTCGATAAGAGCGGTCGTCAAGCTGCGGTCTCTCGAGATCCTCAATTCTCTGTCGAACAGCCTCCCGTTCCAGCGCTCCAGCCATGTTGGCTAACTGATTCCTTTTTCTTGGTGCGTTTGTGAGGCTTCGCTGGGTCGCAGGTGGCGCGGCGATGGCAGTCTGGGGGAGGGGAGAGTTATATATGCGGCGTGGCTGGCGGAGACTAGTGGCGGGAGAGATCAACGCTGGGCAATTTGCTGACAGTACTGTGTACCGCGCGACCAACGTGGCAGCGGATAGTGTAGATGGGGTGGTTTGGGGTCGTGGTACGAGCGACAGATTTCCCAGAGACTGCCGTGTGCCTAAAGAGCGGAGCATCCACAAGAGCTGCCGTGGAGCCAGCCGGTGGCTGTGAAGGCGAGAAGGGGACGGGCGTTGTCAACACGGTACTGCTCCAATCGCTGTAACAGTAACCTCGCACGCAAGCAACCCAGAAGAGCTAGTGCGCCCAAGGGAGGCAATGGGCGGTGAGGGAGACGAAAAAGAAAACAGCGGGCGGATGCGGAGGAATGAGGATCTCGCAACAAGAGTAGACAACCCAAGGTGGAGATCCGAGTCCCCGGGAGGGATTCAACATGAGATCAAGTGGGCTGTAGATTCTCGATAAGACATGCCATGCACCTATTATCGGCGCTGCTGCAATTACCCGTCCACCTTTGATTCTCGTTTGGCGCCAACATGGTGCCCAAATCATTCCAGGCCGGCTATTCAAACACAGAGGGCTTCCGAAAGGTCGTAAAGGCGACAATTTACATCAAAAAGAAGCACGGCATGTCAGACGAAGACTTTATCGACTACTATAACAATAAGCATGCGCAGAGGGCCGTGCCCATCCTCCAGCGCCATGGAATTATCAGCTACAGCCTTGTAGGCACTTCGCTTTCATATACTACTCTGCCTTGAAGGCATTTGCGGCATTACCCAGGCTGAGACCGCAACAGACATACCATCTTGAGCGCGACCGAAAGGCCATCCAGGACATCATGCAGGGAAACGCAAAGTTGATGGATCATGACGCCATCTGCACCTTTGTCTTCCCCGACTATCTCGCGCTAGCCAAGTTCATGTACAACAAGGAAGGCGCTGCTTTGAACGGCGACCACGACAACTTCATGGACGACAGCCAGATGAAGATGATGGTTGGCGACGAGTACATGCTGGTGGAAAATGGACAAAAGGTTGGCTGATCGCACTCGCGATCGAAGAAGACCAAGTCTCCACGGGGTATCATTGAACCGTACAAGGCGTATAAATGTCAAGCCAGCGCGCGTCCTTCCTATCTCTGGCCTTTGCTGTTCCCTCTGCCCGCAGATCCCCGTGGGGCTGACGGGTTGGAGCAATTTGCTGCTATATGCCCCTTCTCCCCACATTTGTAGCAATCCACATTGTTCATGCGACCAGATCCTCCACTAATGCCTCCGCCGCCGCCACCCGATCGCCGACCGCCCGAAATAGATGTTAAGCCATTGAGGCTTCTGTTTTCGTTCTGTCGCGTCAGTGTTCCGTTTAGCGTGCTGTTGCCCATGTTTGCCCTCTTCTTCTTGGATTCTCGCTTTTCCGAAGCCATTTCGCGCTTCGTCTGTCGGATAAGATCTGCTGCAGCGTCGTCGGAGTCGTAATCGTCCGATGAAGACTCCGAGTCGGATTCCGAGTCATCTGTTTTTACCATCGGTACCGAAGTCTACAACACCATTAGCCAAGAGAAACTACTCGAGTCAGATGATACGTACATCTGCCTTTTTGACACCACCACCAAACTGCATTCTCACGGGTCTGGTGTCTTCTTCTTCTTCTCCGTCCTCCTCTGAATCGTCTTGCGCATCAATTTCCGCATACCCCGCGTGCCTGACCTGCATAGCATCTTGCCGCTTCCCCTTGAGAGTATCTTGAAAGCTCAGTACCCACTTGGTTTCACCCGCGTATTGCGCCGCCTTGTCCAGTGCCGCCTGACGTTTTGCTTCTTCGGCATCGAGCCCTGATTGTATAATCTCTTGATCTGAAGTTCCCACGGCAGATGCGCCATATGACAGACGCGCCTTCTTGGCCGGAGGTCCATTGGAGGTAGCCGGCGACGAAGGCGAAGACTTTGCTGCAGCACGCTGCATGAACTATGCATGGGTTAGCAAGTGCCGTGAGCACGCGAAGTCGCAGCAACTTGCCTTCATGCCCATGAGTCCTTTGGACATTGTTTTTGGTGTGTTTCCCGACATTTTTCAAGGTGAATCTATGGTATTGCAAGCGACTGGAAGAGTTGGATTGTGATTGCAATGAAGGTCGTCGGATCGTGTTTTCGCCCAGTCGCGTTGCATCAACTTTTGGTGCACGGACCCACTCCTATCGATAAGCGGGCAGCGGGTGCGGAAATGATGCAACCGGGCAAGGACGGTAGCTGAGTTCTTCACCCCAGTTATGAGCACAGTCAGCTTTTGGTTATGGCCTACATATTGCCTATCCCGACTTCATCTAACTTTGAAATTAGGTCCGTGTCCCGGCATAGAAGTAAGCATATTCAAGAACAGGTTGCACTCGAATGCCACTCGCGTGAACAGGCCTACGTCAGTGGTATGGGAGACAAAGATGACTACATTAAGGGATAATTAAATTATAGTTCCAAACGCTCTAGCGCGCCGCCTCGCTTTTCATTGTCCCGAAACCCAAAGACTAAGTAACAAAACCTGATCTAATTACATAGTATCTGTACTCCAAACACCTACCATAAGGCTTGGTCACTTCATTTCCAGAAACCCCCTAAAAGGCAGCTGTGGAAGCCCTAATTATAACTCCACACCAGGTCATCGGGATATTATTGAGAGTTTAGCCAATTGAAACTCTAGTGATAGGCAACTCTGAGGACGACGTTGATTCATAATGGGTCGTCCTGGTGGAGAGTGTTTCGTAAATCGTGATGCGGCAATATGCCAGAACAGTGCTATTGCAGTGTCGCAGCAGCGTGAAAGATGATCAGGTAGACCGGGAGAGGTTTGAATGGAGAGACCTCGAGAAGAGAGCAGCTTTCATCTGTCGATAGGCTTCGATGGCGGCTTGGCGTGACTGAGCGTCGGTGATAGACTCAGTGGACGAGCTCGAACTCCGTTCAGGTACCGACAGTGTCCATGACGATATATCCGATGCGCGCGTAGGCGTCAGAAACGGGTGTGACGACGGGTGAAGAGAGACTGGAGCCATTGGTGTTGTGAAAGGATGGAGATGGTATCAAAACTTGGATCTCAAGGTCAACGATACTATTTAACGCTGCCAAAAAAGCGGCGCTCCACGGACAGATATATGGCTCTTGTCGATTTGTCACAGCATAATCTTTATCCTTGCATATAGAAGGAGTACTCCGTAATACGTGCGGACCAAGTTCTCCGAAACATGTCCCGAAATGACGATTCAGGCTTACCGAGCAACGGCCCCATCAAATTACGTGTTTGAGACTCTCACTACAGTGGCAAAACAACAGTACATGCGCGCATGGCGAATAAGACGAACAAAATGACAGCCTACACAGACCTAGAGTACATAGACCTATGCGGACCCGCAGAAGCATGCAAGGTGTCGGGCGATAGCAACCCGCCAATGAGTACGCAACGGCACAGCGGCAGTAAGTAGGCGTGACCCAGCGGCCATGAGGTCGGGAAATGGATTTGCATACTTGACAAATACTAGATTATCGGACAAGGCCCAATCGAGTACCCGAGGAGAGATGCCCACGCTTACCATACGCTCGGTACGGTCTGATTCCAAATCGCCATATGCGTAATCGGCGCTAACGGCGCCTAGCGTGCTCAACCTACCTTGTCCAAACACCACTGTAGTGGCTCTCACTCAAATCCCACACATGCGTTTGAACACCTGCGAAAAGCTTAATCTATACCCAACTCCTTTGTCCTCAACGCACATTCGTGAACGCCCTCGTATCCGGCGCCCCTCACGCATGCTGATGTTACGCCATCAGATCGCACTGTAACGATCTTTGCGCCCCAACCCCGGTCAGCCCGGATGCTATTACTGCGCAAGCCTCAGGTGGCCCAGGAGGCTCGTCACTACCTTCCACATCTGACCAAAAAAGCACAAGCGTACAGCATGTAGAGTACGTGAGTATATAGATACGGTATCGCGCGACTATCCTCCGCCACACCTGCTGTTCGCCTACTCAGTATTGATTGGGGAACATTGGCCAGGCGCCCGGCGTAATGCGTTTCAACCACACCGCTTCCTAGAATGGTGACAAATTCCGGTGCAGCTGCACACCAGCCCACTCCAGCATGCACCCTAGTTCTTAACTGTCCAGCTTCGTCTTGGCTGCTTGGGTCCTCGATGATAATATCATCTCAGCAACATCTCGCCAAGATGCGCAGTCTCTGTCCAGATGGTGCTCATATTGACCTGCCACGTCGGCATTGCATTTGCACTATTCCGAGTTGTTTGGCTCCCACTCGTCGCCTGTAAGGCAACTTCCATGCGACATCCATGTTCACGCCGACAACTTCATGCCTCGTGTCGCCGAATCACCCTTGCGTTCCAAGAGATGATACCGGGCTTGTTATGGTTTCTGCCAACGAATGCCTCTTGTCAAAACTGGAAACAACTAGAAAACTCGTATGATCCTGTTGCTAACATATAGACACCTGGCAAATAATCGGCTTGCTTGAGTCGGTAAAGATTGCCCTTTGTTCGAGAGGTACTGCAGGTAGAGGCACACTATGCAGACTATCCTCGCATGTGCCTCCCTCGTACGTCACTCTACTAATGCGTAGAAGTAGCATGTGGTGGCGCGTCGCTTAGAGGTATTCTCCGAGTGGCTTTTAATGCCCTCTTCACACAGCTGCCCTAATACGATTCGAGAACAAAGCCTGGATCTTTTGCTTAGCATTACTCTTCTACGAAACATCATTGGCCTCCAATAGAAACATGTTCCAGGAAATCCGTATGACTTCACACAGGTATAGACCGGAAGGTCGTAGCCCGCAGGTGACGACCCCGCTCTGAACCATACTATGGGCACGTGTGTACCAGCGCATGCACTTCGCGTGCACTTCGCTATATTCCGGAGCAGCACCCCAACCTCGAAGAATTGATTTGATCTTCAAAGAGACGTCTCGGTTTGAGTAGCCTATATGTATACCGAATGGTCACTTGTCTCAGCATCGCATACCGAATTGTGGGCGTTGACTTGCTTCAAGAACAAGATCGGAAAACGCTGGCCTCAGTGGCTCTGCGTCATCATGTCAACCACTATCACAATACTCTCCCGAGGCACAAAGATCAGCCTAGACCATATGTACATGCCGCCATAAGGATAGACCTGTAGTGGCTTGCAGTGCACCCTCACCTCCGGAGCCACCCTATCGCTCTGCAAATGCTTCACGGCTGCTATAAGCTCCAGATCATCTACATCACCTGAACCCGTCATGACGCATGCCCAATCACCAAGCTGGTTTGTTATCCGATCGAAAGCAACTGCAGATATCGGCTATAACGCCCTCGTCCCTACAGTTATCTTCACCGCCCTCGCTTTAGTCATGGTCATTCTGCGGTTGTGCAGCAGAACTTGTTCAAATCCAAGTAGAGTCGGATTAGAAGACTACTTCATTACAGTTGCTGTAGTAAGTGTGTCTGTTGCTTATCACCAAAAAAAATAAGCCTAACCATCATAGCTGCTGTCGATGGGCTTCACAGCAGTCATTGGGCAAGGCAAGCGTCACTAGAGTCGATTGAGGTTTGATGGGGTAGCTAACTGAGGGATAGAGGTTAGTATCGACATTGCAGATCTTGGAGAAAACGTCACATACCCCGCATCGCTATCTGCTATGCTCAAGGTGAGATGCCTGGGTGTATGAATGTACTAGGCTAACTGCATGAAGCTTGTACTGGCTCAAGCCATTCTCTATCATCTCGCGAGCAATCTTGTCAAAGCGTCCCTCATACTACAGTACATTCGCCTCTTTTCGCTCGTCCCACACGTTTTGTGGAGTTGCTATGTTCTTCTCATCCTTGTATTCAGCGCTACGGCCTGGGGAGCGTTGGGTAACGTTTTTCTCTGTCGCCCAATTCGGAGTTATTGGGATATCACGGTAGCTGGAGTCTGCATGAACAAGGAACGTCACTTTTGGTCAACCAGCATCATTGGTATTGTGGTCGATGTCGCAGTCTGGATACTGCCTCTTCCAGTCGTCGGCCGACTTAGTCTTCCGAAGCGACAAAAGACAGGTCTATTGGTCGTTTTTGGACTGGGCGGATTGTGGGTATCTTGATGGGCTTGAGCGAGTGTTTATATACTGACATGTAACACAGCGTGTGCATCATAACAATTCTACGACTTGCTCTAGTCCGTTATGCCATGGTCAACGGTCAAGTTACAAGTAAGTTACTGTAGGCCATTTTGACTCAACATTAACCTGAACAATGCAGGGTGCGGCACTCTTGCAATCGTCTTCTCGTCCATCGAGATCAATGTTGCAATCATCTGTGCATCACTACTCGTGATGAAACCTTTGCTTGCACGCTTTCTACCATACATTATTTCCGAGCAACCCCTGTCTGCGGCAGAGGACGGGAGGGTTAGTCGGGCTTTGACAAGCACACACATGCTGCGAACCAGCATTGCGGATGCAGCAGAGAAAAGGGAGCGCCACGAACGGAATGACACCTTAGTTGAGATGAATGGGTCTTCAGGATGATATGTCATGCTGGAAAAGGCTGGGGAAACGTGGGCGGCATGCAATGTACTGGTAATTATCAGCTGCAGCTTACCGGAGCAGCTCTGAATGCAGTTTCGTCGATGACGTAGATGAACAGCTCCGCGAAGATGATTGTGCACCCTGAAGGTTCCAGAACTCCAATGATGTCTGATGCATAGCTGTCCCACTTAGAAGTGCTATGTGTATCCCGCATTAAAAAAATTAAAAGAAGGTTGCTGTAAATGCCGAGTACGAGTAGCGGTTGCGGGACAAATGGAGGCAGTGACGAAGCGCGGTTGGCCGGCGGCAGATGACAAGGAAGGTCCCCACCAAGAGTTAGCGCATGGTCCAAGCTCAACCTCCAACTACTGCAATCATCATCGCATCGTGAGGCTGCAACAATACCACCTACAAGCCAACGACAGCGAGTGGGACATATAGATATACACGATGCCTCCTGTAAGCGATTAGATGCATTTGGACTTGCGTACAGGCAACTGACTATACTGCGCAGAAGAAGCAGGACCAGAAGTCGGAGGGCGGCCAGGAACATGGTAAGCTTCAGCAATGCTGCGACAAACAATCCGCTGACTCCGGACAGGCGCCATCTTCTCCATCTCCGGGTGCGTTTATACCAGGCAGTGCTCCGAACAAATACTGACCCATTCAGTCCCGTCATCATCGCCGAGAACATGATCGGATGTGCCATGTACGAGCTTGTATGTGCGCCATATCCATATCTAATGGGACCGTTACTGACAATCGCAGGTCCGTGTTGGTTATGACAATCTTGTGGGTGAGGTCATCCGAATCGAAAACGACAAGGCCACAATTCAAGTCTACGAAGAGACTGGTACGCACTCCGCCGACATATCAAGCTTGGTATGAAATCTTGGCTAATGTTTCGCAGCTGGTGTGACCGTCGGCGACCCCGTCTACCGTACCGGACAGCCGCTGTCTGTCGAGCTCGGCCCTGGTCTTATGGAGACCATCTACGACGGTATTCAGCGTCCCCTCAAGGGCATTGCCGACGACGCAAAGAGCATCTACATTCCCCGCGGTATTGATCTGCCCGCTCTCGACCGCAAGAAGAAGTGGGACTTCACACCCGGTTCGCTCAAGGTCGGCGACCACATCACTGGCGGCGATGTCTTTGGTACAGTCTTCGAAAACAGTCTTCTTAGCGAGCACAAGATCCTCCTGCCTCCCCGCGCAAAGGGTACCATTACTCGCATAGCCGAGAAGGGCAGCTACACGGTCGACGAGAAGATATTGGAGCTGGACTTCAATGGCACCAAGACTGAGTACAGCATGATGCACAAGTGGCCCGTCCGAGTGCCCCGCCCCTCCAACGAGAAGTTGTCCTCGGACCAACCGCTCATTGTCGGTCAGCGTGTGCTCGATTCCCTGTTCCCCAGTGTTCAGGGTGGTACTGTGTGTATTCCTGGTGCCTTCGGATGCGGCAAGACTGTCATTTCCCAGTCTCTGTCCAAGTTCTCCAATAGCGACATCATCGTATACGTCGGTTGTGGTGAGCGCGGAAACGAGATGGCTGAAGTCTTGATGGATTTCCCAGAGCTCACCATCACCGTCGACGGCAAACAGGAGCCCATTATGAAGCGTACCACCCTCATTGCCAATACCTCAAATATGCCTGTGGCTGCCCGTGAAGCTTCAATTTACACTGGTAGTAAGTACTCACTGCTTGTTCTACATACTAAGGCCAGGCAGCTAACAAGACGATACAGTTACTGTTGCCGAATATTTCCGTGATCAAGGTAAAGACGTCGCGATGATGGCAGACTCATCGTCACGATGGGCAGAGGCGCTTCGAGAAATTTCCGGTCGTCTAGGAGAGATGCCTGCTGACCAAGGTTTCCCTGCCTACCTGGGTGCTAAGCTTGCATCTTTTTATGAGCGTGCTGGACGCGTTGAGGCTCTGGGTAGCCCCGAGCGATACGGCAGTGTTTCAATCGTCGGTGCCGTCAGCCCGCCAGGTGGCGATTTCTCTGATCCTGTGACTACAAGTACACTGAACATTGTGCAAGTCTTTTGGGGTTTGGACAAGAAGCTGGCTCAGCGCAAGCATTTCCCATCAGTCAACACCTCGATCAGTTACAGCAAGTACACCACACCTCTGGACAAGTTCTATGCGAAGAACAACCCCGATTTCCCACGGCTGCGTGACCGCATCAAGGAGCTTCTAACGACATCCGACGATCTCGACCAAGTCGTGCAGCTTGTGGGTAAGTCAGCGCTCGGTGACAGCGATAAGATTACGCTCGACGTGGCTACGCTACTCAAGGAGGACTTCTTGCAACAGAACGGATACTCAGACTACGACCAGTTCTGCCCGCTGTGGAAGACGGAGTGGATGATGAAGAACATGATGGCTTTCCACGACGAGGCGCAGAAGGCAGTTTCTCAAGGACATTCATGGCCCAAGATCCGAGACGCTACTTCGGACATCCAATCGCAGCTTCGTTCAATGAAGTTTGAGCTGCCCAGCGATGGCGAGGAGGCGGTCACGAAGAAGTACGAGCAGCTGCTACAGAAGATGACGGAGAAGTTTGCATCTGTAGTTGACGAGTAGATGCATGTGGCTGGAGGCGACAGTCTTTTTGTTGGTTGATAATCGCGACAACTGAGTACAATACATATTCTATGTTCGTTGAGATGTGTACACTGGACCGATGTGGTGTGAAAATGAGATGATATGAAAGGTTTCTAATGGACGCATTGGCTGTACCGCATGTCATCAAGTCAGGTACACACGTTATCTATGTATCAAGTCAAGCCTATCTTCTTTTGTAGAATTGGGACAAAAAACTGTACTACTGTAGTTTGTTTGTATTAGGCAGCCGTATTTGGTTTTGGGTCAGGGGCAATGGGACGGGTGCCTGATCTGATGACGACGCTGCTTCGCGTCCTGTGATGGCGCTGCCTATCACCTGGTTGCGAAGGGATATTTGCCACACGGATGAGGGATGGACGTGTGGGTGCGTTGTCACCAAGGCGATCGAGGGCACTTGATATCAGTCATATGACTGGTGACGTGTGTCGCAAAAAAGACTGGTTGTCGCAAGCCCTTTGCCAGCCCGGAGCAGTCTGTTAATAGTGTCTGTTGCAGAATTATCATTGGCAGAAAAAATATGTGACTCGTGGCGTACTGTCACTATTGGTGCTAGAAGCTGCTGGTATCTCTGCATCTTCTGTTGGGGGTTTGCAAGCCGAGTTGTGTGGCTGAGCTGTGTGGCGTACTCAGCGTATCGAAGCTCGGGCTCCCAAACGTTACAACCTGTAGCAGCTACGCAACCTGCAATCAAGAACCCCCCAGATCTCATACACCTCCGTTTCGCACACTCTACACAACACCCGCCCTCCTGCTTAAACCCTAAGCATCTATCCTTCTTGAAGCGCCTATAAGAGACGCCTGACAAACACAATCCACAAATCGCCGACCATGGCGGCAAACCCTAATGCGTAGGCACATACATGTTTTGGGCAGCCTCTCGCAACAAGGAGAACTAACACTTCAGCAGTATCAACGTAAACGACCCGGGGCTGATTACACTCGTCAACAAGCTCCAGGATGTATTCACCACCGTCGGAGTACGTTACCACCCCCTTACTACCTCAGCACTCCATTTCGCAACACGTAGACTAATGCCTGACTCAGGTCCAAAACCCCATAGATTTGCCCCAAATCGCAGTCGTAGGATCGCAGTCTAGCGGAAAGAGTTCGGTGCTTGAGAACATTGTCGGACGAGACTTGTGAGTGTTTGCAATTCGCGACACCGCTTTAGCGATGACATGCTAACGATAGCCCTGTAGTTTGCCCCGAGGAACCGGTATCGTTACCCGAAGGCCGCTCATTCTCCAACTCATCAACCGCGCATCCAGTTCACAAGCCAACGGCACTAGCGAGGGGGCCAAGACCACAGACCAAGAGAACAATGTCGACGAATGGGGCGAGTTTCTGCACATTCCTGGCCAAAAGTTCCATGACTTTAGCAAGATACGAGATGAGATTGTAAGGGAGACGGAGCAAAAGACTGGTCGCAATGCAGGAATCTCGCCAGCGCCCATCAATCTGAGGATATACTCGCCGAACGTCCTCACACTTACACTGGTCGACTTGCCAGGTCTAACCAAGGTGCCTGTTGGAGATCAACCCAGGGATATCGAGCGACAAATTCGCGAGATGGTTCTCAAGCAGATCAGCAAGCCCAATGCCATCATTCTGGCTGTCACCGCTGCCAACACCGATTTGGCCAATTCGGACGGTCTGAAGCTCGCGCGCGAGGTCGACCCAGAAGGACAACGGACAATTGGTGTTTTGACCAAGGTAGACTTGATGGACGAGGGAACCGACGTCGTGGATATTCTTGCTGGACGCATTATCCCACTGCGATTGGGTTACGTTCCTGTTGTGAACAGAGGTCAGAGGGATATCGAGAATAAGAAGGCGATCTCTTATGCGCTCGAGCACGAGAGGCAGTACTTTGAAAACCACAAGGCATACCGTAACAAGGCGGCCTACTGCGGTACGCCTTATCTGGCTCGCAAGCTGAATTTGGTAAGTTTCTGCGCTTTTGAACGCACAATGGTGAGCTAACAACTATAGATTCTCATGATGCACATCAAACAAACCCTCCCCGACATCAAGGCTCGTATCTCGTCTTCGCTACAAAAGTACCAAGCCGAGCTTTCATCACTTGGCAACTCCATGCTGAGCAACAGCTCCAACATTGTTCTTAACATGATCACGGAGTTTACCAACGAATACCGTGGAGTGCTTGAAGGAAACAACCAGGAACTGTCCGCAGTCGAGCTGTCTGGTGGTGCTCGTATCTCGTTCGTTTACCACGAGCTGTACGCCAACGGTGTCAAGGCTGTCGATCCCTTTGACCAGGTCAAGGACATGGACATCCGAACAGTCCTGTACAACTCTTCTGGTTCATCTCCTGCGCTGTTCGTCGGCACTACGGCTTTCGAACTTATTGTCAAGCAACAGATCAAGCGACTTGAAGACCCCAGCTTGAAGTGTGTCAGTCTCGTCTACGACGAGTTGATCCGCATCCTTGGTCAGCTGCTCAACAAGAACACCTTCCGAAGGTATCCTGCGCTCAAGGAAAAGCTGCACCAGGTTGTTGTCAGTTTCTTTAAGAAAGCAATGGAGCCGACCAACAAGCTTGTCAAGGACCTTGTCGCCATGGAGTCGGTTTACATCAACACCGGTCATCCAGACTTCATCAACGGTTCGCGCGCCATGGCCATTGTACACGAACGACACAACAGCAACAAGCCCCAACAAGTTGATCCCAAGACTGGAAAGCCACTGCCGCCTTCCGTACCGCCGCGGTCTATATCCCCTACGCTTGACTCCGGAGAAGGTGGCTTCTTCGGCTCATTCTTTGCCAGCAAGAACAAGAAGAAGATGGCTGCCATGGAGCCTCCGCCACCTACGCTCAAGGCCTCCGGTACCCTCTCGGAGAAGGAATCTCAAGAAGTTGAGGTTATCAGTAAGTCATGACTAACTTGTTTATCTATGTCGGCTTGCTAACCATTTGCAGAACTGCTGATCACATCCTACTTCAACATCGTCCGCCGGACAATGATTGACATGGTACCCAAGGCTATCATGTTGAACCTCGTACAGTGGACCAAGGAGAACATGCAGGGCGAGCTCCTCACCAACATGTACAAGACAGACGAGCTGGACGAGTTGCTGAAGGAATCCGAGTACACGGTCAAGAGGAGGAAGGACTGCCTGCAGATGGTGGAGAGTCTGACCAAGGCGCAAGAGATTGTTAACCAAGTGCAGTAAATGTCTGGGTAGCGGGGGTAATGGTGCTAAACGCTTATGTTCTATGGGTCGGCATTCTCTGCAAGGTGTTTTGGGTGCTAGCATACTAGATTTTTGTTACGAGGGCCCATTTCACAGGTGATGGATGAGATGTGTACGCTACATTGGCATGAATTAATTGAAACGACGGTTTGGTATTGTATGCTTTACGTTAGGAAACAGACATGATTGATATGGTGATGCGCTGATATTCATGAGTGACTATTATGGTGACCAATTGAGTCTGGAAAAGGAGTAGCAGCGAGACAATTGCAAGGGCTTGAGATTGTACATTTACCAGACTTGCGGAGTTGGCGCACGGACCACGCGGATATCTCGAAAAGTCGCAGTTGCAACCTCGAACGCCTGCTTTCTCCAGCAACAGAACGGCCATGCTGCTCCCACGGATATTTGCGCCCGTCCGCGCATCGTTAGCGACATCTACGGCCTTCACCGCACCCTCTACCCGTGTCCTCGATGCCCTCCGCGTAGCCAATGGCTCTGCCGCACCCACCCCAGTCCTCTCATTTGTACGACACTCCGCACATCAAGCCCAAGGCAGAGCCAACGGCGCAAAAGATGGACCAGGAAAACGACTAGGCGCAAAGAAGAGCGGAGGTACGTCTTAACTACCCAATCTCCCTACCTAAACACAATTGCAACTAAAGAAAGACGGAATACTTTGCTAACAAAGACAAAAAGGCGAATACGTGATCCCAGGCAACATCATCTTCCGCCAACGCGGCACCTCATGGTTCCCCGGTGAAAATTGCAAATTTGGCCGCGACCACTGCATCTTCGCCACCGAATCCGGCTACGTACGGTACTACCGTGACCCCAGACTACATCCCAAACGCCAATATATCGGTGTTGCGCTCGAGAAAGATCATACGCTGCCGTACCCGGCCAACGCTGCGAGGAGAAGGCGGCTAAACTTCACGCCCGTACCTGTATCCTCGGCACCTGAAGTGGCTGCAGCGGCGAAAAGCGAGGTACCGAGGGAAGCAGGCAAGAAAGAGCTGAGTCTGAGGGCTGGAAAGGGATATGCGTACCGTGAGGCTAATTGGGTGATTGGGCGTGCGGCGGAGAGGGCGGGGGTACAGGTTAAGGAGTTTGTACCGGGCGATAGGTGGACGGCGTGGAGGAAGAGGAGTTTGAGGATTAAGGCGAATGTGGAGAGGAAGAGGTTGAGGAGTGCGGGCAAGAAGGTTGCCAAGCCTAAGGCGAGGAAGGCGAGGGCTTAGATGATACATAGTTGTTGTAAAGGGGGTTGTAGGAATAGAAATGTATGTTTATGGCAAAGTTCATATTCTGTCCTTGTTCTTATCCATGAAGCATAGTTGTAAATGCACGAATATTCATCTTTACAATATACAAATCAGACATCCCCTTCCTCCACGCTATCTACTGAGATTCTCCCCTCCCCGCCCCCCATAGCAACCGGCTCCACAATCTCCCCCGCTTCAAACTTCCTAACCCACCTAAACACTCCCTCCTCGGGATCCATAATACACACAAAATGCGTGGTCGCATTACTCACCGGCCACCTCTCCACCCACCTCTCCAACGTACTTAACGTGACTCCCATTTCCGACTGCTCTTCCCCGCGCTCCTCTTCCTGGCGCCGCCACCACGCCTGCCACGCCAGCGTCAGGCACTCTTTACGGTAGATACTGTCGTCCAGGATATCCTGTGTGCTTGCTTGCAGGAAAATGCTTGTCTGTAGGAAAGCGTGGATGCGGGGTTGAAGGGGCGAGGTAGTGGAAGGTTGGGAGGGAGAAGCGGGTTCGAGGGCGATGTCGTGGTTTGTTGTTGTGAGGAAGGTTGGGGAGCGGAGGATATTTGCGGTTCGGAAGTCTTTTTCTAGAACGAGGGTTTCGGTTGGGGTGCAGAATATTAGATAGGCAACTGGGGTGCGCAGGATGGGGAGGAGGGAGGTTATTGCGTCTGGGTGATGGGGTGGGAGTTGTGGTGGTACGAGTTCTTTCCTTTCTTCGTCTTCTTCATGTTGTTTTCGGTCGTTTCGTCCTCGTTTTTTGGAAAGTTTTCTGCGGACCCGTGATGTTTCTATGGGTCTAGGGAGTAGGAAGTCGCGGATTACGGTTTTTATGCTTTGGCGTCGGCCTAGTAGGACGAGCAGTGTGTTCCAGTAGTATCTTGCGTTCTCGAGGGATAGGCCTGATGCATAGTGGTAAGGACGAAAGTTGAGCGATACGCTGAGGCCTTTGCGTACGCCTGTTAGGACACCGACGAAGCCTACGTAGCCTACTGTCCGCGCTATAACTTCTCCCTGCGTTGAGTTGATGTAGTCGAATTGCACAATGGCGTCTCAGAGTACGGGCATGGACCAGTCTAGTGTGCGGAAGTGCATCATTGTCACCTCTTCTTCACCTTCTCCTCCTTCCTCTTGTTCAGGTTTCTTGGCTAGCATGCCGCCACTCGTACAGCCTAGAAGCAAGTCTAGGAATACATTATAGGCGACCAGCAGGTACATGGGTACATCGCATTCTTCGCTGATTCCGCGTAACTCTTCGGTTTGCTCATTGCTAGTGAGGCGGTGGAGCAGTAAGCGGCCGAGGAAATGGAAGAAAAAAGGAGGCAGTTTGAGGTGTGCAACTACTTCAGTATAGAGGCTGGTTAGCTGGTGCAGAGTGGGGACATAGTTTCTTGCAACGGCTTTGTAGCGTGAGCGTAGAGGCAGGGAGAGGTCGATGGTGTATACGGGTGGAGAATTGAGTGGCATGAGGGCGTCTTTGGGCTTTGGAGAAGAAAGAGTGTGTATCTGAGAAGGAAGGAGAGAAGAAGGTGGTTATTTATATTGGCTAGAGCGAGAGCTGACGAGGACGTTTGCTGTTGAGCTAGGACAGGAAGGTCATAAATGAAGGAAAGCGTGGGCACGTGATTGAGTTATGACTTCCTATTGTGTCGCTCTTCATTTCATCCAGTGAATTTGGTGTATCATAGCTGATACTAGGTCCACGGGGACGTTGCGAAGTGAACGCTCCATGATGATGCCTAGAGAAGGCACCTGCAAGATGAGATCATGAGGGAAGCTGGTGTTTTAGAGTCTCCTAAACTTGAGGTTTGATTCGAGTTTTCATTGTACCGACGTTATTCACGGAGAAGATGTATGAGTGAAAGGTGGAGGTCTTGGTTGGAAGGAAGACAAGTCGGCTACATGCTACGAGGCGGAATGGCGCTAACTACTATTACCCCAGCTCGAGCACTCCACAGCTGCACCTCGGCATCTTCCCCGCGGGAGTGGTTAACCGGCGCACCCTATCGACAATGTCGACGTCGAGCATGTACGAACCCGATATATTTTTGCGCTTGATTCTAGATAACAACTTAAAGTATATCAAAAGCTAGTAGCAGAGTGACTTGCTTAATTAATTCACCATGACTGCGCCCCAACCGCCTCCACTCTCCAACATACGCGTTCTCGAGTTCGCGGGCCTGGCCCCCGGTAAGCCCGATATTCTCTACTCTGCGATTCTTCATGGGTTTGGAGTTCATCTCATACAGGGCCCTTTGCTGGCATGCTCCTGGCCGACTACGGTGCATCTGTCCTCCGTCTCGACCGCGCACCCGGTACCCCGACCACTGACCAGCTCACGCGTCGCAAGACGTCGATATGCGTCAACCTCAAGTCGCCCGCCGGCCTCGCACTCATCAAGAAAATTATACCACGAGTTGACATCCTTATTGATCCTTTTCGCCCTGGTGTGCTTGAAAAAGCAGGCCTGGATCCGGAAAGAGTGCTGTTGAAACTGAATAAGCGGCTCATCATTGCGCGGATGACGGGATTCAGGAGAGACGGAAAGTACGCGCAAATGGCGGGCCACGATATCAACTATATTGCCGTGTCGGGAGTGCTGAGCATGTTTGGGCGAAAGGGCGAGAAACCGTATCCGCCGGGCAATGTGGTGGGTGATTTTGCCGGGGGAGGCGCGATGTGTTTTATCGGCATACTGCTTGCGCTTCTTGCGCGTGAGCGGAGTGGCTTTGGACAGGTTGTGGAAGCGAATATGGTGGATGGAAGCGCTATACTTGCAACTATGCCTCGACTAGGCTTGAAGACAGAGGTCTGGAAACGCGAGCGTGGTACCAATATGCTCGATGGCGGTGCGCCTTTCTATGATACGTACGAGACCAAGGACGGGGGCTTCATGGCTGTCGGGGCGATTGAACCGCAGTTCTATGCTGCGCTGTTAAAGGGTATGGGGCTTAAAGCGTCGGATCTGCCTGGAAGCAGGGATAACATGGTGGATTGGCCCAAATTGAAGGATTTTTTTACGGCAGAGTTCAAGAAAAAGACACGTGCCGAGTGGGAGGCTATATTCGATGGTACAGACGCGTGCTGCACACCTGTCTTTACCCAAGCAGAGTTAGAGGAACAGGGATTCGATCAGCGACCTGCTGTTACATTAAGGACTTCGCCTGGTTATGCGATTCACGAAGGCGACGATGAGAGATCTGCAGCCGAGGGTCAGGGTATCGGCTGGAAGGGTAGTGGGTGGAGTGAGAAGGGGCTGAAGCCAGGCAACGGAGGAGAAGATACGCTGAGCACGTGGATGGGATGGACTAAGGGAAGGCACTACGTTGAGGAACAGGGTGGATTGGTGTGGAAGGATGCTGCGAAGCTGTAGTCGTGCGTCATTCGAAACTACTGTCCGTATTTCCTTCTTGATGCTTGCCAAACGACGAAATTTTTCATTGTAGGATGCGATATAATACTGCAAGAAGAGCAGAAAACACTGCTACATATGTACAACATACTACGATGTAAATGTCAAGCCCATCTACTTACGCATGGCTCCATCGTAGGCCTCGGTCTCAAGGATCTGAGCGGGAGCTAGCATTAGTGTGGTTTGCCACTCTCCACCTCCCATCTTGCGCAACCTCCCAGATTGGCCCAACTACCACATCTGCTACCCGATCATTGAACATCCGCACAGCTCTCCGGAAGCTCAAGAACATGCTATAAATTGCGTGTTCACAGACGAGGACCAGAAAATGTAGCGACAAAGTGAACATGTACCACGCACTAACATGGCAACACATAAGAGATCCCGGACCGGATGCTGGACGTGCAGGGAGGCCGGGTACAAATGCGACGAGCAGAAGCCATTTTGCGGTCGCTGTATGAGACTGAAGATTACATGCAAAGGTTACGGTGTCAGGTTGAAGTGGCAGGAGGGTGCTGTCAGCACTCTCACAAAACCACGAAAGAGTCGGAAGAAGAAAGCTCTTGAGCAAGATTTTGCCTTGAGCCCAGCTTCAGTCAACAGTTTTTCGTCTATGCCTTTAATTGTCTCTACGCCTGAGAACACGCTCTCGTCACCGGGATCGACGAAAAGCTTGCCTCTATTACCGCTCAACAGCCCCGGACTGTCATATGGTCTATCGCCAGATGATAGATGGCTTCTCGATTACTGGGTAGATCGACTTTCCACACTCATATCTGTGACGCCTAATATGGGCATCTCGACTCCCTTCCAGCGACACCTGACGGCTATGGCATGCGAATCTGCTGCGCTCAGATCTACGATTCTCTCCATGGCCGCAAACCATCTTGCAACATCTTCAAAAGATCGGTTTCTGTATTTTCAGAGGTACCGCCATCAACGAGACGCTATATGTGAACTCCAACGCATGATCCAGGATCCATCAGAAATGAATGCTGAGCCAGCGCTAGCGACTGTTATGATGATGCAGGTATCTGCGCGACTTTTCGGCGAAGATGATGAGGAATGTGTTGCCAATCATCTGACTGGTGCAAAGGCGATGATAGTCAGGAGCCAAGGAGAGGATTGGCTGGTTAGCTCACGTGCGCGATTTCTAATGAGCATCTTCGCATACCACGACATTTTATCATCCGTTTCGAGAGGATCAAATCCCTTACTGGATCACGAGACAGACTTTTCGGCTATCGAAGGGGAGGAGAGCCTAGCAAGCATTGCGAACGTACTTTTGGTAGTTGCCCAGATTAGTCAATTGCAGCATACCATCAAGACGAGGAGGTCACGGTCGCCAACAAGTCCAGCTCTATCGGAAAACGAAAACACAACCGGCAGGCATATCCAGCAGAAGTTACTGGCTATGGATTTTACCATTTGCAAGCAGGAAAATGTTCAGGAAAGCGCAGACATCAAGCTGACAGCTGAAGCATACCGCCACGCAGCTTTTATCTACCTCTACCGGACCTGGCTTGATATCGGCGCCCCGAATCCCATCAGTATGGATCACATTAATCAATGCCTAGCGTACTTGCAGAAAGTCGATGTTCGTTCGCCGCTAACTACCTCACACATATGGCCGCTCTTTACCGCAGGATGTGAGGCAATCGACAGCACACAGCGACAGTTTGTGCGGGATCGGTTTGAGGAAATGTATGCAGTCAAGCGCTTCCCGAGCCTGCGAAGAGTCATGCGGGATATCGAGCATGTGTGGGAGGCCAAGGATATAGAACAAGAGATGAAAGGCAAGGATGGTATGGCCAAGGTGGATTGCATACAGGTTATTTTGAAGAAGAGAGGACGGGAGGTGGACCTGGCTTGATAAAAGTGTCTCACTGTCGCTACTTTGGTCATATTGCTTACAGCACGTCTTTGCCAAACAGCGTAGCCATTAGCGATGCTAGTAATATAGCTCATGGTTTTTCATCTTATTACTTGGGCGAGTTACGAGCGCAGCACTAGCTCTGAAATATCATGCATGTACATACACGAGTGGTTACAAGACATGAAGATTCATGTTTTGCAGTACTTTCACACGATGAAATATCATTCAAATTGATTTCACGGCGTCTTTCTTGCAGCGTGATGCCTCGAGGATGCCAGAAATCACATGCGCCAAGTAAAGTAGTATGTACGGCTCCTATGACACCGCCTGCGCAACCTGAAAATGCGCAGCCAGCTCTAATGGAGCACTTGTGTTCCTTCTCCGCAGCGCTATATCGCAGCCGCCCAATTGGTTGACTCGGGTCGCATCGATTACAAGACGTAAAGACGCTGATGAGATGGGTGGCTGAACTGTCTGATGGTGCGTTGAAGAGAACAGAAAGGGTTGGCGACAAATTTGCCATGTTATGGATATGCCGCTTGGCACGCTAACCCAAAGAAGCCTCGGCGGGCGCTAGAGGCCCGGGATATCTGTGCACGCGATTTGGAGCAAGGCACAGCCAGCTTCGCCTATCTTTGCCTATTGCGCTGTGCTAGTAGTAGTCGATCGTAGGAGCTGGGTGGGTTTATGTGCATTTTCCTTAAACATCGAAGACAGCTGACCATATCAACCAGAACCCCTACAGTAGTGCCGAGCTGGGGGTAGGCTTCGGCAGCTCCGGCATTCGTCCTGACCCATCAACACAACTCATCATCGCAGGGTGCATACACTATGTACATAAGACGGCAACTCCGCACGATCATGTATACAGTAAGCCATCTGTATCTGGTGTGACCTTTGGAGGCTCTTTACTATAGGCTCTGCGTAAAGTGATTAGGCATTTGTGCTCCTTCCAAAATCACTATGATTACTCATTCACTTTGGCCAACAAACTACATTACTAATTAGCACATCCTCATCGGATGCGCATTAACTATCTCTCCGAACTGTGACTTCCATCCATCTGTCCGAGACTGACATCTGTGTGATACTCGTCCGTTGCCACAGTCTTGCTTGTATTCACATGGCCTGCTCGCTTGCACCTACCTGTAAAATGATGTGCCTTGCCAAGTTGGCCGCAGCTCCACGCTGTCGGTATTCCGCCGCCCCCAAACTCGGCTGCCATTCCACATAGGAATCGTCTTTTCCACAGCCCTCGATTTCAAACAGCGATGACATAATTCTCGTTCTGGCGGCCGTTGAGGTGTGCCTAGAGTACATATAAAGATAAGGACAGGGCTCTGTTGTAGGTGATGACGAAACATACTCAGCGAGCTTTATTCAGCGCCATGGATCGCTCTACCAAACCAAGCTTCAACTTTGTGAACCTTCAACACCCTGATGACCTCAAAAATGAGGAGACGCAGCTTCGAATCCGCCGTCTGGCCATGACTGAGGTGGGCAAGGCGAGGAGAAAGCCAAAGACGAAACGAGCACGTCATGAGATCATCCTCGAGTTCCGCAAACCATCTGAGCAGAGCTGCATGCATGTCGATCGCTTCGGCAGCGGCCAACTCGATCCTTTTGGCCCTTATCCTGTCGAACTTGATGATTCCGAACGGGCTCTGCTGGCTAATGGTAGGTGTGTTCCGAAATTACCGTGCCTCCATTCTGATAGTGAGCAGTTCTTACCACCGAGGACAACAACCACCCTACTGTTCTGCGAGGTTCTTGGTATCCCGTTGGGCTCAGTTACATCCCTGCTTTCTACAACATGCTCGCAAACTCTCAAAACTTCTTGTTCGAAAAGCGCCATGGATATTTTCCTTCGCAAGACGATGCTATTGCGCTAAAACAGCATCACAAGGCTCTGCGCCGCACTACTGAGATGATGAAGGATCTGAAGATGCATCAGAGCGACGAGCTTATAGGTTCCATCGTTTCCTTCATGATTCATCAAGTAAGCAGCTTGCGCAGAAAAATCCTGGCAGACAACTAACAGGAATCAGGCTTTGCTAGGGAACTTTGCGGGCGATGGCTGGCAGAAGCACGCTGATGCATTAGCAAGAATAGCGCAGCTTAGAGGGGGTTATGATTCCATCACAACAGATTTCTTGCGGGTTACAGTAAGCTGGTAAGCCACTGGAGCAAACCTTAATTTAACAGCAACATGCTAAAGCCAAGACCAGGGGAGACCTTATAGGAAGCTTCTTTCAAGACCGTAGTCCCACTGTTCCTATGCCATCACAATGGCTTATAGATTCCAAATCGCCGCCAAACTCGCCACGGCCTGCCAATGCCGTGTCTTTGTCATGGAAGCACCAGCTGCCCATGCAACTAGACTGGATCACAATATTCGACGATATAGTTCAGTTGATATCACTTGATCGCATGTTCAACGAGAAACAGCTTATGCTCGCAATCACAAGTGGCAGCTGGATGGAGCCGACCGTCTACCGTCTACTGTCTATCCGGCCCCTGCACAAAGGCAACAGCCGGGAACACGTCATGGAAGAAGTTTGTCGGCTCGGAACGCTACTTTTCCTGTCGCCGTTCTGGAGAGCACTCGGCCAATCACCGGTCAGAACCTCCGCTATATCCCGCAATTTATTGCTTGTCCTCTTGGAAAATATGATTGAATGGAACGAACTTAAACCATTGCTCATCTGGGCCATTTACTTTGCCGCCATCGAGACAAAAGACTTGGCCGAGAGAAGCCAGTTTGTTTTAATGCTCGGCATCTTGATGAGTGGCATGCAGCTGCAAGAGTGGGACGAGCTGATGAACATTGTCAAAGAGGTTTTGTGGGTAGAGAAAATATTTGCAGGCACCGATGACCTAATTCGAGAAGAAGTCATGCAGATTGTAAATCATCACCGGTCAAACAATGCGCGACCCGATAGCGTTCCGATGGGCATTTTAGAAGCTTTTGCGGCTGATGTGGAGGAGGAGCACTAGTACTAGATTAGGAACGAGGACATCCCTGTAGTTGCAGCCGCACTTTGCACCGATAGGTAGTCGCGTCTCCAGCAGCATTGCCCTGAATTGTACTATCGAGTGCTACCAGTTGTATTTCAAAGCTTTCGTCGCGATGTTCGCCTTTTAGGACCGAGTGTAAAATCGCTCTTTACACTGCGGCGGATGAGCTCAGTAACGATTACCAATGAATGCACCAACGGGGACTACAGCGACAGCATTAATAATATACAACATTGAGGGAGGAACAAAGTATAAGAGGCCATGATGTGATGGCATCATAACTATTCAGCAACATCTATTCTCAGTTCCTACTACCTCTCAACTTGACCACTTTATCTTTGATTCAGCAACACATATCACGACAACAACGATGGAGAACCTTCCTGTAGACCACTTTGTCAAGGCTCAGCAGTTTGTTCCGGTCGTACATCGGGATGTTTATCCAGCGATCGATCCCAAGCAAAGCTCGCTTTCTCAACAGGGCAAAGTGATTATCATCACAGGCGCTAGCCAAGGGCTAGGAGCTCGAGTATGTGCAGCCTGATTTGCAGTCCCACTCTATGCTTGTAACTGACCGGTCAGTCCTTTGTACCATCATTCGCTGCCGCAGGCGCCAAAGCAATCATCCTCGTAGCTCGACGTGCAGACAAGCTTGAAGAAGTCGCAAAATCAATCGCTACATCTTACCCCAACGTTGAAACCCTGTCCATCTCTACCGACATTGCGGACCCCAAATCCGTCGCAGCACTCTACCAAAAGGTCAAAGAAAAGTACGGTCATGCTGACGTCCTCGTCAATAATGCCGGCCTATTCAAAGCCATTGGGCCTGTCAAAGACGTCGATCAAGCAGCCTGGTGGGACGAAATCGTACGTCTCTCCCCCCAATCACCTTGCATTTCCCTTTTTTTTCTAACCCTTTTTCCTTAAACAGACCCTGAACACCCGCGGCACTTTCCTAATGACTCAATCTTTCCTCAAACACCTGCCCTCCGCCGACACCCCCGCAAAAATAATCACCTTGACCACCGGCGCCGCATACGAAGTCTTCCCTTCTCTCAGTGCCTACGGCATATCCAAGCTCACCGTCCTGCAACTCATGACGTATGTTGCAGCAGAGAGCCCGAATGTGTTTGCCGTAGCCTTGCATCCGGGCATCGTGGATACAGAGATGACGATTGACTCATTTAAGCGGTTTGCGCTGGATACACCGGAGCTGGTGGGTGGTGTGGGGGTTTGGCTCGCGGGATGGCAAGGGGTGGATAGGAAGTTCCTTGAGGGAAGGTTTGTGAGCGCGAATTGGGATGTGGAGGAGTTGGTGAAGAGGAAGGAGGAGATTGAGAAGGAGGGCTTGCTGAAGATGGATTTGAAGGGGACGTTGGGGGCAGGGCAGTTTGAGAAGTAGAGGAATTGGGCGTCTCGGCAATGTGCTTGCAATGGTAGCTACGATTTAGACATTAGAGGAGTTGTTTTTCGTGATTTATTTGCTGGGAAAGTTGCGCTGCTATTGCACTTTGTCTTGTCATTGTATCTCTGTAACGTCATCACTGACGCGCCGATGCGTCGCGCTTTGCTATTTCTTTTTTTTCACCAAAAGAGTCATATCAGTACTCTGTTGCTTGAACAATTAACAATTATTCATCCTCTGGACTTTACCGCGGTTGCAACAAACAGGGTCCGGGTGTAGAAGGCGACTATCCCTTTCGGTTTCCATGGGCTTTGTCATTCATTCAAACCACAATTGTTCACAATATCTTGTGTTTCACACCCATGCCAGGTGAGCTGTATCGAAATAGGATAACAGACAAGGAGTAAAGAGTAAATCCTGGAAGACATGGCTTGAGCATTTGTATCAACATCAATCCAGACTACCCTGCATCACTTATCCGCGCTTCTCTAGACCATTTCCGCATACTTTACGCACCTCTAAACGAAATCTCAATCGTCGGTGCTACAGACACACAACAAGCTCGAGATATAGAAGCTTCGATCCCAGCTCCACGTAATGTCGCTACCGACTCAACATTCTCCGAGGTGCTACCGCACATCGTCGACATCATACACCTCGCCGACGTCAAGTCTCAGGAAGGGTTTGGTACTTGCATACCGATGCTATATGAGCAAGCCCGCGCAATGATCCTCAATATATCCTACAACGACAAAACTGCCTGGAGCGGCTGGATGACCGACGCCGCAGCGCCATCTTCGCACTTCGAGTTGCTCATCTTGTGCGTGAGCACTACGAACTTTAGGGTGCACCGCCTGCGCACGCGTGGCAGTTTTGTGTTTTCGGATCCGGATCTAACGATTGCGCAGCATATGGGTCAGGATAGTGTGGCGCTGATTGAGGAGACGGGAGTGCGGTCGCAACTATGAGCGTTTGTTTACCTGTTCAATGGCTTGCACTGCGTTTCTTTCGTGTAAGGTAAGGGGTGAGTCGTTCCCAGATGCGAGTGTGCTGCATTTCGGGTTGGGGCTGCTGATTGAGAGTCGACATTATGTACGCCGTATGTCTCGCGATAAACGAGTCTTGTTCCGCGCGGCGTATAAGATGTGTGAGATGATTTTGGGCTTAGACTATAGTGGTCGATTCGATACTACTGTTACGGCTACTATTGATGACTTTGCTAGATGGTATGGCAGACACCTTAAGCCGGTAAAGTGGCGCGTACATGAGAGTCTTGTTCCTCAGGTGCTGCGGAGCAAGGGGGTGTTGGACAGGATGAAGAATGCGTCGCTTCTGACACAGGAGGAATTGGATCGGTACCTCATCATTGATACTTTGAAGATGGAGGCAGGAGCGCAGGGAGATTTCTATCTTCTCTGATATGCCAGCTCAATGGAGAGTTGTAGTACTTGGATACTCAGGGGTGCTGGTATGAGAAAGATAGACAACATGCACAATGGAACATATGCATGCTACAGTAGTTCTCTTCCATGCGCCCAGTCATAAGAACAACCACAAAGCACATATCTTCCCAAGCCCGTGTTTTCCGCATACAAGAGTGGGTAACACCCCCGTCACCTGCCAATGTGGATGTTGCAGCGGGGACTAACGTTTCAAACCCGCCACCTAAACAGCATAACAGTTTCATATATTGGCGCCTCCCTGCCCTCTTCCCACGTCTCGAAGCCCTCAAAGGAAGCCGCCTGCTGGCGTCCCTGTATGATCTGCGTATCGTGCACTGCCTCTCTTGCCCACGCGCCTGAGTAGCATGAACCACATTCTCTGCTGCGCCGGGTTTGCGCCACCCGATGCGGCTACTCCGCCGTACTTTCCAGGCTTTTGCAGCCGGAACTTGCTGTTTTGTGTTTGTCTCGATGGTCTCATTGTGTTTTTTGGTAGTAGTAGGCGGCTATTCGGTATCAGGGAGCCAGCGGTGAACGGGTGTTGCGGCGCGTGAAAGCAATGCCATCGTGAGGAACCTCCTGCCGAGGCGGCCTGTTCCTTCAGGTTTGCAAGTATAAGAAGGGTGCCTTGTGTCGCCCTGAGAATCGCCTCATCAGCATCTTCAGCCTCAGTCTTCTTGTCTACTCCTCTACTTCCTCCCTTATTCAATTCTTCGCCTTTTCCGCTGGTCGGTCTTTTAAACTCCTTAATCCAACTTACTATCATAAACATCATTCACTCTTACAAATCACTTCACAACAACAACAATTTCAAAATGCAGTTCACTACCTCCGCCATCATCCTTGCCCTCTCTGCTCTCGCAGCCGCCATGCCTCAGGGCGCAAACGCCAACCGCCCCGTCCCCAACGGCGCGTGCTGTGTCGCAAACACGAGCTTGAAGCAGGATGTGTGCAACGTCAATGGTCAAACCGGTCGCTGCGTCCCTGACAGCGTCAACAACTGTAAGTTCAAAGAAAATCCACCGACAATAGTAGTAGTGGAAAAGAAACTAATCAGTACGAATAGGCGGCGCACAATTGACTTGCATCGAAGACAGCCGTCTCACCTGCGACCCCAACACTCTGGAGCGCGGTCGTCCTCTGTGCCGTCGCACTCCTGGCGCGTAAGCGCGTGAGTGCGTGAGTGCGATGGCTATAGAGTGAGAATACCAAGAGAGATTTGCACATATGTTTATTATACAAAGATCAGTCCGAATTGATACGGGACAAGAGAAGTAGAGGCGTTGTGGAGAAGCTGGTGGTTACAATACCGAGCCTAGATGGCTGCCCTATTAGCCTATATTGCGGGTGACAATTGAAGATGCTGTTCGACCTTATACATTCTTATTGCTTGGTGATATTTGATTCGAGTCATGATGTGATATTAATGTTTTATTTGGGTGATAGCGTGGTTATGGGGGGTTTATTGTATTTAACTTAGAGTTATAGCTATAGTCGGGGTATATCAGGAGCATAAGTTTCGGAATTTGTTCATGTTTGTAAGGAGGATTTGTTGTATAGCTGTGTGACCAGAATGTCAGGGTTCATGCGAGAGTCGTATGGAGATGCCAAGATCGGGGTTTGTGTTTCTTTGGGCGAGTGTCGTTAAATGGGATGACGCCATTTGTATAACGTGATAGCCATGAGATATATTCAGGGATCCTTGATGTTAAGCTGAGATCACGTTAATCGAGATGGGCAGGCTTCCTTTGACTGATAATCGATTCTTTTTGCTTTGTGATCTCATAGATTACGCATGTCTACTTTTATTATGTTTCAATTCATAATTACGTATCATCATACATTTGCTCGACTTAGCTAACAGCACGCACAACCACGGTGTTTTCAGTGGTTCCTGTAAGCTCTTCTTGGCTGTTATGAGTGGTCCTTGTGAGCTCTTCCTGACTGTTGTGAAAATACTCCTCGTACAGATCCCGAGTCACATGTCTTTGTTGACTTGCAGAGCCGGTCATGATCTCCATCTCCACTTCATTAGATCCTTGTTTGATGTAGCCCTGCCTATCGTATGCAGGTCCCGGTATGGTGACGATTCGTTTACGAATCATGCCTGTAAAGGCAGGAGAACATCCAATAATGACGGCTAGACTTTGCGTTAGTCACACATATGCCAGTCTTTGTAAAAGTTTTCATGATCGACGTACCCATTGCGCATTCCACTACCGTCCACAGCAACAACCAATCAGGCTCTGGTATTGTTGTTTTACCGCGACGGTCGACGCCCAGTTGTATGACGCGGAGCGTAGCGAAAGCTATGCAAACGAAGCCACTACCAAATAGTATGAAGATTCCAAACTTTCTCTTTCTAGGCATCTGTAACTTCCATGTGAGAAATAGAGGGAGAAACATGACTGACGCTGTCAGCACAGCTTTGCAAGGCTCCATTGATTTTCGTCGACTTACTTGCGAGGTCAGTGGCCACATCTACCGAGTATGCAAAATAGAGGCTAAAGATGATTCTCTGATGCTCATCTGGCGTGCCAGCGCATCTTCCTTTTGAGAACTTTTCGTTGAGGTCATTGCACGTGAAAACGCTCGTGAGAATACTTCCAATCCAGGACTATGATCAGGTCAGCGCCTTCGTTGATAGCTAACAGGTACTAGAGCAGATACTGACCAGAACGCAAAACGCTACGGTACCCCACCATATTCTGTCGTAAATTACAGGTAACCCTACCAAAATCTTCCGGTACAGTGTCAACAAAGACATCTTGACAGTAAATAGAAGAGTATAGAACAGCATCTGAGCAGCTGTTATATGCCGAAGAAGCATCCCAGCGTCATCCATCATTGTGGCATACGGTCGGGTGGCACCATCAAGCACACCGAAAATTCTGAACATGGTGGGAATGATGGCGATGTAGCATGTCCACATGGAAACGAACAGAAAAAAAGCGAAGTAGATGAAAAAGTCAGGCAATCCCAAGGCTCTGCGTTTAACGATCTGGAGGATCACTCGCGATAGAATGAATAACGAGGTCAGGATGAGCATGGCTACGTTTGTACGCATCAGCTCATCCTTGGTTATGGGGCTCTTTGGAGGTGTTGACATGAGATACGATGTCGGAGTTGGCGGTTCAGGCCCTCATATTTAGCATTGGCAAGTCTTGAATGGCTGGGGACGTTTGTCGGGATTGCTGACTGCGTAACTGAGCACTTTACCTTACGTGTGTATATACTTCAGTTGCAGCTCAAATTCTTAAGGATGAAGTCTCTTTGGAAAGCCGAGCAAGTTTCGCAATAGCACCACATTCTCCCTAGAAGTCGGGTACGGTACCTTCCGCGCACTCCATGGATTGCCAATAAATATGCGGAGCGTAGGATCTAGGGGGCTGGAGGCAGTTCCTAAGAGGGATTAGGGCCTGTTCCGTTGAGCTCCGTTTTGAAAACGGGGCTTGAACCGCTGTTGTATTCGGTGAAACAGGCATTTTGGGGGTATGAAACGAGGCTCCGTTTTGTTAGCGCTGGTATACCAAAACAAGCTCTGTTGAGTGCTGATTTGCACTATATTTCTACCCTTCTAGGAAAAACAGAGTTATGTTTTGTAAAGCACCTCTAGATAAGTCTAGCCGCGACGCCAACCACCATTACTGTTAGTAACAGCTTAACCTCAACCAGCCTAAAAACACAAATGCAAAACGGAAGAAACCGAACAGGCCCTTAAAGTCGAAGGCGTGTGTGTGAGCAGAATTCTCTTCTAAGAATGAGATTGTTGTGGCGGTCATAATTCTCAATTCATGCCAGATACTTACCGCCGGGCTGTGCCACTTTTATTCATCATGCATAGCTTTGTACATCGTACCATTCCTAAACCTACGTAAGGAAGAAATTCACGTAGTCAATGCAACCCTCGCAAACACGGTACCGACTTGATTGCGCAATGAGCCCAGTAGGATTCGAATGTGCCGTTGGAGTCTAATACAAAGACCTCGAAGGACCCTTATGCACAATGTCTCCAAGGACAAAAATTCGCTGGTCCGTTGTCGTTTCGAGGTCATGTTTAACAGAATAGGCGATCGCTTGCAATAAAAGATAGGGTGTCGGAGCAGACGCTTGATGGGGCAACCATATATTCGTTGACCACGTCGTCGGGTTACAGGAGGACATGTGATTGGGTAGCACCCAAACATGCATATTATACGGCTCTAAGCGGATTACGCCAAGATACAAGCCCAGATGTTGGCATGGAAAAATGTCGACATCCTTCGCAACAGGAGATCGCCGCACTGGACAACTCTTGGCACCCCGGATTTTCTGGCACTTAACGATGTCACGGTCTGCTCACAACCAGCCTCGTTTCTCTCCCATCTCTTCACTGTCGCATGAGATGAGAAAAATCCGTTAACTGCCTACTTCTAGACTGAACCCGAGTCAGCTAGAGGGCCAAGATGCAAGAACATCGTAACACACTTTGTTGTTACAATAATATAATGTTGCGAAGGATTCGCAATGCAGCATACACTAACGCAGGTGCGACTTAGTTTAAACCTCCATCGAATAACAACGAGCTTCGCCACCAACGATCCTAGTCGTTGCTCCCCTAAAGTCTAAAAGCATAGCTGTTCACCCAACCGAGATGAACTATGCTGACAGGCGCCAATTGTCTGCCGCGGACCAATTCCCAGTCTCAACAGCCAGAATAAATTAAACTTGTACTGCTCAGTACGGGGCTGGGTATCTGGGAACTCGTCCGCCTTCCTTCCGTTCTTCCACCGATCCCAGAATGAAGGTCCTTTGGCAAATCAGTACCCTTGTCGCATTTGCTTCGGCACAGACGACAGATGCTTTTGAGCCTGCGAACTTTAACATCACCAAAGCGCTGATCGCCAATGGTATTGACGTGTCTGCCATCCCAGAGCTTGCCAAGTTTTCAGAACGATCATTCAGTGGGTGCTCTGTTGCCGTACGTTCCGAACCTCAAACTCGTTTTTACTTATTGGCTTTGCTGACCATTTCGAAGTGTTTGTCCTTGGAGCGCATCTATGGCAGCGATAAACTGCTTTTCGATAATTCGTCTACGTACGATGCATTCACTAGTGCCTACTGGAGCGTCCAGCAAGGTGCTGTGAACCCGCGATGTGTCTTCAAGCCATCCAGTACTATCGAAGTATCTTCGTTTCTATTGATATCTCGTTTGACACAATGCCCATTTGCTGTGAAAGGCGGCGGTCATGCTGCTTTTGCTGGGGCATCCAGCATCGAGGGAGGCATTACCGTTTCCATGGAGCGCTTCAATCACGTTGCTGTTTCAAATGATAAGCAATATGCCAATGTCGGCGCCGGAACTCGATGGGTTGATGTATACTCAACGATCGAGAAGTCTGGTGTCAGCGTCGTTGGAGGCAGGGTAAGTCGCCTTTTGAGAACTGAAACAGCTCCCTGATAACAAGAATTTAGATGGCTCCAGTCGGGGTGCCAGGTCTCATACTTGGTGGCGGGATCTCATTCTTTTCCAATAAGCTGGGTTGGGCTTGCGACAACGTTGCAAGCTATGAAGTCGTCACGGCGTCTGGCTTAGTTGTTACTGCCAGCTCTACCGAGTTTCCTGACTTATACTGGGCTCTCCGTGGTGGTGGTGGCAGCAACTTTGGTGTCGTGACCAACTTCAAGCTACACGCTTTTCCCCAAGGCCATATGTGGGGTGGCCAGCGCATCTTTACAGAAAACAATTTCAAGGGTGTTCTGGATGCTGTTTTCAATTTCGCTACCGTGGGATCTTCGAGGGACACTGATGCCGCTGAAATCGTGTCTTTTGGCAGTATTCCCAGCGTTGGCAAGATTGCTATCGTGCAGACCCACTACGCCCAGCCAGTGGCCAACGCCTCTGTCTTTGCTGATATCAACGCACTTACACCCATATCGGACAACACAGGTATCGCTTCTCATGGCGAAATGACGATCAAACTGAACGGAGGCTCACCCGATGACAAACTCGGCTCCCTGCAAACAAATTGGGATGCTACCTTCAAGGTTGACCGTGATCTTTTCACCTTCCTGGTTGACACTTTTTACTCGGAAATAACCGCCATCCAGAACATCAAGGGTGCTCTCCCAACCATCTCTATTCAACCAATTACTGAAGGCCAATTGAAGGGCATGCAGAAGAATGGTGGAAACGCGCTCGGTCTCAGTCCCGCCAAGGGACCAATCTTCATTATGAACCTAAGCGCATCTTTTGCGGATCCCACAGGGGAAGCCGCCATCCTGAAATGCTACTCAGGCATTATCAACAAGGTCAAGGCCGAGGCACAGAGGAAGGGCGTAGACAACAACTACATCTACATGAACTATGCATCCCAGTTCATAGACCCAATCGCTAGTTATGGAGCTGACAATGTCGCCAAGCTCATTGCCGTTAGCAAGAAGTACGATCCGGCGCAGGTGTTCCAGAACTTGAGTCCAGGCTACTTCAAATTAGCAAAGGGACCACCAAACCCAAACATGCCATGAATACGATGATGATACAGCAATTTTAGAATTAGAACAGGAGATATGAAGATGAACAATTCATGGACCACCAGTCATATTACCTTCGAACTTTTATTCATTACTTGACGACTCGTCGCTGTACTAACACCCTGCTACCCACCCGCCACTAACGGCAACAACACAGATAGATGCCCTATGATACCACCCGTCCTACCCAATCACCTTGCATCTTTTAATTGATATTAAAGAGAGGGATAATTAGTCCCTGCAACTAATTCCTCCAACGCCGGAATCCGTCGCGAATAGCGTTGGCTTCATTGCAGATATCAGGTGGTATGGCAGCGTTCAATCAGTTCTACGGAAAGCTGTATCAATTGTGTGATACGAAACGCACGTTCTTGGTAGCGATTGTTCTGTTTGAAGTCGGAGATGCGATTTGTGGGGCTGCGCCTACCGCTATGGGTTGTAGAAAAGACTGATTGGGCGGTGTGGTGGCATGTGAACTGACAGTTTCGCTCATTAGTTGTTGTTCGGGCTATTGCGGGCACTGGAGAAGCGCCATGGTGGTAATCGTGTCGCCGATGCCGCTTCGTAAACGACCTGTCTTCATTGGACTCTGTTGTTTCCTTTAGCGTATCGTCTGTTCCTGCACTGTTTCTTGGTAGTACCTTCACTGACAACAGGTATGCTGAATTCAACAGCTCATACTGATCACTGGCTAATGTGTCAAAAGCAGGCTTAAGTAACATTAATATTTTTACATCAACCTGCCCATCGGTGGTTGCGCCTTCGCCGTTGTTCTGTTCTTCCTTCATATTCGGTCTCCGCCGAAAACCGACCTTCTAATCTTCGCTCAGATCAAGCGCCTCGATCTCATCGGCCTTTTGTTCTTCACACCTTGAATTATATGTCTAATCCGCGCGCTCGAGTGGGGAGGTGCAATAGAACTGTGGTCATCGCCCAAGGTTATTGGCCTTGACCTTACCTTCCCGGTAAAGTTCCTCACATTCTTAGCTAACAGTAGTTGTGAGTGCCTCTATGCTCTTTATACGCTGATGGTGGAATGGAAGAGTATAAGTAAGGATGCCCGCCAGGCCATCCAAGAAATTGAGAGCATTGAGAAAGATGCTGAACCCGAAAAGGGGATTGTGCTTACGAAAGGAAGTACCGACGGCAAAATCTTGGAAGTGTGATGCTTCGGCCTCTTTTTTTTAATACAAATATGGTCTTGTAGGAAAGTGGACGCGCGTTAGTCCACTAATGCCAAAAACTGGTTTGCTTCTTCGGATCCGCATAATTGGTTTAACCTCAATTGCTAACGACTAGGAACCGAACACCATGGTAAGTAAGCTTGGTGTAGTTGTGATCAAAATGCGACCCCAGCAACCCAGACATGCTATGTCCTGTGCTATCGTGAGAATCAAGCCGGTATCGAGCCGGAATCTAGCCAGCTTACCACCGTGTTCGCGTTGTTGGCGTAGTTGAATCGAGGTTCTAGAAGGTGTTCTTGGTAGGCCTTATAAGCCCAGCCTCAGCGGCCCGTTACTGTGTCGCATGGACGATTCTTGGCCACGCATTGCCAATGCATCTCTCGGCGTATACATCGTACCACGTCAGTTCGGTGACTGCCGTGTCAGATAATTAGTCACAGGTATCACCATACTGCCGTACTTGGATGCATCCGCATCTTTGTTCGCAACAACCTCGGATGCGTGGTAGATAGGGAGAGTGAACACGATGATGACGCGACAAGTCGCGTAATTGCAATAGAAACCCCTGTTTCACTAGCGCAATTTCCAAGTCGTGCGCGCATCTCCTTTTCCCCCGAACACGAAACCACGTGCCATACATGTTCATAACCCGCCGTCGGAAAGATGCTCAATCCCAGGGAAAAAACAGCGTATAGAGAGAAATTGGATTCTCATAAAAGTGGATTTCTGTTAGGACTGTCTCTCATCCTAGCGCAACATAAAATTCGTGATCCGGATGTTCAAAGTCACGTGCGCTCCTAGGAGGCTACCCATTCGAGGCACATGTCTACGAAGTACATGGGACACATTCGCTGTGGTATGCTACACTAAAATGAATCAAAGTATTGGCTTCTCATATCTGCAATGATTACGTAACGATTGCTTTCTATCAACAAACACGAATCTCGCGTCTTCCTGGTACCCTGATATATATATTTATAACTAGTTATACATAGTTATACATTCTCGAGTAATCATAGTGCTCCTAACAGACAGAGATTTATATAAATAGAATTACATCTGAGTTTTACACATAACTGGGGAGACATGTATCACAAGTGTTCGATATAATTGAGAAATACCAAGTGTCGAATTTAACGAGTGTCTGATTTTCAATTGAATTCATTATTGCAAAACACTGAAAATATCGCACTACAAACAATATTACTATTAAGACTGCGTAATTATTGAAGTTATATGAACCTCCGGCATTGCTTTACTGTCTTAAGAGAATAACGCAATTTTCCATTGTGGTAGATTTTTTTATTTAATTTTAAAGATAAAGACAAATGTGAACATTCATGGCAAAATGAAATATATTCCTCTTCTCAATAGAACACTGGTAAACTTGACTAAGACTACCTTTATCAATGTAGAACAAATCTTCCTGATTTATGGCACGTAGAACTTCATCAGAATATTTTTCTTTTCCCATAATCCCATTGTTTCTTTTTCTCGCTAAACTACCTCATCACTATGAACTACCAACCATAATTTTTATTCAAAGGAAATCTCACATCACGATGGCCTTAACGCTGACCGTATTTTCAGGATATCACATCTCAATCCATTGACTATTAGTACTATCAAGTTCCTTCCTGCTGGTAACACATGATATTTCCAACTTCACATATCAATCTACAATTTCCACACTGGCATCTCAACAACCTTCAATCCATCAATCAACGAAATGTTTAATGCAACAATCATAAACTGCACAATTCCAAATTTGCTTCTAGTATTCGATGTCAAGTCTCTAAAATATCTCCCTGATGAAAGTGAAGATCCCACTCAGCAGCAGTCCCTCTCAAAATTTCCATCACTTATTCCCCCACATCCAAGGAAACCTCACTAATACCCACGCACACCATCACGCGTCGATCATTGATCATCCCCCACGGTACAGATCTGGTGCATCACGAAAAATACCCAAGCAACACATGTACACGTCATGGATACTTTAAGAAAGTGGCACACAGCCTCTCCTGGCCTTTTGTATCACACCCGGAAACCGCGACTGCAACATCGTAATCTCACCCTATGCAATCTGCACATACGTAAGTTGAACGATGATCTGTCACGATTTTAGCCTAACAAGCTAATGGGTAGTAGTGAAGTTAACAAGCTCGCTGCAGGGCAAAAAACAAAACAAAACACACGGGCAGATTATCAATCAAACTCAGGTCTTCCTTGCTGGTACTACGAAGATCGATATAGTCTTGACCGGTGTGCCAGGTGACAAAAGATCTAAGAGTAGCATGTTTAGTGATAATTTGATGCTTCGAGCCAAGATCCTCACCGCTGGAGGTTTAGAAGAAAAAAAAGGAATAAACTAAGTAAGATAGACTTTTGCTGGCATCTGCGGATCCGATAGCATCTGCAAATACCAAGCGTGATCAGCTGAAAGGGCTATGCGAAGTCTGGAACGTCCAAGAAAAATGGTGTGGTTGGCAAGGCGTAAGGCCAGACTATTCTTGCGTGCTCGCGCGTCTTCTCTCCTATTTCACCTCCTGAAAGAAAAAAGTGCTGACATTAAATCGTTTGCATGGTGCCGAAAGAAAACGCATTGGCATAGCGGTGAGATCGTAAAGCGCCGCAACACACATTAGGGGGTCCATATTGTCTAGCGTTGCGCTTGGCTGGGCCTAGTCAGGCACCGTCGTTGAAAGGGCGCTGGGTCGTCATTCCAAAGGCGACCAGAACTTCACAGCTTTGGCAGCTGTTGACGGAAAAAGGCCGCTAGAGCGCTGACACATTCGTAATGTATCTCTCTCGGTATGGGCGAGGCTGGCCGATCGGGCTTGTATACTTTACTTGTCTTTGCGAGGACAATGGGTAAATTAAATTACCCAAAACAATAGTTTTGCAGGATTCTACTAAGCGTGTGATGATTGCGTTAACGGAACAAGCCAGAACCTTGAAGAGAGTCGATCTCTCACGGTCGATATTTCTCTTACGGCATCGATGGCTGCTGGTGGTGGAAGCCGCGCAGGATGGCTAGAAGGTTGGCAGCTGTGAGTCAGGTTGATAGATGCTAGTATGTGCCATGAGCCGAGGAGCCTCAGGCGGCCAGCGTGGAGGTTTTGTTCGACTTCTATATTTGTCTGCTGCGTCTGTGGCCCATAACCCGTACCCTTTGAACAATGCGTAAGTAAAGTTGTTTCACAATGCCGTCATGGTCCTGGTGTTGAGGCTTGCGCATATCACCTCCCGCGGTGGCGAGAAGGGCATTGTATCCACGTCGATGTCGATCTGGTCTGAATTCGAGCATAACGAACAGACCATGTGTTTCGAGGTAGACTCTGCATTAACGCCACATTCCTGTCTAGGGTTTGGGCTAGAGACGTTGGAGTCAAAGGAGACAGACCAGATCGTGGGTACTCATACGACGGGGCGTCGTGGGGCCCGGTAGCTCGGAGCATGCCCTATGAAACGATAGCGGAAAATCATGGGACAAGCATCTTGCGAGAACGACGCGGGGTCCTAATTCGTGGGCGTAGGGTGTGAGAAACGACGATGCAAACCTTCTGGCCGGTATGCACGACGTAAGTGGCTAGCCGAAAGCTTGGATGTTTTCGACTCCACAGTGCATAGAGCCTCACCCTTGCTCTCTTGCTCTCTGTACGACTCTACCCAGGCACGGTCGCCCGCCCGGCAATTCATTCCATCGCCGTGCGAAGCCCCGCAGGCACACAATGCCGATGGAAATATCCAGCCAAAAATATTTCCGTACGTATCTGAACTGTAACCGAAGAAACATGTCTGACAGCCGTGGCAGCCTTGAAAAGGGGTGAGATGTATCAAGCTCTGTCTACACAACCCTATCTACGTTTGTATTCGGAAAATCTTCATGATTAACAAGGATTGTCCGATGAATGACGTCTTCATGTCAATAGCTGGTGCTCATCAACTCTGCACGTTGCTGCGACTCCAGGAAGCAAGGGAACGGAGATACCCGCCTACTCCATAGCCGTATTAGCCGATTTCAATGTCTTGCATACATGGCAGATCGTTAAAAAGTGACAAATTAAGCAAGCACTAAACAATGCCCATGAGTCTCTGCCGGATGAGAAGCTGGGGCCAGTCCCACCGACAATATTCGGCAGGAAGTAGCCCGCATCGCATGCCCCTGCAGCACATCCGGGCTCTATCCTGCAGGTACACTACGTCGATCGCACAGAATACGGCAGTGCACAGTTGCAAAAGAGAGAGCCTGATTGCCTGAAACGGCCATAGTCTAGACCCCTGGCTGACTGTCCCTCTTTTGGCACTACTCGTGCGAAAGATAGTAGCTCGATGCGGGAGCCAAGTTTCGAAACAAGACCAGAATAGCTCCAGCATGAGCCCGACGCCACGACAGGTGTGGATGTACTGGTCGACTGTCTTGAAGGGGGGAGGGGGGGCATTTCTAAGTATAAGATGGACTCGTCCGACCTCGAAGAAAAAGCATCACAACATCTTACACTTTCGCTTTCTACTCCCATCACTCTCCTACAGTCTTTCGTTTGTGCAGCGCACTCACATTCGCTACATTCAATTCCTCAAGCAACACTCAATCTACATCGATTTATTCGACTATCGTCTTTTTAACTCAGAATCTCTAAACTAAAAGTCAGCAAACATGAAGTACCACACTGCTCAGATCTTGGCTCTTACCAGCATCGTCTCCGCTCTTCCTCACCCTCAACGCTATGGCGGCGGCTCAGGTGTTCAGCCATCTGCCCCATTGACAACTGCTCCTGCTAGCAGCGGCCCTACCTACGACGACCTGCCAGGCTCTGGTTCCACTCCCCCTGCTGGAGGCCGTCCCGGAGGCTCTGGTCCCGCTCCTCCCACTGGAGGTCGCCCAGGTGGCTCCACTCCTACTCCTCCTTCCGGCGGTGCTTCCTACGGTGGAGGTGCTGCTCCTCCGGCTGGTGGTGCTGGAGGCTACGGCACCGGTAGCGGTTGGGGACTTGGACTTCCTCTCCTCGGCGGAGGTGCCAAGGGCGGCATTGGTGGCCTAGTTGGCGGTGGTGCTAACGGAGGTGCTGGCCTCGGCGGACTCGTTGGCGGAGGTGCTGGCCTTGGTGGCCTAGTTGGCGGTGGTGCTAACGGAGGTGCTGGCCTTGGTGGCCTCGTTGGTGGAGGTGCCTACGGAGGCGCCCATGGAGGTGCTGGTGCTGGTGCTGGCCTTGGTGGATTGGTCGGCGGCGCTGGCAATGCTGGTGCTGGCCTCGGTGGACTCCTCACCTACAGCAAGACTGGCTATGGCGGTGCCAACGCAGGTGTCGGTGGTAGTGCTGGTGCTGGCCTCGGCGGTCTGGTCGGCGGCATTATCGGCGGAGCCAAGGGCGGAGCCAGCGCAGGTCTCGGTGGGCTAGCTGGTATCATCGGAGGCGCCAAGGGCGGAATTGGTGCTGGTGGCTATGGCGGAGCTGGTGCCGGCGTTGGTGGCTCCGTTGGCGGAGGTGCTGGCGTTGGCGGTTCCGTCGGTGGAGGAGCTGGCGTTGGCGGCGGTGCCCACGGCGGAGTTGGTGCTGGTGTTGGTGGCTCCGTTGGCGGCGGTGCTGGTGTCGGTGGTGGTGCTAAGGGAGGTGTTGGTGCTGGTGTCGGCGGTGGTGCCGGTGCTGGTGTTGGCGGCTCCGTTGGCGGTGGTATTGGCGGTTCCGTCGGTGGTGGTGCTGGCGTCGGCGGTGGTGCTAAGGGAGGTGTTGGCGCTGGTGTCGGCGGTGGTGCCGGTGCTGGTGTTGGCGGCTCCGTTGGCGGTGGTGCCGGTGTCGGTGGTGGTGCTAAAGGAAGTGTTGG